AAGCATGGGAGCCATCAGTATAAGCTTGAAAGACGATGCCTCATCGGAGGAGACCGGCATGTCTGAGACCTTGAACTTGCTGCTTGGCCTTGAAGGCGATGCGCCTGTGATCGGATTAATTGGTCCAGGAAAATCCTGGATCGCCACGCCGGTGGCCACATTGGCAGGTGTGCGGCAGATACCCCAAATATCTTGTTGCGCCAAAAGCCCCAGGTTGTCCGACAAAAAGGCATACCCCTTCTTTCTTCGAACCGTGCCGCCGGATAGCCTCCTCTCCACTGCCATTTGGCATTGGATTCTACACTTCAATGTTGCCATGGCAGCTTGTGCTTATTCAGACGAGGGCTACGGACAAAGTCTCTTTGGTGCTCTGAGTGATCTTGCCCGTGTGAATGGCCAGCAAGACCGTGTACAGGGGCAGGGTCTGGGACGGATGAAAACCTTCGATGCAGAACTGGCTCGTAAAGCGTTGAGGCTTGTGAAGCAGCTGGGGTCTCATTTTGTCATTCTTCTCGTGCACTTGCCCTTGGCTGGAGGTCTCTTCAAGGTCCTTGAAGAGGAAGATATGCTGAGGCCTCCTTGGCAAATCCTATCGACGGATACGTTCATGGGAGAAGCAGGCCGCAAAGTGGGCTTCATGTACCTCAGACCATCTGCTGAAGGCGGAAAGATTCCAGAGCTACAGCAGTTGTGGTCCCGGCTTGGACCACATGACATGGCCATGGACCATATGCACTTGCCTGCTGGCCTCGTCGGAGATGAGATGTTCGATGAAGGCGATGGTTTTGAAAACTCGTGGCCTTTTCTCGCTGAATGTCATGAAGTCCTCCGTCAATGTTTGCCTGTGTGTACCAGACTTTGTTTACCAGAATGTGTTTACCGCCCCCCTTCCCCCCCCCCCTCCCCCTTGTACCCGTGGAGTGTGTGTCGGGGTTCTTGTTTTGCCCAGCCAAGGTGTGGTTCTTAACCAGAGGGCACTCTACAACTTTGACTCAGTCTACGCATTTCTCGTTGCCATCAACAAGCTCCTTCACTCGGGCATGGATGCGAGCGCAGTCCGCGGCCGCGTGCTTCACGATGAGATGAGCGAGCTACGATTCAACGGGGTCTCAGGCGACCTCCTCTTCGATCGCAACGGTGACCGGCTGGGGGCTTTTGAGTTTTTGAACACGCAGTCCGAAGACAGCATCGTTTCGGTGGCCTCCTTCAGTGCTCTCACGTTGAATTTCACGGTTACGGCTCCTTTGACATGGATGGATGGCTCAGTGGGGTACACCCCGCCGCCAGACATGTACTATTGTGATCCCGGTTTTTACCAGGAGGCGCAAACGAGGCAGTGCAAAAGATGCCCGCCAGGGAACTTCTGCGAAGGAGGGCCGGAGGCTCCTCTGACGCCATGCCCTAGAGGTGGGGGGCATTGAGCTTTATGTGAAAGGGTCCAGTGTTTTGCTCTCCCCGCGATTAAAAGCCTAACACCCATAAAAGGTACTTTCGCTTACGACGCGGCAATGACCAACTGTACCGCTTGCCCGAACGGCAGCTTTGCCTTGGATGCCGGCTCAGCGGAATGCGTTCTGTGCCAGCCTGGCACGGAGGGGCCCTTTGAAGGCATGGAGATGTGCAGGATCCGCTCGCCTTCCGAGACTCTAACCAAACCCCCAAGTGGAATCCCTGGAAACCCTGGAAACCCTGAGTCCAGCGAGCTTTCACATTCAGCCCAGATGGAGCTGTGCATGTGAGCTGTGCAGGAGCTGCGACACCGGCTTCTACATGCCAACCTCAGGAAGCTCTCAATGCCTGCCTTGCGGGAACAGTCAGATCACCCGAGGGCTTCTCTGGGTTGAGTTAAGGAACTTTCACTTTTTTGGGTGACCGGAAGACGGATATATGCTTTTTTTGTCAGCAGCATGCGTTGCGTATTTTGGTATCTTCAGCTGCCTTCCGCAACACCCCATAACAGCTTCCTGAAACTTTTACACAAGACTCTTCTACGGTTCCGTACAGAAAGACACGCCCAGGCTTGGTTCCACCAGCGAGTCTGATTGCGTTTGTGCGGAGGGGTTCTTCATGTGTGCGGCTCGAGGTTGCCTCTCGGCCATTCTGGGAGGGTTGAGTCTTTACGGCTCAGAGTTTCTAGAAGCTTGAGTGGAGTGTCTTTTCAAGGAAGAACCAGTTTATACTTTCTAGAGGGCCTGCAAGAGCTCGCAGCCCAGGCATCCCATGCCCCACTGGGCTCTTTTGTCCCGAGGGCTTGGGCCCTCCAGAGCAGAAGGCTGGCTTTTGGACAGATCCAAATGCTTCCCAGTCCTGCGACTTCTCCGTCTTGCGTTGCAGAGACGGGGCCGAGTGCCCTCCGGGGATGTTGGGGCGTTGCTCCGAAGGCAGAGAGGGGCAGGCTTGCAACAACTGCCAGCCGGGCCACTACTCGAGAGGCTCGACATGTGAACGTTGTCGTGAAGGAGATGCCCTGCCGGTCATCTTGGTCGTTATTCTGCTCCTGGCCCTCCTCGCCTTCATGAGTAACTCAACCTGGGATCCAAGCCAAGTGAGTGCCTTGGTTGCACAACTTGCACAACAGCATGGGTTCATAATATTCTTTCTTGCGACACTGGCACAAGTAACCTAAACTAAGTTCCTTACTTTAATTCGCAGTGATTCGCGAAGAATTCGCGAAATTCTGAATGCACTTTAGAAGGGCTGCAAATGCCGTATAAAGCTTTCATCGCTCTCAACTTAGAGCACTTTTTAGCACTTTTCCAGCAGCGCTAAAAGCCCAAAACCCCTAAGTGTCCCCCCCAAGCAGACACCCCCAGAACCCTAAAGCCCCACAGTAAACGCTTTGAAGGTCTGAACACCGTCACAGCGGCCTCAGTGACCAGCCAGCTGCTTATGGCCATCCAATCCCTGGGTTCGATCCGAGAGCTGTCCATCAAGTGGCAGGAGCCAGTGGAAACAACATCAAAGAACCGTCGCTTTTCGGGGGTTGTCGTGTATATTATGGATCAGGGTTTTAGGATTGAGCCCAAAGCGAGAAACCATCATCATTTACGGAGTTTACCGGGTTTAAGAGGTGGTTAACGGGGCTTTCGGTTTGGCGAAACACATACAATGGCAGGAGCCAGTGTCGACACTCATCAACCTCACGAAGCTCGTGATGTTCGACTTCCATTTCATCCGAACTTCCTGCTTCTTCGGAACCGACACTCCCATCCTCTATTTTCTCGGCCGATTGCTCACATGCCCGGTGGCTTGCGCTCTTCTACTGTGCGCTTGGGTTTTGCAGAGGATGCTCGGACGGCCCAAGCCCTTCAACACAGTGTTGAATCAGTGCGGAGTGATGATCTTTGCATTCTTCCTGTCCATCACCCGCGCCACCCTGATTCCGTTTCAGTGCGTGGAGAACCCGAATGGGACTAGCTCAATGCTGCTGCACCCGGGCATCATTTGCTACTGGGTTCTCGTTAAGGAACTTATGTCAAGTCTCATATAAGCAAAGCATGTTGTTTATGGAAAACTCCTCAAGTTAAGTTGAGGTAGTTTGAAGAAAAATCTTTACAACAAGAGCGCAGGCTACCAGTCGGAAGAGCATGCGATCTTTGCTGCACTTGCTGCGGTAGGACTCCTGACTGCAAGACCCGAAACCCGAAGCTCAAAACCCTAAAGTCCCGAAACCCTAAACACCCTAAACCCTGAACCCGCAAACCCAAAAGCCCCCGGCCCCAGCCCCAACACCAAAAGATGGGCGGTCCTACAGTCAGACCTTGAGACCGGGTGGGTTTTGGGACTTAGGATTCGGGTTTCCGGTTTATAAGGTTTAGGGTTTGGATTTTGGGTTTTCGGTTTAGCGTGGAATTGTCCCGCAGTCGAAAGTATCTTGTGCCAATGTGGTTTCTTAACGGTTTAAGGTTTCGGGTGTAAGGTTTACTTTAGAAGCTGTCGTGTTGTGGATTCCAAAACCCGCCCCCCCCAAACCCGGACCTACCCTCGGGGGTTTGTTCGTTAGGAGTTGTGACCCAGCCCCTTGCCGTGCTGGTGCTGGCCACCTACGTCATCTGGACGTATCCGTCTCGTGTAGCTCGTGGAAAAGGGCTTCGCTTCTCCACAAGATACCGTTTCTTCGCCAATGTGGTTAAAGGGTTTCAGATTTTGGTTGGTCTTTGGTTTGGGCTCCCTAGCTATACTTTTAGGGTAATTTAGGGAACCCATAAAACGCGATCCTTCTTCTTCCATTCCTAGCAGGGACCCAGGCTTCCTCCTGCACAGATTCAAGCCTGAGTCGTACTACTACGGCTTAGTCCTCCTCTATCGCAACGCCATCGTGGCGCTGTTGCCGGCAATCCTGGTTGGCGTGCCTGAAATTCAGCTACCGCTGATGGGCATCATGCTGCTCGCTGTCCAGAACCTGGCCTTGCAAACGGCTCCGTGGCGCACCGCAATGGCCAATCGGGTCGACATGCTTTTGACCGACCTCCTTCTTGTAGCTTGGTTGTTCTTGAAGCACTGTTTCCGTGTCGTACACTTGAACATGATTTTTTCAGAGACTCCCAGAACCCTTGCAGTTCTCAAGCAATATAGAACGTAAGGGATCCTTAGAATGCTTGAAGATGTAAATGTATTCCTTAGTGTTTGGGAGTTTCCGGGTGCCCCCGCAATACACGTCAGGTCACACTGCTCTGTGCCGGCCCCCTGCTGCTGATCGACGAGGTGCAGTCCACGGCCGTGCTGGGATGGCTTCTTTGCGTGCCAATCCTCTCGATCTTGCTTGTGGCTCTCCTTGGCTTCCTGAGGCTCGCAGTGAGGGCTCCTTGGTTTATGTGGGCTGCTCACGTAACCCCCATATGAAGTCGGGCTTTTTGTGGGGATCGGGGTGCCCTGAGGGGGAATACTGGTGCCCTACCTCGTGCCTGGTAGCTTAGTACATCCACCCAAGGCCATCAGGCAGAAGCGGGCGAAGCTCTTCGACATATTCCTGTGTCACCATAAGGCAGGCGGAGGGAGCTTGAGCCGTTGGATGAAGCTCTTGATTTCCCAGCACTCCTCCGCCCGGGCGCCTAGGCTCCCGGAGTACCGTTGTACTATTTGTATTTGGTTTTGAGGTGTCCTTGTCCTTTGATTTGATGAAAGCGGCTGCTGGGTGAGGTGTTCTTGGACAGCGACCAGCTCCAGAACCTGGACTTGCTCTTCGACATCATCCGGACGTCGACAAAGAACGTCGTCGTCGTGCTAACAGGAGAGTTGCTGTCCAGAAGTTGCTGGGCTGTTCTTGAGGATGATGTACAAAAGTGGTTTCCCCTATTCTCAGGAGAACAAGAAGCCAGAATCTCACAACGTTCAAGGTTTATTCAGCGCCTCCAGCAACAGTCCAGGCTGGTGCGCTGGCGAGATCGTGACAGCGTGGAAGAATGACATCCCAACAATTCCCTTGCTCTGCGATGGTTTCGAAAGGCTTTCTGACGAGGCACAGACGCAGATCCCCATGCGTTGGACGCCTCACCAAATTGCATCTGAGTACTGGTTAAGGAAATTAGGGTTACTTAGCGTATCATGTATTGTGCCAAGAGAAAAGGGCTCCCCAGGAGGATGTTGAGATGTACCTTACATTTTCTGGTGAGATCCTTCTTTTTGACACAGTGTAGGTAGTCGAGCTACAGGCCTCTTATTGTACTTTTACGAGAACCCAGGCACAGCTGGCAAGCTACGGGATACAGGAGGGCGAAGTGAAGTTGGCATCCCAGCTGGCAATGTGGGATGTGTTTTTGGGTAAGTTCCCCTGAGGTTCTTTGAATAGATACTTGTCATAAACAAGCCGTAAACCCCAGTAAACTCCAAAAACCCTAAAGCCCGGAAAGCCCTTAACACCGTGAAGCTCCTTAAGCTCCTAAAGCTCTAAGCTATGCTAACCGAGGCCTATGCATGGCTCCAGCATGAGCTGACCCCTCTCCAGATGTCTCGCTTTGGTCCAGCGCGGGTCCCAGGTTCAGGGTTACAAGGGTTTAAGGTTCAGTTTGTCAGAGATGAATATGCCTATATGTATATTGGAAGAACGGTGATAGTTGTTGATGATCTGTCGTGATATGGTTATTGTTCGTCGTCTTGTCTTTGACACGCAGACTTCTGGCTGGCAGCATTGGGACCATGCCCAGCGCTCGCCACTGGCTTACAGATCGAACTTCCGAGGTTTCTGAGCGGGAAAGTGTGGTCGTGGAGCTGCTGAACGTTTGTGGCGTGTCTGCTCGTCGTAGTACGAACAAGATGGCCAAGCAACGCTCGCGACCCCGGATTCTGGGCTCTTTCAACGTAAAGCCGGCATGAAACCTTTCTAAGTAACCATAATCAGTATCAAGCCTTATCAAGCCCTATAAATCCTTGTCAAACCCTTTCAAATCCTGAGTTGACCCAGGATTCTCATCATGAGCTCCTTCATAGAGGCCGAGTGCTTATCCGCTTGCGAGGTCTTTCAGTTTCTTGTGCAATCGCACCTCCATGTTGAGTGCGAGGCGGGAAATCAGGGGTTTGGGGGTTAGAGGTTCAGGGAGTTCGGGCTTTTATACGAGAGCCGCTTAAACCCTAAACCCTCAACCCTAAACCCTAACCCCTAGCCCCTAAACCCTAAACCCTAAGCCCTAAACCCTAAGCCCTAAGCCCTAAGCCCTAAGCCCTAAGCCCTAAGCCCTAAGCCCTAAGCCCTAAGCCCTAAGCCCTAAGCCCTAAACCTGAAAGAGGCACCCGAAAGTTTCTTAAAGCTCGAGGTTATGCGCGACGTTCATCAGATTGCCACATGCAAGCCGTTCGCCTACTACCTCATTGTCTTGCTTTTCCGCGGCATCTTTCGGGACCAAGAGTTCATCAAGCTCCTCCTGCATCTAAGTTCTCTAATTTCAAGTTTGCGGGTTTCTTTGAGTGCTTATGACTTTGTATGACACTGAACTGGGTTCTTGCAACTTAGTATGGCTCCGAAAGTTTAAGCTTTTCTGTCCTGGGGTGTTGGGATGTAAGGTATGCTTCGCAGACCTGCGCCTCTTCGAAACGGACATTGGAGTTGGTGCCAGTGGTTCCTAGGATCTCCTCAGGATCGCGTTTCTTACAATAATTTTACCACAAGGGCACTTGTCTTGTGGGTGCCAATGCTTGCTAGGATCGCTTCTGGAACGACATTTATTTGCAAGAGTATCACCCCCCCCCCCCCCCGGGTCAAGGGATTGTCGAAGAGATTGTTCTCATCTTGACCAAGGGATGAAGCCTCAACCGTGCGAAGCATTCCTGTACGATTTGGGGCCCAGATAAACGCCCACCAAGAAGAACCGTGCTTTAACCCCCGAGCTCCCTTGTACATGACTTTTCGCAACTGAGATTGCCGACTCCACCTTCGAAATGCCCAGCGTCGAAGCCATGAAAACGAAGTTCGGGTGCCAGGCGCCTCCTGGGGGTCCAGCCCACGAGGACCAGGTTCCTGGCCCACATTTGCTCTGGATGTCCTTTCAAGGGGATTGTGGGTTTAGGGCTTTGGGTTTCGAGTTAAAGCAAGTCTGTTGAAAGGAGGGCCGTTGGGGATATGCTCAGCGGACCAATATTCCATTTCCACAAAGTATATTTACGATAATGATCATAGCGATTCTTCTGGTACATGCGCAAATGAAGCGCACGCCCTCAGCATGTGGGTACTCAGAACAAAACCAGGGGTATCTATCTTGCAAAAAGTGTTAATAATCAGATGCCGCTCTCTTCACTTGCTGTGTCACCTCACCTGACCCTGCTCGCATAGACGCTTGCTTTCAGACATGACTGAACTTCACGATAGCGTGTAGTGTGTGAAGAGTCTCGAGTGGACTGTCGGATACACTTGGCCTGGCCTCTGTCTATTTCCACCATTGGATTGGGTTCCCAATCCCGAAGTGATGAACATGGCACCCGCTGGAGAAACTGCGGTGGCTCACGACCACAGAAAATGCTTCAAGAGCCGAGAGAGGGTACGAAATCACTGATCACCCGAAACCATATCCCAACATCAGGCCGAAGCAGGCTGTACTTGAAAACCGAAACTCCTTGCAACCGAGTGAGGGGATCATTTTGCGCTTTTGTTGGAAACATGGTGCGAAGAGAGGTCAATACCCATGCATTCAGGGACATTCTTTAGCTCAGATGAAGAGGCCCCATATTCAGCTCCTTAACTAACAGGTATTGGACTCTGTGGATAGCTACTGCAAGGTCAACGCCCAACCCAGCAAGTAGGCCTCAGATGTTAAGCAGGGTGTAGGGATCAGAGGTTTAGATGGATTCAGGGCTCGGGGAGCAGGGGTAGAAGCTTTGGGGTTGAAAGTCCACACGACGCCGGCCCAGGTTTTTCGGAACTTGTGCAAGGTGTTGGCTTTGCCATTTGCACCGTTGGCATCGGAAGGTTTACAAGAGAGGCAGGTGGCGGAGATCGCATCTCGAATCCACCGGTATCAAGACGCTTGACACTGTTAAAGTTTCCGGCTGAAGGGGGCTCAGGATAGGTGCAAACCCTCAACCCTGAATCAATTGAGGCCCTCTAAACCCTTTCAACCTCCCAACCCTGAAAGCCCAGAGCCGAGGATCCAGTCACCGCGGCCCCCAAAGACGAGAGCGAAGATCAGTTCCTGCGCCCAACAAATGTCCAGCTGCTGGAGGATCTTGCCCCACAGGCCCAGATCCTCCGGGGGAGGTTGCAGGAAGAAGCTTTGTATGATTGAAGTGACCTCCCTGAATTCGAGGAATCTTGGGCTCTCTGCAGGCAACCCTGCGACTGTCTTAAACCCCAACGCAACCTTCAATCTTAAACGCTGAAGCCCAGACATTTATCAGAAAGCCCCAGAATCTTTTTCAAGAAGCCTCAGAATCTTTTACGCCACATTGTCGGGCTTGTGTGAGGCATCCGTGACGCCTGACATCACGGATGGCCACAGCCAGATGCTTAGTTCTCTGCTTCATAGGCGTCCCTTCATTGGGGTGCCTTCAAGTCGTATGCCCGGCGAAGTCTCCTTTGAAGGGCAACCGAGTCTCAGGTCCCATAGGCCAACCGGGTTACGTGGTCTTGACCACTAAGGCCAGACGTCCGAGGATGTGAAGCCTGAAGAAGCGGGCACAATGGTGGAGTTCGTCTTCTAGTGCAATTTTCGATCGTCAAGTGACTGGTGCAGTTCTCGATCGCCAATGGAGCGATCCATCTTCTTTTTAAGCCGACACAGCGTAGGTCTGTGCAGGCGTAGGGTTGAGCTTTAATGGCTACGCGTACCCAGGTTTTCAGGTTTACACATCTTTTCTGTACTTTTCCACCCTCCGATAATTGGAGCGATCAGGAAAAAGTCGGGTGCATGCTGCAGAGGGCGCTTTAACAATCTAAGCTTCCCTTCCAAAGTCGGGTGCATGCTGCAGAGGGCGCTTTAACAATCTAAGCTTCCCTAACCTCTTGGGCTGCAGGGTTGTGGGAGAAGAAGAGAGGTTTCATGATCTGCTTAGGAAGTATTTCAGCATCTCCTGAAACAGCAGACAGCCCTTGGCTTGGAAACCGGGTCATAGCCGCTCAACTGTTGCCACAGTCGCATAGGGGAAACTATGGAAACTTTACTAGCGCTTAGGCCAGTTCAGACTATAAATCACTCAGACTGGGGCCATGGTTCCCTGCATCCTCCTGCTCCTGGCCTGCAGCAGTGCCTCTCCAGCACGACATCCTTTGGTCGGCTTAGGCCGGGCACCACCACCACAACACCGCAGAGACCTTGACCCCATGGACCCCAAACTCCCAAACTTCTAAACTCCTAAATTCCGAAGCCTCCGAAAACCCGCACACAAAGCCCACCTAAGAGACCTATATATAAGCTCCCTCCAAGCCAGGCCTGGCTGGCAACTTGGACCACGACCCCGCCGGGGTCGCCTCTGCGGTTGAGGCATGGCTCCAGCTGGGGGGCCGTGCCATTGACACAGCCCTCATGCACCTCTGGCTTTTTTGGGGTTTGGGGATTCCTTTGGGAGGTTTTCGTTTTTTGTTTGGGATTTCGGTGTGGTTTCGGTTGAGGATGGTTGAGGGAGGAGGGAAGGCGCTTTGCAGCAGCCCAGGTACGGCCACGACGAGGGCCTGCGCCAGGGTCTGGAACGGAGCAAGGTGCCTCAAGAAGAGGTGGGAGGTTTGGAATGCTTTTGAATCAGTGGGATCTTCATGTACCGTTAAGCCCAAAGCTGTCATCCCTGTGGAGCCAGGTCTTCATCACCTCGAAGATTCCCCCGGAGCGCATGGGCTTTGAGGAAACGCTGGAAGCTGCCGCGGATGCCCGCGCACGCATCGGGCGGCCTTTGGATTGTCTGCTGCTGGGAAGGCACCCTGAGCCCTCCTAGGCACCCCGAAGCCCTCAGCCCGAAAAACAACTGGGCACGAATTCAGCCTTAGAGTTAGCAAAGCCCAGAACGAAAGTCCCTCTAGTTGACGCCCAAGGATGATCCACTGGCCAGGCCGCCCGTGGCCCAAGCGGGACAGCGATCCCAGCTGTGTCCTGGCGAGGGGGGCCAGCCTTCCAGGAGACCCCAGGTCAAATAATGGGTTGTTTCAAGTCAGGTTCCTCTTCAGCAAGGGATCCTAGTGCCCCTCTACAAACCCTCAACCCAAAAACTCGAGACACCCAGCTCCAACTACTGGGACAGCTTGGCACTTCGAAAAACATCCCAAGCACTTGAAAAAACATCCCTGATTTCCATAACCCCTCCCCCCTTGAACGGGACCAAAGGCTTCGGGGCGTCATCAAGCGTTCCGATCTCAAGGACTGGTCCGAGTGCCGGCGCGCAACGTGGGAGGCGCTGCGGTCGCTCAAACGCTCAGGGGAGGTTCGCCTCATCGGCGTTTCCAATTATGCACCTCGCCGAGTTGGGTAGGCTGCTGTTCAGTTTTTTTTGTTTCGAAGTGTCCTGTCGGAAGTTGAACGGCCAACCTGGTTGTGGGCACCCATGCCCCTGAGACCCTACTCTCTACAAACCTTTGCATACCGGCTCAGGCATTGCGGGTCGATGGATTCCTACAAACCCTGAAGCCCTCACCCTCAGCCTTGCGTCGCAAACCCTCAGGCCCTGAGTTGTAAGCCGCAAAAGGGCCCTTAACTGTAAATTTTAATGGCAACCGTGCATGGCAACCATCAACTCCTCATTCAAACTCCGTCCGAAGTTCCAAACCCTTGAAAGCCCGGAGAACCCGGGTCCTACAACAGGCCCAAGGCCTTTAGCCCAACACCCCAACAAGGCTGGTGGACTCCTTTCCCATTCCTTCACCGGCAACTGATGCCCAGGAGCTGCCCCACTTGGCTGAGCTCCAGGCGCTGAAGGCCCTTCCCGACGTCCTGCAGATCGAGTTCCACCCCTGGCAGGGTTGGGCTTGCGGGGGTGTGGGCTTTGGGGTTTGGGATGCCGGGAGGTTTGGGGATGTTGGAGCTTCGGTTGAGGGGCGTTTGGAAGACTTTGAAGCCCCAACTCAGCTTCCAACCCCCGACCCCAAGACACTAAGCTGCCGGAGCCAAGCGAAACTTCTGTCGGGTCTATAGTGTCAAGGGGCTTGATTTAGAACCCTGTTCACGGCAGTTTCAGCAAGAGAGAGAGAGTGAGTCCTTTCATGGGTACATTTCTGCTTTCAGGGACCCCCCCCCCCCCCCAAACTCAGAAGCCCCAGGTGGCGCCATGGGGATCTCCTGAGCTGGTCGAGGGATCAGGGCGTGCAGCTGGTAGCCTACGGTAGCCTGGGAGGCTCGGAGTCGCCGATAGTTCTGGACTTCTCAAATACACTTTTCACCGTAAACCCTAAACCCTAAACCCTAAAGAAGGTCCAAGGGCTTTGGGGAATGCATGTCTTCGGGTTTCGTAGTGGTGACGCCCACCAGCCCCAGGCGCCTCTGCAGAGTGGCTGGCGGAGAGTGCGCTGCACAGCTTGGGGAAGGAGCAAGGCGGGATTCCCCCCCGACAATAGCGACACCCATTACCCCAAGTGCGTATGTCGTATGCCCCACCGTGAAGAAGCCCCTAAGCCTTGAACCCTCAAGCCCTCCAAGTTTGGGGGGTTGAGGATCGAGGGCTTTGTTCGGGGTTGAGTGGGCCGGGGGCTGTTTGCATGAACAGCCAGGCCTCACCGCGGCCCAGCTTCTGCTGAACTGGGCTGTGAGCCAGGGGGTCTCAGTGATTCCATCGGCTCGCAGCGAGCAGCACATGCTCGAAAACTTGAAGTGCTGCGAGCAGAGGATTGGGCAAAGAGCCCTGGACATCTTATCTTCCCAGCCAGACTCCCTCCAGCGACGCATACAGCCGGACCCCCGCTTCGTCATCGTCCCTGGGGTGCCCATTGAGCAGTTCGGGGGGCCCGTGCCCCCGAAGCACGCTCGGCTGGATCTCTTTGGTGCAATTGACCAGCTGCACATGGGGGCTCTGCGTCAGCAGTGCTGGCACGGGGACATCCAGCCCTACCCCTGCTGCCACCCTTCCTTCGGACCGGAAGGCCTTGCAAGCTGCTGCTTGCTCTTCAAGAAGCTGCCCGGAACCCTAAGCAACCCGCAACCCCAAATAACCCCCTTAAGATCCCTTAAGTATGGAGAACGGAAAAAGTCTCAAAATAGTCTCCTAACTCCTTAGTCCCCAAAGCTAGAAGAAACCAGCCCAGGCTGGGGAGCGGGCTTCGATTTCCTTGAGTGCTGCCTTCCTCCGGTGGTTCAGACGCTGACGTTGCCTTCTGTGCCGATGTCTCTGTCGCGAGAAGTGGACTTCATCGTCGTATCTGGGATCGCTTTGGGACCGTTTGCTCCGTTGCGACCTTCTCCTGCTTTTTCTTGTTGCCGCATCACGCTGAAAGTGTGCCACGGTGCTTGTCGTTCTGTTGCTGGGTACGTCCCTCTGCTTTCTATGACCTGAAGTCTTCAGTTCTGGGGCCCAAGACATTTCAAGACATTTCAAAACGTACTCTGCTCAAAAGTCTGGCAGGTAGGTGCAGGCTCTGCCGGAAGCGTAGCGGCCTCCCGGCTGGCGCGCCGCGGCTTCCTCGTGGCCTTGCTGGAGTCCGGTGGGCCCGGCGACTTCGCGGCCACGCAAGCAGGCTTTGCAGCTTTCGGAATTTAGGTTCAAGAGCTTAGGGCTTCAGGGCAGTTGCTAAGGAACGCAAAGGTTGGTGATTTTACACGTGTATGGTTTGCCACCTGAAGCAGAAGCTTGAATCAAGCTGTTCCGAGGATATGACGGCGGAGAAGACTCCCATCCCAATCCCTCTGCACCAAGGCAGGCCGACCACTGGCACTTTGGGCTTCGCAGAGAATAGTTGTGCCCGTTTGTGAGTTTTTCATCTTCGCCATGGTTGTTCCCATGTGACGCCAGAACTCCACACCTCCTGTGGGCCCGAAGACCATCTGAGCTGAGGTATGTCCATGACGTTGAATGGAGCTTAGGGAAGGTGACGAGGGCCACGCAGATCATCCACGGGCGCGGGCTCGGGGGCACCTCTTCGGTGAATGGCCGCTACTACACGCGGACCTTCCTCCCCTTCGACAGCGAGGTGGGACAGGTTTAGGCTTTAAGGTTTCACCCTCCATACCCCTCAAGCTTAGACCGATTAGAGGAAATATCATTTTCCTGTGACAACACAGGAAACAGAGGAATTCCGATTAAGATATAGAGGAAATGGATGTTTTCCTAATCAAACATAGGGACATAGAGGTTTAGAACGACAGAACAGAAGAAGGAAGAAAGAAACGCAGAGAAAGACGTACACAGCGAAAGAGATGAATGCAGAGCAAAGAAATAAATGAGAAACAAACTCGTCATGCGAGCATTTGTGGGGGCAGGGGGCCTGCGCCCCACCCGGCCCCCCGCTTTTTCTGCGTTGACGAATTGCAAGCTGGCTTGATAAACAAGAATCATCCCATAGAATAGAGGAGCGTGTTAAGACAATATGCCCTTCCTTCTCAAACCCATCTTGCGAGCGCGCTCTGCGCCCCACACCCAGTCCCCCGCTAGTGTTTTACTAGGAAAGCCAGTGTTTTGCTGGGAAAACCTTTATTTCCTTTCTATTTTCATCAGAAAGCCTCTATTTCCTCTATACTTGTCTGCAGCAAAACTCTATTTCCTCTGTTTCGTACCAGTAACAGGAATGTGCAAAACACAACCATTCCTCCCCCAATCGTAAACTGAACTCAAGCCCCAAGCCTGAAGCCTTTGCCAGAATCTTGAAGTCGACTAAACCCGAAGCTCTCTAGACCTTGAACCCGTATCCCCTGAGACGCGAATCTTTCCCCGAGGTGGCCTCGAAGGCCTACGAGGATGTGGAGTCCGATCTCCTGCTGCGCACCGACGACGCGGACGAGCGGTGCCCCTGGCAGGCGCGGTTGGGGGTTGGGGGTTTTGGAGTGGCGGTTTTTGGCTTGGGGATTCTTTGGGCCTCTGACCCAGGCCGCCATCCGGGGAGCCCTCTCCGAGGCCGGCGTGCCCTACATGAAGGATGTGTCCATGTCTTGGCCCCCTCGGCTTTGATTCTGAGGGGATTCTGAAGGGTGTTTGCAAGGAATTGGATGTTGGTGGATGGTCTGCTCTGGATGTCCGGTGTCAACCCTATAAACCCCATGCACCAGCGTCCATGCGAACACGCAGGCCCCAAACCCAAAACCCACGTAGTATCCCCTCAGAAGATTCAAGGAACCACACCAAAAGCCCTAAAGCCAAAAATGGCCCGAACCCTACACCCTGAGCCCCAAACCCCAACCGCGCCCAAATCAACGACTAAGAGCCCCAGGAATGGCTCTGCCGTCGGCCCCGCGCAGCGGATCACCGGCTGCCGGCGCACAGTGTCGGGGTCGTCGGGGTCGTCGGGGCCGTCGTCCTACCGCTGCGCTTTGGGTGCGGTGCCCCCCGATAGCGTGTCTGGGTCCGAAAAGCGGTATTTGAATTGGGGGGTGTGGATGTATACGATATGTGGCGATCATTGGCGATCAGTGTTCAGAGGGGCTCGGCGGTTTTGGGGTCACTACACAAGGGTCCTAGCTTTGCGGTGCTAAGGATGTCATGTTCTGACTCTCCACCGCGTGCCCAGGTGAGGGTCTTGACGCAATCGCACGTTGTGAGGGTGACGTTCCGCGGTGGCCGGGCTCGGGGCGCGGAGGTGGCCAGTAGCCGTGGCCCTACGCAGGTGGCCAGCCGCCGTGGCGTCGTTCTGTGCGCCGGTGCCTTGCAGACCCCAGCGATCCTGCAGCGCTCGGGCATCGGCAGCCGCGAGGACGTGAGGCGTTTGGGGATCACGCAGCTTGCGGAGAGCCCTGCGGTGGGTGGTTATCTTCAGGATCACCCGTACATTGCCTTCCGAGTGCGGACACCGCTTCCCTGTACGAACCTTCGCGGCAGCCTCTATGCCTTCTACTCTGGTCTAAAGGGCATCAACGGTGCCAAGGCTTTGGGGAGGCGCAAGTTTGAGCTTCAGATGCTTCCACAGTGCCGGGCCGAGAAGATCGAGCTCAAGAGCTTCTTGATCCTCCTCCGCAGCCGGACAGCGGGCCGTGTGGTGGCCCGCTCGATGGACCCAGCTGAGCCCCCGGGGATACTTTGGGACCCCTTTGCCGGGAACGCCTCGGATGCGTGGTCCCTTCTGCTGGGCCTCCGTGAGATCTACAGCCTCCTTCAAGCTGCCTGGCCAGAGTTGTCCTTCGAGCCTTCCTACGAAGCGATGGTGGAAGATGGCTTCGCTGGCCAGCACTTTGCTCAGAGCTTGGGCTCCTGGCAGCACCCGATGGGCACCGCCCTCCTTGGCCCTGTCTTGGACTCCCGGCTCCGAGTTCGCGGGGTCGAAGACTTGTGGGTGGCCGATGGAGCGGCGCTGCCGGACTGGGCCCTGGCCGGGCACCCGGACGCCGGCATCCGCGCCCTGGGCTCCCTGGTGGCCACCTTTGCGGCCGAGGACGGAGCCGCCGGAGCTTACGGAGACCCTCCGTGATGAAGTGGGCTGCTAACTCCGCCTATGCACCTGTTCTGCTGCTGCCTCCACACTCCCAGATGTTGCAGCCTTCGTCTCAATCCACCTTTGCAATGTGCCTTGGTGTTTGACCCTCCTTCAAAATCGTTATGTAAACAACCCCAAGTACTCATTCTAATCCATAGGCCCCCGTCGTGGCCTTTGAAGCGTTCTATCGCCGTCGCTCATGTCTCGGGTTTTCTCCTGAGGCCGAAGGCGTTACAAGCTCTGCCTGCGTTTGACGCATCACCATCCAGAACATCCCTCCGTCCCCATCGATACCGGCTCACCCTCCAATGCTGTGGACATGCTTTCGGCGGCATCTGCGCTTTGGGAAGGAAGAAGTTGGGCATGGTCATGCATGGTCCATTATTCTCTCGGACCTCCAAGGCAGCAACTGTGGTGTTCTCATCAGCACTGGCAGTCCGAAGGGCCACAGGCAGGGCCGAAGTCCATCATTGGTTCTGGACCATGCGCCATCCCGCCTCGGCTATCTCCCCACCCCTTCTGGGCTCTTGCCGCCATTTTTGCCACCATTCCGCCCCAGAGCCGCACCAGTTGGTCACCTGCCCCCCCGGGACTGTACAGCAAAGGCGTCTGGCCTGCAGAATGGCTGGCTGTTCACAGGCTGTGGACATGCATGCGGCGGCATCCGGACAGCGCTGCCGAAGGAGGAAGTTGGGTCATTCCAGATGATGGACTCAGCTCCTGCCACTGGAGATGCGAACATAGCAGCTGCCCGGTACTGACACAATGCAATGAAAGAAATTGGGCATGTTGACCGATGGGCAGCTGGCATTGTCAGGCCGGCCACCTGAGCCACCGTCTCGGATACCGCCACCGCCTCCGCGACTGTCACGAAGATCGCATCGTGCACGACGAGGCCTCGAAGATGACAGGCAGAAGCCCCGGCAAAAGGCGGCGTGGAGATGGGATGTGAAATTTGCAGGCCCAGAGGTCCGGCATCCCTCCAGCAGGCATAGCGGAGCATTCTGCACAGAGACATGCTGGAGACTTTCTGCGCCGAGGCTGACAAGCTCGGGAGGCCGTGAGCAGCTCGACGTTCGATACAGCGGTTCCTCGCCATAGGCAGGAAGCGAGACAGCAAACTACCTTCTAGGTGCTCTCCTCAGACATGGGAGGCAGCAGTTGCGCGAGATGCAACCGCTGGTGGTCATGCGCATTTCGACACAACAGCAAGACTGCAAAACTATGCAGTGTTTGCGTGTTTGGGAATGTACAGCTGAAAGCGGCACAGAAATTCCAGAACTGCAGCGTTCGCGTGTCAAAAGAAAGGCTCGATGGCGGCATGTGTCCGGCGCTTTCTCGCAGACAAGCGACCACTCTGAATGTAACAGCAGCTTGCGAGACTACGAGCACAACCGGAGTGGTGGATGTACTGCACATTCTCCACACGCATGACAACGTGAATGTATTTTCAACACGGGTCTCACAAAATCCAGAACTTGATCGACGGCGAGCGCAAGCCTGCAGACCTTTGGTCCTGAAAGAGTTGGCAAAATGGAATATTGGGCTGTCTTTGGGAGCCTGCGACTAAAGGCCTTGAAGGAGTTCGGAGTTCCGACACCCTTCCGAGGGACCGCAGGAAAGAGCTCCTGGATGTTCTGGATTCACCGGATGCTACCAGTAGCCGCAAGCATGCACAACTTCGGCTGAGGCTCTACATAGGGCTTTGGGGCTTTGGGGCTTTCGGGTTCGACTTTAAGAGTTGGAGTTGGCGGTGTCGCTGGGCGATGGATGCCACCGCTCAGGACTAGAGCGGCTAGGTTTGGGTTCGATGCAGTTCTCCATCTGCTTCATGACAGGCGTGGAAAAGCCTGAGCCCAAACATGCAAAAACCTAAGCCTCTCCCCAGCCCAAGCCAGGAGGAGCTTGGGGGCTCTAGGGCTTTGGGCCTCAGGGTTGGAGCTTCTGATGACCTAATCGACCCGAGCCCAGATTCAGATTCCGCTTCCCACTTTGCCGCTGGCCTCTTTGGCTCACAGATGAGAAGACGTGCCAAGAAGCCTTTGGGTGGGCGCACGTTTTTCTCTGCCCCTGGGCTACACCGAGGGGCTTTGGGTTGTGTTTCAGGTTTTCAATAGGGACGGAAAGCGCGATCATCCCTGTAATTGAGGACATGGTGACAATGCAGCGGCCGGCACTTTGGGTGCTGGCTTTATTTCCATGCTGCGTGGATGCCGCATCCCTGCGACGGAGCAAGATGACCTTCATCGAGGTCAAGCCTTTTAAGCCTTCTTGTTTGGCTCCATCTTTGTTTGGGGCCTCGCAGCACTTCAGTGCCGTAGTGGTAGGAGGGTAGCTCTGCGGTGCCCGTCGAAGTCTGAGCCCTCAACCCTATCAGGACTCTGAACCCAAAACCCCAACTCTGAGCTACAAGCCCTGTGTGCAGGAGCAGATGTCCATGCAGATGAAGCTCATGATGCCAGAGAGGGCGACCCTGAACAACATCGAGGCTCAGACCAGCCAGTGACACCTCAAGCCCGACTACGGTTTCGGATGTGGGGTTTAGAGTTGAAGGGCCAAAAGGAGTGAGTTTAGGGGGCCACCCACATCCCCCCACCCCACATCCTTGGGCCCCCCAAACCCCCAAACACCCTCTCTTTGGCAAGGCATCCATCCTCAACATGGCGAAGTTGAGACACTCGCATGGAGCCGGTGAAGCCGGCAGCAACCTGCCGTGGCCTGAGTTGGGCTATAGGGTCTCGGGTTTGGGGATGCGCCGGGCTCGGGGCCTGGTTGGTCCTGCGGTCCCGATGCCTTCATCTCGTGGGCCTGCTTGCCAGCCTCAACCCCCAAACCCCCAAACCCCCAAACCCCCAAACCCCCAAACCCCCAAACCCCCAAACCCCCAAACCCCCAAACCCCCAAACCCCCAAACCCCCAAACCACAAACCCCCAAACCCCCAAACCCCCCAAACCCCCAAACCCCCAAACCCCCAAACCCCCAAACCCCCAAATCCCCAAATCCCCAAATCCCCTAAACCTCAAACCCCCAAACCCTAACCCTCCGAAATCCCAGAAATGACCAAGGACCGGCTTTCTGGACCAGATCCAGGGTCTTATCGACAAGACCATGAAGACCAACATCCTTACAAGGTGGCTCCTTTTGTTTTTTGGAGGGGGGTGGGGGGGGGGAGGGTGGCATGCTTTTCTACTGAAGCCCCCAAGCCCTGAGGCCTTTGCACATGTGTTGGTGGGAGGGTTCCAGTGGTTCCAAGGCAAGGGCTCGAAGGCCCTCAGCGTGGCGATGTCTCCAATGAACATTTTAGGCTCATTGAGCCCTTAACGACGCCCGAACCCGCCGGGTTCAGGTTTCAGAAAAAGGAGGGGAGCCCTAAGCCCTGAACCCTAAATCGGGTCTGATGTACAGGCTTCAGGGGATCAAGGTTCAGCCACGAAACTCACGACCCAAGGAGATTGTTCGCGACTGAAGCTTCAAGCCCTCATCGAAACCCTGGACCCTAAAAGCTGTTTCACTTCTCGAACGAACCAACCCGGCTTCATCAGTCCGCCCTCAACCTGAAACTCGAAACCCCAAGATACCCCAAGTCTTCATATCCGTCGAGGCAAAATCAGACGCAGACAGATCTGGATATGGCGTGGGCCAACCTTAGCACCTCAGGCAAGATGGTTCAGGAGCGGCAGGCCAGAAACCCCATGCTTTATAAAGTCCTTTTGGTTTTCAGGTTCAGAGGCTTTCTGTGGATCGACGAGCCCTAAAGGCAATTTGCGTTTCAGGTGCTGGGGTCTTGTATGCATAAACAGCCGTTAAACCCTTTGGGGGTGTCAGGTTCAGGGCAGACCAGCCGAGGCACGTGCACGCATCCCAACGACACGGATTTTGTCGACACCCTTGCGGAGCTCGACAAGTCTCACACAGAGTGCAGGCAGAGTCAGGACTGTGCTTCTGAATCAACCTTGAAGCCCCCCAAGCCCGAAAACCTACTGTTTGAGGGTGGTTCAGAGGGTGTCAAGGATTTGGGCTTTATCCCTGGGACTGGGGAGCTCTAAGTTTAAGAAGTTGGAGAGCCTTTGCGATGCTTGGAAACAGGGCCGCAAACCTCCGCAAACGCTGTAGAGCGTGGAGACTGATCTGACAGCCAGCGGCGCTTTCAGATTGGCATAGGACACCATGTGGTCCAGCTACAAGCAGACCTGCATCACTGAAAGCAAGGGGCTCAGCTTTTTTTGTTTATCTCGGTACTGTAGGCTTCGGCTTTCTGCGTCTGTTCGGGTTCGGTTGGGGTATAGGGTTACTTCTATCACCACCTCTGCCAGTAGTTGGCACTGGGAATGTTCAGGATGGTCGCTGGGAGGTTGCGGGTGTGGCTTGCTTTGGGATGGGTGAAGTGTCCCCTGTTCACACCGTGGAAAGAATTGCTTTCCCTTGCTAAGGAGAGATTTATGAAAACGAGAAGAAGGCCATTTGCGATCAGTACGACAGCGTGAATGCGGCTCAGCTTGTTAGTCGTCCCAACCCACGTGCAGGTTCCCTTCTGTCAGCTTTCGCAGCCTGAACCACCTTTAACCACCCTCAATCCCAAACCGCAAGCCACCCTAAAACCCCATGTAACGCAAGAAAGGATTTGGAGTTGCGGAACCACCCTGGGTCCCTGAGCCCTAACCCGCAATGGCCGTGAGGTCTTCGAGAATCCCACGTCCGTCTGCGTGATGGCCGATGGCACCGCGGTCAGGGCCTCGGAGGGGCTTCGAGGCTTAGAGGTTTAAGGTTTAGGGCCGTAGGCTTCAGGGCTTAAAGGGGTTGTAGGGGTTGTAGAGGTTGTAGGGGTTTCCGGGTTTGGGGGCTTCAGGGGCTGCAAGGAACATCCAAAAGTACGCAGGTGCCCACCATTGGGAACTACCTGACGGCCATGGAGGCGTACTTCAACAAGAAGCATGCCGTCCTCAAGGAGTGGAAGGACAAGTGCGACAACGCCACCAACACCCCCTTCGCGAACGAGGAGCTGTGCAAGGAGAAAGTTTGCACCTACTACGCGCCTCTGCTGATCTAAGCAGAATTCAGCACCAGGGTTTTCTTGAGCTCATTGGATCGCCCGGACGGGCGCCCCGAACCCCCATGAAGCACCCCCCACCCTAAACCGAAGTGGACTGAGTATGCTCTGGTGAAGCCTCAGGACAAGAAGATCGAATGCGACACCAAGCAGAACAAGTTCGAGCAGAAGTCTTGTGACCTGCACAGGAGCTATCGCTGCAGCACCTGGCGCTGCTCAAGTCAGCCTTGTCAACCCCCTTGTCAGCCCCCTAGAAGCCCTAATAAGCCCTACAAGTCCTAAGCCCCGCAGGAACCCAAAGCCCCGAAGGTGTGCCTTGGGCTACCGAAACCACTCAACACTAAAGCCCTACAGCCCTGATCTCAGAAAACTGCAGTTTCATTTTCAGAATTGAAGTCTGGTTTTGTGAGGGTTGGAAGGTGTTTTAAGGGGCTTGAGAATTCTTCTTTCCACGGTTTATGAGGGTTTTTTCAGTCGCCGCCATCAAGCCCCAAATGCCTCCTCTCGCCCACTTCAGGTAGCTACACGAATTGCTACGACCAGAAGAAGGCAAAGCTGGGAACAAATGCAGCGGGAGAGTCGGGTGAAGCGTGTCGGGCTTGAGCCCTGAAGTAAGCCATCACCGGCCTCAGCTCCCCAAAACCCTGAAAGCTTGCTCCTGAACCTACTTGGAGTTGGGTTGGGGGGGGGGCGAGGAGACGTATCGGAACATCGTGTCCCTGGCCAAAGAGAGCGAGTTGGCGGCGCAAGCCGAATGGAGGGCCGTCAAGAGGACCGGAGCAACTCAGGGTTTCAGGGTTTCCGGGAACCCGGAGCCCGGTCCTCAGAGCCCCAAGCCCTAGGTTTTCCGGGTTCTGCCTTGCAACGCCCAGGGCGCCCCCACTCCCTGAATCAAGCTTCCTGAGCCGGGTGCCTTCAGGATCGAGTGCCTCATCAATGCCCTGCGCGTCACAGAGAGCGAGCTTGCAGGGGCCATCGACGCGTGCAAGGCGCTTCTTTCGCCTGTGTGGGCAGCGGCGTTCCCTGTGCTTTCGACACGCAACCCAACAACAATGCAACAATGCAACCCCCAGCCTTCTCAGCCCCATCGACCACTCAACTCTTCAAGCACAGCTCTGAAGCCCTTGAGCCCTCAAGCCCAAAAGCAAGCCACTAGCCCCTTGACCCCATCCGTGTGCAGGCCAAGAGGTTTGGCACAGATGCAGTCGAGATGACCTACAGGGGCGATCCCCCACCAGTGCGCTCCTGCTCGGAGGCCCAATTTCTAAACTCCAACCCCCAAGCCCAGTTCAGCTAGTTCTGGGCACTTTTGGTGTTTGTATCTTTTGCGTACCTAGTTTAGGGCACCCCAAAACGGTGCTTTCGTGCTTTTGTCTGCGTCGCATATGGGACCTCGGGAGGCAAGTTGCGAGTTGTTGGTGCTTCGCTGCCCGGGCGCAGGGGTCGTTGAACTCTTGGGACCCACTTTTTAGCCTCCATCATGCTCTCTTTGGCCATGGGGGCCATGGGGGTGCAAGGAGCACTGCCTCGCCCTGCCTCGCAGGTGTACTTGCAGCCGGGCGCCGCGCTGTTCTCCAGCACGTGGTACACTGGCATGCCCACGGCTGCGCCCGCCTCCAGCTGTGCGTCTTCGTACCTTATCTTTCACTGGCTCGGCTGGGTGTCTAAAGATCCTGCTTGGGCTAGGAGACAATTGAAGTGAAAGGGCTTTTGTTGTTTGGGGCAGCTCGTGCAACACTGGACACCGAAACTTGTGGTTGAGAAGGGTGGGGGAAGCGTGCAAGGCTCAGAGCGGCAAGTTGTATATCATCTGAGTCCGCTGGCCAAGGTGCTGCATGGCCGAGGCATTCAGCTCGACGTATCCCTCGACTGTTACTTGCCCATATGTGAAATCTCAGATTACGACCACAACGACGACCGCCTCGACGACGACAAAAGCCGTCGCACCTGTCTTCATGGCCAGTGCCAGCCCTGCCGCGCCTTTCGGAGGCATGACATTTGGCGGCCTGGGGGGGATGAGGCGGTAGGCCCCGGGGGCCCTGCAGGCCCGGTAGCGCCTCCTTATTGCTTTGCCAGCCCGCAAAGTCTTTTTGGCTGGCAGACCTAGACTAGCCACAGTGCTGAAAAAAAAGCATGAGCATGTTTTGGGAGACTTCACATGGACAGATTGGCTGCACCACCTGCCGGCGAGCCTATTCATGGTTCCCAGGTTTCAAGAAGACCTGAACCCACAAATCCCACGTGTGTACCTGTGAAAAGGGCTGAGCTTGAAGAGACGCTTGACAAGACCTTCGTAGAGGTTTCGACGTTTCCTTCAGCTTTCGGTGCCGCGATTCTGCCCGGCTCAAGGGGCTGCAGGCCGGCTGTCAGAACGTAGCAAAAGGCAGCTACACAGGCACACGCCATGGGCAAGAAAAGCTACCAGAACTATGGGAATCTCGGCTCGGTTTCTCCGCAGGGCTGTTGAGTTGCTTCTTTCTCACAAGCCCTCAATCCTAACCCGACAGGGCCTGAAGCCTTTACCTTTAAACCCTTGGCCCCTCAATCCTATTCCCCGCAACCTCTCGCCAGCCTACCGTAAAGCATGAAGGGATTCGTGTCCTGAATGCCCCAAATCATGAAACCATGACTGCGAGGAGGGCCTTTCCTTAACTTAAGGACTTTTTTAAGGGTACTTATTGATCAGAAGAGGCCTTCTCTTTAGGGTACCCAAGAACGACCGGCAACTGATGTGGTGGTAGAAGAGCCCTAAACATCCCTAAACTACCCCGCAGCCCTAAACCTCAGGAAGACCTTCCGCAAGCCGAAGCGACCCTTCGAGAAGGAGCGTCTCGACGGAGTGACTGGGCTGGCCAACCTCATGACAGTGATGTGCTCTATTTGTTGTGTGCGTTTGTTGGGCGGGACGCCCCTTCTATCAACAGTCTTGAAGAGGCCTTACAACAAGGCAATTGTTCCTAAAAAGGGGGGATGGCCCGGACGCCCTGGGCACCAAGGAGATGAAGATCATCGGTGAGTATGGCCTGAAGAACAAGCGCGAGGTGCGTGGGTTCGGAGGGCGCTAGACTGAAACCTTGCGAGACTGGGGACATTGGTAATTGAGGCGCGGAAGGATGGCTTGTTTTGCATGAGGAGCCCATGGAATCCCTTTCTTGACCCGCTCGGGGCCGGGGTACCGCGGCCGTCCAAAGGTGTGGCGCGTTCAGTATGCCTTGGCCAAGATCCGCACAGCTGCGCGCACGCTGCTGACGCAGGAGCGGCTTTGGGTCTTTGCGGGTCGGGGAGGAGAACGGCCCTCCCAAACTCCGAAAACCCTCGTTCCCCGAGGATCCGAGTAGTGTTTGCTGTTTGCCTCATATGTAGGATGCAGCGAGCCGATGCAGCCCCTCAGGCGTACAGCCCAAAGCCGTGCAGAGAAACATTACAGCCCGGAAGCCTTGTGCAGACAGAGCCAAGAGCGCACCATCTAATCCAGAACTTCCTTCCCCATCCATACCTGCTCACCCGGCAATGCTGTGGACATGCATGCGGCGGCATCTGCGCTTTGGGCAGGAAGAAGAAGTTGGGCATGGTCATGCATGGTCCATTGTTCTCAAGGATGGACTAAGGCAGCACTGTGGTGTCCTCATCAGCACTCGCAGTTCGAAGGGCCACAGGCAGGGCCGAAGCCCATCATTGAGAACCATGGACCATGCGCCATCCCGCCTCGGCTACCTCCCATGGACTCACTGGAGGTGCTCGTCATCGCAGTTGCCCGGTCGGCAACTGTACTGGCAATTGTGCAGGAAGAAGTTGGGCATGGTCCACCAATCTTCAGCAGGATTGACTCAGGCCCTGCCAGCCCCAGTGACGCCCATGGCGCCTGTGATAATAATGCCGCCTCCACGAAGCAGCTGTGGTGTCAAAACCCCGCAAGGCCACAGTTCAGCACCATCGCGACGCCGTGACGACACCAGACCTTCAGAGCGTAACGTTGCCAACTCTGGAGCCGTACCAGCGGGCCTCGAGAGGCTCCTGGAGGCGGAAGATGCTGGGCGCTGACCAGAGGGAGCACTGTATTGCTTGGTGGTGCAAGAGATCTGCAAGAGGATGTTTTGGGATTTTGCGGACTCTGAGACTGTTGTCCAGTCTCCTGGTCTGTGGCAGACGACACAAGTGGATCGTCTTTGGAAGGCGTCCTGAATGAGCGGGACATATTAGGAAACAAGCTCGGCCACAAGACGATGGCCCCGGATTTGGGCTTAGCGTTGACCGACTGGCAGCTTGCGCTGCCAGGCCCGCCACTGAGCCACCGTCTCGGATACCGCCACCGCCTCCGCAACTGCCACGAAGATCGCATCGTGCACCATGAGACACCTCGAAGATGACAGTGTGAAATTGCAAGCCCAGAAGTCCGGCATCCCTCCAGCAGGCATAGTGGCATAGCGGAGCAACTTGCACAGAGACATGCTGAAGACGTTCTGCGACGAGGCTGAAAGGTTCGGGAGGCCGAGCTTGAGAAGGTCGGTGTTGGATACAGCGGTTTCTCGCCACAGGCAGAGGGCGAGACAGCAAACTACAGCAGTTGCATGGGATGCAGCCACTGGTGGTCATGCGTTTTTCGACACAACGGCAAGACTGCAAAACTATGCAGTGTTTGGGAATGTACAGCTGAAAGCGGCAAAGACATTCCAGAACTGCAGTGTGATGGCATGTTTCAAATCCTGGGTGGTGGTGGTTCTGCATTACTATTAGGATCTTTTGAGGGGGATCCCATATGGCAACGCTCCGCATGGCGTTTACTTAACGAAAATTTTGATTTGCATGGGCCCATTCTATCGTCATCGACAAGAACTAGGATCTAGAAGTTATGTTTCCTCAGCTTGTCCTTGTTTGAGGTAGAGATGAGGCTCCAGGGTTTGGGGATGGTTGTTCTAACCTTAGGGCCCGTTTTTTCAGCCTGAACCCCCTTTTTGATCCCAGGAGGAAAGGAGTGAGACCAGGATCTTCCAGGGCGAGGCGTTGCTGAGGCTCCCGCCATTTCAGATGCGACTGCTTGCTGTTGCTTCCGGGCCTTTCGGGGGCGAGGGAATAGTATACGCTCTGCGCTGGAGTTCCGCGGGAGGCGTTGTGGGCTCTAAATTGTGGGACACATATTTTGTTCGCCCCCCTCCTCCTGCCTCGACACCTCTCTTCTCCTTCAATGATTGTCAGCTTGGAGGGGTTCGGGGTTCTGTTTTCGATAAAGGTGTTCGGGCGACGCCTGGGCTGAAGTTTTGAAGGGGCCATTTATTCTGGCTGGAAAAAGAGAGGGTCCGTGTAAGTGCAGGATGTCGAGTCGTCGGGATCCCTAGCTCGGAGGGCCTCAAACACTACTGACAGCAGGAAGCCCCGAAAGCCTGAAAGCGCTCGAAGCCCTCAAAGCCCTAAAGAGCCCTGAAGCCTAAGAGCTTTCAGGGTTTCAGGGCGCTCTGCCCCGGAGGCGCATGGTTCGCCTGGGCCTGCTCCTGGAGTCGGAGAAGAGACCCGGTCCTGATCGGATTTTGTTTGTGAGCTTGGGGGACAGGGCACTGTGAGCTTCTTCTCCCAAGGGCAACTGTCGTCTTGGCCCGCGTCTTTAAGTGACACCCTCATGCGAAGTGGTAGTCTTGTTCCGCGCCGCCCTCAGAAGTAGCGGTTGGCCTTGCTTTGCACGTACCAGTTTAGGGTTCAGAGGTGTTCCCTGGGATCACGAGGATTCGTTCACCTCTTGGAGTTTGAGAGTTTAGGGGCCCTTAAAAGGGGTATCTTCAAGTTTTTCAATATTCAGTTTGTTTGAGGGTTGAAAAAAAGGGGGCTGCCTTTTTTGGGGTCCCTTTTGAAGCTTGGAGTTTCGGGTTAAGGTGGGGCTTGTAGGGGTCGAAGTGCTCGTGGCCCGTATTGTATTATTATTCTTCTTCTTATTATTATTATTAGTATTATTATTAGTATTTATTATTATTTTTTTTTTTTGGGGGGGGGGTTGGGGTGGCCAAACCTTCAGGAAGCTCGACTTTGTGCTTGGCCTGACGACGGCCAAGATCATGGAGCGCAGGCTGCAGACCAAGGTCGGAAAAAACCTTCGAAGCCTTCACCTTCTGGGACCTGGAACCGCTCGAGGGGCTTCCGGGTTTTATGGGGAATGGGGGAAAAGCAGAAGCCTAAACTCTAGAGCCACAAAAAGCTTGGGTGTCTCTCTGAGAACCCCACCCTGGAACCCCAAATCCTACACCCTCCCCCCCCCCCCCGCCACCAAATCCTGCAGGTCTTCAAGTTGGGCCTTGCGAAGTCCATCCACCATGCACGCACGCTGATCCGCCAGCGCCACATCCGCGTCCCGACTTCAACTTCTGGGGGCTTTTGAGAGCGGCTTTTGGGGGCCTTGGGGCTTAGGGGTGGATCCAGGAGGCGCAGCTGTAGCCTTAGATCTCTGGGCCTAGACCTTGCACCCTGGTTCCTTCTCCCGAATATGTAGGAATATGCAGGTCGTGTGTCTGTCGGTTGAAATGTCTTGTGGAGACAGCCGTCGCCGTGTGTCGCGCGTAGCTGCCGATTGGATGGGCCCTCGAGTGTGCATGTGGTACTCGTAGCACTCGTGATGATTGTCGGGCTCGTGGCTTCGATCACGGTTTCTGTGTGAACCTGAGAACCTCTGAGCCTCAGGCGTGGGAAAGCAGATCTGCGACATCCCCTCCTTCCTGGTGTGCCTGTGCGTCCAGAAGCACTCGCTTTTTTGGGGTTTTAGGGGGCATGACCTCGCAGTGCCCAACCCAAGCCCCCCACCCTCGGCAAAAAGGCGCCTGGACAGCGAGAAGCACATCGACTTCGCCCTGACCTCCCCCTTCGGCGGCGGCCGTCCGGGTCGTGTGCGCCGCCGCACGGCCGGCAAGTGGAAATTGAATCGAAGGGCTTACTTTGTTTTAGTACTTGTAGTTCTCATAAAGCGAATTAGGTACCTTATCTCAGGCCCTTTTTTACACTTTATAAGGGAAGGGTACGAAGCTCCTGAGTTTCCTATCAAGAAGCAGTCAGTAAGCTCCGGATCTAAGCTTCAGGGCTTAGCTCTAACAGGGCTGGTGCTTGGGGAATGGTGCGGTTCCAGAGTTTTGGGCTTCCTTCAACCCGACTCACCCCAAGCCGCTTCGACGCAGTGTCAATCTACGCGAAGCTTGATGCAAAGCCCCATGTACCAAGCCCTGCATGACGCTGTAAGGTGCCACCCGGAGACTCTTAACCCTAGATCCGCAAAGCCTTAAAAACCCCTGAACACCGCATGCACCCTCAATCCTCGACCCCTGAAAGCCTCAACGGCCCCTGAGGCAAGATGATGGCCTCGAAGGGTGGCGGAGGCGGTGGCGACGACGAGGAGGACTGAGCCACTGGAGCCACGGGAGCCCCTCGTCTTCAGGGTTTTGCCCAGTTTTGAGGCTCAGGGAGGCTTAGGGGGCGGGAGGCCTCTTTGTAAACACAGGTTTTCGTGGAGGCAGGACGAAGCATAGTGATGCAAGGCTGAGGTTAGATGGGCGTTCACCTGTGTGAGTTTCATGGTGGTTTGGGGCTTTAAAAAGCGGGGGGGTTGGGGGGGGCGCAGCCCCCCCATTTGCAAACTCAATGCTTGCATGTAGGTTTCAAGATTCATATGCTTTGAAGCAAGCTTGTGCAAGCTTAACAAGTGGGGGGGTTGGGGGCGGCGCAGTCTAGGCCATCCCAACTCTAATGTCGCACAGTTGTCATTCTGCACAGTTTAAGCTCCAAACCTCAAAGCCCAGCCTCCTCCATCCGAGGGGCAGCGCTGTGCCGCGACGACTCAGCTTTGGGAAGCCCTGTGCCGGCCGGAGAAAACGTGAAAGGGGTCAGTTTGTAAGTTGGTTTTCATGGAGCTCCACACCCGCACGCTAGAACCGCGCCAAAGTCCCATAATCTTGTACCCTGAGCCACGCAATATCCCAAAAAGATCAACCGCTGACCCTGTGCTCGATTCCGCTGCCTTTTTTGGCAACTCTGAGCGGGCGGGTGGCCCTCGCTCCGCAGATGAGGCGCGCACCAGAACCGAAAAACCCTTTACCGAAAACGCCTCAAGGCCCTTAGAGATCTTAATCTTAACCTTAGAGCCCTTCACCCCAAAATCCCAGAACAACTTTAGTGCTGCACGAACTCCAAACAGTCGTATTTTGAAGCAACATCGCTGCTTGCTGCAAGCTGCAAGCGCTGCGGTGCCCTTGGAGAAGATGGGGATTACCGAAGGGAAAGGTTCTGTTTGTGCACCTCCGGTGGGATAGCATGTGCCGCCTCAGGGAATGAAGCGGTCGCTGCAGACTTTCCTTGCAGCTCTTGCCCCTCGGCGATTCCAGTCGTGCTTGGCCTTGGCATCTTCTGAGGGTTTGACCTCCATCTCCTAACCCCGCAAGTCGCTGGATGAGTTGTGAACTCTTGAATTTGAATGGCGCGAAGTTCAACCCCGTGCCCCTAGCTCTTCTTTCCGGACATGCAGGGATTGAGATGGTTCTCCAGTCGCGAGACGCCAGTGTCCGCGTATTCGGGTTTCGGGCTCGGGGTTTTAGGTATCAGCTAAACAAGTTCAGGGCCTGGGCCTAGTGGGAAAGCCCTTGTCGATGCAGGTCCTTCTGCTGCTTGATGATGTTCTTGCAGCGGAAGTGTCGCAACTGGACTGCGTTGGTTTGCGTCGGGCTGTGCCCCCCCCCCCCAAGTCCAAATTGAAAGCCTAAACCCTACTGAGCCGGAGAACCAGCAGACCTGGTAAACCAGCAAACCCCAAGCCAATCAAGCCCTGAGCCCTCGCCCGAATCCTTTAAGCCCTGAACCCGAACAAGCATACCTCTGCCCAGGTCGATAAGTGTCCCGGAGCAGCAGGCCGTGGGCCCCCAGGGTTTGTTCTTTTGAGGGGTGGCCTAGGGGGCTTCAGGGGGGTGGGGGAGGGGGGGCTGGGCGGCTCGGCGTTTCTTAGGTTCAGGGGTGGGGGGGTTGGGGACGGTTAGGGGGGGGGGGGGGATTAGGGGTTAGACGCTTTGAGGGTTTGAGGGTTTAGGGGCCTCTGTCCTGGAGACTTCATTGCTAGGATTGTTGTAGGTAAGTGCTACAAAGACATGTCTACAAAGGCACATGTTTTTTGAGGGGCTTTGAAAGCCCCCAGGCTCTCGACCCCAGCTGGGGTGGTTCTTGGGTTTGGGGGTTCTTCCGTTCCTGGGTTTGGGGTTTAGGGTCTCGGGCCCACGGGACAGCCTAACTGCATCCCTTATAAAGCCCTGATCTCCTCGCATCCGCTTAACAGGCGCTTGCTGCTGAGAGGCGGAAAGCTTCGGAGGCCGTGGGTGGGCTCAGGGTTTCTCAGCCATCATCCATAACACTGTGGACCCCGAGGCCCCGAACCTTAGAAGTGTCCTAACTATTCCCAACCTCAGCCCTTGTCAGCATCAAACTCTCACACCCTGCAGGCCAAATTCGCAGCCTGGCAAAAAAGGGCGCCGGTGCTGGCGCAGCTGCCCGTTTGCAAGTTTCGAGCGCCGCCAAGCACCCTCGACCCTACGCCCCCCCCCCCCCTCCCGCCCACCAAAAAGGAACCCTGAACCCTGAACCCCCTGAGCCCCTGTAACTGTATCTCTGAGCTCGTGAACCCCTGAACCCCTGAACTGCCCTTAGAGCCCCAAGCCCCGAATTTGGGAGCCGCAAGGAAGTTCAATCGGCAGCTGCTTCCGCAGCACCGCCGGCAACTTCCGTGGCTTGGGCCGAACCTGGGGTCGGACTTGGGGTTCGGGGGAGGCTTTTTTTGGGGGGTTTGGGGGGGCGTAAGGTGCTACCAGTGGGGTCTCCAGGATGCAGCTTGGAGTTTGTGGGTTCTTGAGACTCCCCATGGCGCCGGCGCGGACCCAAGGGCAAGAGCCCTTCCTCCTCCCCCTGTCTAGACGCAGGTCGGCATCTTCGCTGGCACAGGCCCGACCTTTCTCTCTTTCTCTCCCTTTCTCTCTTTCTCTCCTGCTCTCCTTCTCTCCTTTTCTCTTTCTCTCTTGGGGTTTGTTCGGGCCGTTTCGGGGCCTAAGTTCAGCACTCAGAGCGCGAGCGCTGAAACCCCGTATCCCTGAGCCCCTCCACCCCTGAACCTCTGAAGCCCTGAGGCCCTTGAGGCCCTTGAGGCCTTTATTAACTTTAAGACTCTCCGGCCAGGAGGTCCCCACCCTAAAGCCGGTGGTGCCAGAGCCGACTCTGCCGAAGGACGCTTGGAGAGTTGGGAGTGCTGGGGGGTGGTTTAGGTCTAGGTTTTGGGGTTGCAAGGGGCTTAGGACCTGCAGGGTTTAGTTTAGACCCTGAGTCCCAAACCCCAAACCCGCTAGCTGTTACGGCTTTCAGCGTTGGAGATGTGGAGTTTGGGCTTTGGGGTTTGGGGAGGTGGTTGCCTGGAGTGGCGGGGCATTTTCGCGGCAAATGCTGGCCTGCGTGAGGTGGCGGAGGAGCAGTGGCAGAAAGACTATGAGGCTGGACTTCAAGCCCTCAAGTTGAACGTGAGAGACCTGAGGGCTTAAGGCTTTCCATGGCTTCCGGTGTTTGCTGGCCATGAGGTTTAGGATTGACACCAACAATTTCAAGGTCACCCCTGGCCAGGCCTTCATGGCACTGCAGAAGGCGCAGGGCCACCCAGGCTCCGCAAGGTTAAGGGCGCCATCGCGTGGTTTAGAGCCCTTTTCAAGTCTGCCCCTAGCGCCCCAAACCCCCCCCCACGCGAGACCCTGAAGCTTGGCGGGCTCCAAAACGCTCAGGCGTTTGGGGCCCCAAGCCAAGATGCCCACGGACTCGGTTTTTAAGAGGGGCTTCTTGAGGGGAGTTCAGAGGCAAGTGCTTGGCAGGTGAGGCAAGCCATGGCGGCCACGCCGCATCGCTCCTGACCCTGTCCGGGAGCCTGATCCTCAAGGGGATGAGAGACGAGAGAACGGGGAACTCGGGGAAGCTGCGCCAAATCTTCAGGAATGAGGGAACCACCGTGTTGCGCATTGTTGCTCTGGGTGTATGAGCCGTTCAGTGCATCAACAGGCTCCAGGGCTTAAGGTTTCGTCCCATTGGAAGGGGGGGCAGCTTGCGCTTGCACATTGCTGATTTGCTGCGACCTTGCCGGATTTCTTTCTCACTCCAGGAAAATTCTTCGGTATTCCAAGGCGCCTGGCACAATGTCGTTTGCGAAGGCGCCGCGATTCCGAGAAGGGCACGCTGATACACCTGGACCTGGGCAGTACAAGCCCAAGTTTACTAGCCGCTCAGGCGGTCCCAGCTATAGCTTTGGGAAGCCCAGGGGCACACCAAGGCAACCTGGGCTTCCCAAGCTGCGCCAAGCCCAGCTGAAGCTGGTGGCGGAGCTTGGCCGCGGTGGGCTTGCCACCGTGCACAGAGCACGCTGCTATGGCAAGGAATTTGCTGTCAAGCTGTGCCGCTTTCAGCCTGGGCTGACAAACCCGGAGCAAGACCGGGAAGGCCTTCACAAAGAGGCTTTGCTCCTGGCAGGCCTGAGGCATACAAATATCGTCAGGGCACTGTGCTTGGTGACGGACCAGCACGGAGTCATGGGCTTTGGCCAGGAGCTCCTGGGGCAGTCCCTAGAAGCTGCCGCAAGCATCGGCCAGCTGACCCCTCAGCGCCTGGCAAGTGCCGTGGCGCCCACCTGCATGGCCCTGGCACATATGCACCAACTTCTCATCGCGCACTTGGATGTGAAGCCGGCCAACATTTGCTTCACTGCCCAGCTGACTACAGTGAAGCTTATTGATTTCGATGCTGCAATGCCATTGCATCATCCGGATGAGGTGACGGAGCGCTTTCCAGGCAACCTCGCGGCACTATCTCCCGAGATCCTCGGCAAACTGCCGTACAGTCCCCTGGCGGAAGATTGCTTCCAAACAGGCTGGACTTACACCAAGCTCATTGAGGTGACACAGGTCATGTTCGACGAAGTGCTGCTGGCGCGTCTGAGCCCATTGCTTGAGCCTGCCGACACACGCCCCACAATGCAGAAGATGCTCGACGACCACCTGCAACGATCAGAGGCGCTGGTCAGACAGCTGCAGCCCGAGGGGCGCCCAGTCCTTCTGGGCAGCCGACCTCAACCTGACAATCCATTGCTGAAGCTCTTTGGATAAAAGACATGCGGGGGGCGCTGCGCATTGGCTCCCCCAAACCCCCCCCAAACCCCCCAAACCCCCCAAACCCCCCAAACCCCCCAAACTCCCCAAACCCCCCAAACTCCCCAAAACCCCCAAAACCCCCCAAACCCACCAAACCCCCCCAAAAACCCCCCAAAAAAAACCCCCCCAAACCCCCAAACCCCCCAAACCCACCAAACCCCCCCAAAACACCCCAAAAAAAAAACCCCCCCAAATCCCCCCCAAAACCCCCCCAAAAACCCCAAACCCCCCCAAACCCCCCCCAAACCCCCCAAACCCCCCGACTCCTTGCCTAAAGTCCTTGGCAGTCCAAGCCCCAGGTCAGGCGGGACTCGAGGCCAAGGTGGCCCAGGTTCTCGAGGCGGGGTGGGTGCATTACGGAGGCAACAAAGGGGGGGGAGGGCTTTTTTGGGAGTCTAGTAGTTTCTGCTTTTGTTTTGCCTGTTGTTTTTTTCTGTGTTTTTTTTTTTTTTTTTTTTGGGGGGGGGGGGGGGGGGTTTAAGGGTTGTTTGGGGAGGTTGAGGGTTGAGGTGGGGGTTTTGTGTTCCTTGAGCGTCGAGGGTCTAGGCTGAGGGTTTTTGGTTCAGAGTTGAGCGGAGGAGACGCGGCGTGAGGAAGAGCTCCACAGCGCGGGCTATGCGGCAAGGCGCGAGGACCCATTACCCAGGGTTTTGTGGGGGTCGGGGGGCTGTGGAGCTCACGATGCCATCCCTTCTGTCCGAGCCTGAAACTCCACAACTGTTCGTTGTCTTTGCCTCTGCCGAGTGTGCCCCCCTTCCGCGTTTTCTCGAAGGCTCCGCCAGGCTCAGTGGCTGAAGCTTCGCAAAGCGAAGGAGCGAGGTTTCGTGTCTCAGGGTGGGGGTAAGGGCTTTGGGGGCTCTTTTGATGATGTTTGGAGCTTAACGGCTAAAGCGCTGCTTCGAACTTTCGACTGAAGCTTCGAGGAAGGCTGGCCACTGCGCTTGACGTCATTTTACAAAGCCTCCTTCAGCCCTGAACCCTGAACCCCTGAAGCCAACCTTGCATGCCGCAGCCGCAGGAGGAGCGAGCCGACCGACACTTGGCCAAGCTGCAGGCGAGTGTATTTGGAGTGTAATTGTCGTTCTTCCTGTCTTCCAGTCTTCCTGTCATCTCGCTTCGCGAATACCACCAAAGTCTCGGGACCCTTGTCCTTGAAGCCTGGCGTGCGCTGAGTCTTAAGATGTATAGTGTCAAGGTCTTAAGCCCCGGATGTACTTTCAACTCGGTTGTACTCAGGCCTTGCAGGGCGCTTTGGGGGGAGTTCGGGGGGATGGTGGCGGCTTGCAGGCCTTCAAGAAGCAGGAAGACGCTGAAGTTGCCCTGCTTCGGGTGGAAGGCATCGGGCCTAGCACGATACAGTTTTTGCGCTAAGCTTAGGCTGCTGGGGTCTGGTACACTTTTGTACCCTCTGAGCATCTCTGAGCCATGAGAGTCTCAAAAGGTCAAAGATCCTAGGTAAGTACTACCATGATTGCGACCGTCAAACGCTGCACACTGCCTGCCTCTGTGTGACCAGGCGAAGCGTCCCAAGCGCTTCTTGGCTTGCAGCGAGCCTGAACCCTCAATCCTGAACCCTCAATCCTGGACTCCTGGACATGCAGGAGTTCTAGCCATTCTAGCCCACGCTGTTGTTGTTGTTGTGCCCCAACCAAAGTCGAAAGACATGGTCAGCTATTCTGATCCAGACCAGCCCTTAATGACCTTCGAAGATCCGGTACGACCTTGTGATAGTTTCTGCGCCCATCTTAGAGCATCGCACGGGAGCGATCCTGGCGCCCCCAAGCAACACGTTCTGGCAGAACGGCCAGGTAGGACGGTCCGAAACAAGCCCCTGGCAAGTCCATGCCTTTGGCCCTAGACCCCGAAAAAACCCCCCACACGGGCCTCAAGCAACAGCATTCTCAGCTCGCCAGAGCCTTCTGCGCAAAGCCTCCGCCCAAGGAGCCGCCTGCACGCGCGTGCCCGGGAAATCCTGGCGCAGCGTGAGTCAGGCCAGCGTTCAGTTCGGGGAGGTGTGAGGTTTGCGGGTGTTTGGGGGTTAGGAACCCGAACCCCAAGTCTTCCTGATGGATCAGGAGAGCTTCAGCAGGCCAGCCGCGCAGAGCAGGCACGTCGCATCCTCAGCATGCGCGCCATTGCGCGCCGACATCCAGGAATGAAGAGTCGTTGACTTGGGTTGTGGGGCTCTTGTTGAAGTGTGCGTGCTTCAGAAGCCGGAAGAAGGGTTAAGAGCAGGTCGTTCGGTACGATGAGCCCTTCAGTGGGACCTGGGAGCCCGTTCTTCCGATTGTGGCGGGGTTTTCCGGTCCTGCTGCTGGGGACCATCGTGCGAAGCTCTCGCAGTTCTGTGTTAGGGTCGCGACTATCGAAATCGTTTCCGCGGAGTAGCCACAACTTGGGGTTCTTTTCATGCTTTGGGACCTCCGATCTGCCCAGGATTCCGTCAGTGGCAGCAGTCGCATGAGACTGCGCAGTCTCAGCAGCACTTGTTCAGCACACAGACGCTTGGCCAACAGCAAGCTTCAAGGGGCTTGCCCCGCCAGATGAAAAGCTCAGAGAGCTCAATCAACAGGGAGCCCCCCCCCTAACCCCATGAGCAAAGTCTGGATCTGGAGTCTGTTTCGCAACACCGCAAGCCCAAGACTTTCCCGAGCATGAAGCCCCGCAATCAGGAGGGAAGCGGTCAGCGTCATCACCAAAGAAGTGCAGGGCAAGCATCGCAAGATGTTCGACGTGATCCAGGCAGCCATGTGCTGCGATAGTTCAGAGCTCATGGGTTCGCAGTGTCTTCAGCGCACCACGACACTCCTGAACATCGATGAACTCCTTAGGTGAGAACACACCTGCCGCTAATTTCCCATGCGCGTTGCCCAGTTCCGACCTGCAAACAGCAACACCCGTTTCGGTTGAAGGACCGGCCATATAACCTGAAAAACCCTCCTATGGTGCACGCGGCAGGAGCTGCAGAAGGAGCAGAGGCAGCATGTGAAGCAGCTCAGGCCAGGCCCGAGGGTCGTCCAAACCCTCAACTTCCCTAAGCCCTACGCCCCCTAAGCCCCCTAAGCCCCAAGCCCTAAACCCAGCTTGGATTGCTGGATGTTGCCGGGAGAGGAACCTGGTAGTTTTTCTCCGGGTCGCCGGGTAGTCAACCCAGCCGAAGGTGGGCACAGTCCTCAGGGTCGGGCTTTAAGAGCTGGGCGTCCCTTGGGGGCATATTCATAGTAAAGATTCTACTCTACCACCTATGAGGGATTTGCAGGGGTTTAGGGCCTAGGGTTTGGGCCCTCCAAAAGTCCTGCCATAGTACAACTCCGGGAGCCTCATCCTCAAGGGGATGAGAGAAGGGAGGCTGCGGCAGATCTTCAGGGTTGAGGGAACCACCGTGTTGCGCACTGTTGCTCTGGGTGAGCCGTTCAGTGCATCAACAGGCTCCAGGGCTTAAGGTTTCGTCCCATTGGAAGGGGGGGCAGCTTGCGCTTGCACATTGCTGATTTGCTGCGACCTTGCCGGATTTCTTTCTCACTCCAGGAAAATTCTTCGGTATTCCAAGGCGCCTGGCACAATGTCGTTTGCGAAGGCGCCGCGATTCCGAGAAGGGCACGCTGATACACCTGGACCTGGGCAGTACAAGCCCAAATTTACTAGCCGCTCAGGCGGTCCCAGCTATAGCTTTGGGAAGCCCAGGGGCACACCAAGGCAACCTGGGCTTCCCAAGCTGCGCCAAGCCCAGCTGAAGCTGGTGGCGGAGCTTGGCCGCGGTGGGCTTGCCACCGTGCACAGAGCACGCTGCTATGGCAAGGAATTTGCTGTCAAGCTGTGCCGCTTTCAGCCTGGGCTGACAAACCCGGAGCAAGACCGGGAAGGCCTTCACAAAGAGGCTTTGCTCCTGGCAGGCCTGAGGCATACAAATATCGTCAGGGCACTGTGCTTGGTGACGGACCAGCACGGAGTCATGGGCTTTGGCCAGGAGCTCCTGGGGCAGTCCCTAGAAGCTGCCGCAAGCATCGGCCAGCTGACCCCTCAGCGCCTGGCAAGTGCCGTGGCGCCCACCTGCATGGCCCTGGCACATATGCACCAACTTCTCATCGCGCACTTGGATGTGAAGCCGGCCAACATTTGCTTCACTGCCCAGCTGACTACAGTGAAGCTTATTGATTTCGATGCTGCAATGCCATTGCATCATCCGGATGAGGTGACGGAGCGCTTTCCAGGCAACCTCGCGGCACTATCTCCCGAGATCCTCGGCAAACTGCCGTACAGTCCCCTGGCGGAAGATTGCTTCCAAGCAGGCTGGACTTACACCAAGCTCATTGAGGTGACACAGGTCATGTTCGACGAAGTGCTGCTGGCGCGTCTGAGCCCATTGCTTGAGCCTGCCGACACACGCCCCACAATGCAGAAGATGCTCGACGACCACCTGCAACGATCAGAGGCGCTGGTCAGACAGCTGCAGCCCGAGGGGCGCCCAGTCCTTCTGGGCAGCCGACCTCAACCTGACAATCCATTGCTGAAGCTCTTTGGATAAAAGGTTCCCCGCCATAAAGAAATCTCGGTGACCATCTGTGGAACCGCCTCCAGCGCGGGGGATCAGGCACAGTGCGTGTCAGTGAAAAACTGCTATGCCGTCAAATGTGCCACCCTGCTGGGGATTTGGGTTTGGGGTCAGGTTAGGGTCTCGGATAAAGATTTAGTGGCGGCAAGGGGGGGGGGGGTTCAGGTTTAGCAGCCAGGCTGCGTAAAGTTCAAAAGCAGCCGCCGAGTGGTCATAGAAACTGGGGGTCTTTGAAAGAGGTTGTTCCGAACTGTCATGTGATTGACGCTGCGGAGCATCCAGACAGCTTCGGGTAGCATGCAAGCCAGATTTTGGGCCGCCCTCTCGAACAAAAGCCAGCTAAAGCCTAAACTCCCAGACCGCCTCCGAAGCCTTCATGTGAGCCTGAGGGTTGTGGGTTAGGGTCACCCTGTAACCCCTAGACCCCTAAAGCCCCAATACCCTGAACCCCTGAACGCATCTGAACCCTAAACACGGCTCCACCTCGGCTCCAGGCTGGAGTCTGACTCCGGGCGCTTCGACCGCTGGCAGCAGTCGCCGCAGGCACCCTGCGCGCTTCTCAAAGGCTTTTGGGGTTTCCAGGGCTTTCTTGAGTTCTGGGGTGTCAGGGTTTGCTGATTTTGGGATCTGGGTTTCGAGGTTTCTTGACAAAGGAGGCATGAATGAGTTTTATAAGGCTTCTTAAGGAGTCTTGGAGCGCATACCAGGATGAGAGAAGTCTTTGGGTGATTTTTTACGGGCCTTTTAAACGATCTTCAAAGTTGGCCTGGATATTAGTATTATAGCGCACGTGAAAAGACTTATATTGTGCACTTACTTCGTTCATAATGTTCTTTGTGCCTTGCGTCAATTCACTTTGTTCTTTCCTTACGCACTTCATCACAGCATTCTCTTCGTACTTTTTCTATTACCACGAGCGGCTCTCTGAACGGTTGGACAAGGGTTACAAGTTAAGGTTCTCCGGGGCTGGGTTCCTTGTAAAGAGAGTTCCTGTCACGTAGAAAGGCTCATGATGGTGCGGTTTCTATGTTGGGTTCTTAGGGGTGATTCAGAGAGCGGTTAACATGGCATGCGATTCCAAGGGTGTGAACGGTTAGACCAAGACATGAGAGTTAGGGTCTCAAGGGCGGATTCATGGGCAAGACTGACAGGTGGCATGGATTCCAGGGTCTCAAGGTGTGATGGGTGCTGCGGTTGGACAAAGAGTGTGGGAAAGGTACTAAGTTGGTGAGGAAAGATAGGGACTGACAGGTGAGATGGATTCCAGGGTCTCAAGGTGTGACAGGGAGAGAGCGGTTAGTCTTTTCTTTTCCTCTTGGCAGTTCACGCGTCACCTCTTTAAACTCGTGAGAATAGGAAGTAAAGTGAGTTGACAAGGAGAGAACTATGTGAACGATGCATGCAATGAACGACATGAAACAAGGAACAAATGAACCCCGTTTATAGTTCTCTTATTGGGAGCTCCAAATGAATTAGTTGATAAGCGAGCGAAGCGAGCGCAATAAACGTAATGAATGTACGAACGAAGTGCACGGGCTTGCAATAATAACAAAGCGAATGAGATGATGCGCGTAATTTTATGATTAGCCCATGTGTGCTCGTCCCTCTCGCGGATTGATTATTAAGTTCCCCCGCGCATAATAAGATAATAATAATGGAGCGCGGGATAATAGCATAATACTGCGTGCGGCCCTAACAAAGACTTCTCCTCATTTGGCCGCATGATTGGTGCTTTTCCCGCGGGCTTATTAACAGACGTATTCTGTGCCCGCGAGTAAATGCAAAGAATGTTTCAATTGTTCGAGCCTTCAAGCTCCGCTCATCAAGCCGGGTCTAACCCCCCGAGCCTTCATCACAAGCACACACGTAGCCTGTGTCTTACTCAGATCGCCAAACAGGGACCTTCGGAGCAAGCCCTATATCCCTGGTTGCGACAGGGCTCCACGGTCCTCGCGCAGATGCGCGAGAAGCGGCGGCAGCAGAAGGAAGAGGAGTCAGTCTCTCTCTCTCTCTCAAAGGCTCTCTTTCTCTCCCTCTCTCTCTCTCTCGCTGTTTGCTCTGGTGTCATGTGATGAGTTTGGGAGGGCTCGTCTCGGGCCTGGGAGTGAAGCTGCTCTGGAAGGGGACCTGATGTTGCTTCTTTCGTGCTGCTCGTGGCTTTTGCAATATGAGCATCCTTGCGCTCTTTGTTGCTGTTCCCATTTTGTTGTTGTAATTATTGCCGTTGTCGAAATTGTTGTAGGTGCGGTAGTTGTGGTATTGGTTGAAATTGTTGTATTTGTTGTAGTTGTTGTAATTGTTGTGTTGGTTGAAGTTGTTGCAATTGTTGTAGATGTTGCAATTGTTGTTCCTGTTGCTTTTGTTATTGTTGCAGTACTGCTGCCGTTTTTTGCGATAGCCGTTATTGTTCTCATCGTTGCCACTATTGTTGCTGCAGTTAGTACTGTTGTTAGTGCCGCTTAACAGCTATATTGCTCCACCTGTTATTGCGATAATCACTGCCATTGTCATTGTTTATTCTAGTTATCTTGCTTCTTAGCACTCTTCTGATTGTGAATCGCGGCCGCTGGGATCGCGTTTTGATGCCAGTGTGCGGGAACAAAGAGGCTGAAGCCTGAGGGCTAGACCGGGACCCAGCCCGGTTTCTGGGAAACACCCGCGGCTGGAGGAGCAAGCTCAGCAGCGGTCACTGGGACGCAAGTTGATGTGGAGGTTGTTCTACATCGATGTGTTATTTTGTTGTTGATGATGGTCTTACAAAAAAGGGATCAGGGGCTCAGGGGGAGGCGACTTTTGAAAAGTCAATGCTGAACCTGGGCTGAGGTGTCAGTAGGTGAGTCTTTTCCCTAATATTCAAGCATCTTCTCACCTTTGGGCGACTCCGCGTCAAGAAGCTGTAAGTAGTAACATGCCATGCTCAAAACTCCTGAGCCGCTAGCACAAGCCCTCCCGCCTTACCCCTGAGCCCCTAAGCCCCTCAGCCCTAACCGCAACCCAAACACCCCCTGGCTGAGCACGCAGCAGCCAGGCTGGTGGCCGAAGTCCGTGCGGAAGGCTGGGGGGTTGAAGGTTTTGTCGTTTTTTTGGGGGGGCTAATGGCTTTATGGGTTAGGGGTTATAGGAAGATAAGGATTTAGCTTCACTGGCTCCCCCCCACCTCTCAAGAAAGAACAGTGTGTGCCCAAAGTTCTAGACCTTTTTTAGCCTTTGTGGGTTTAGGCCGAGGCGTTCAGCGACTCATGATAGGGACGTCATATGCTTTGGTTGGGGGTCGCGTGCCCTTTCAGGAAATCGCTTTGACCGGTGGAAGCTGCAGCATCAGGGTCGCCATGTGCCCAAAAGCAACCTTGTCGCCTGAGCAGCCTGCATATGCTACCCAGCATCTACGTCTCACCGTTGACGCCACTTGGCTTCAGTGGAAAAAGCTGTTGCTGGATCGATTCGCACCCTGCAGCCTCTATGATCCCTTCAGCACGAGACTCTTTCAACAGGAGTTCATGTAGTAATGCGTCTTCAGAGGCTCTGAAGGGCCTTGGCGCGCGGGTTTCGGAGTTTGACCTTCATGTCCCCGTCCTGCGTGCAAGAACTCTGTCAAGCCAAAGTTCCTGCTTGTGCTAGCTGTGGGGATCTGTGGGGGGTCTCTGTGTTTTGGGTCTGCTATGTCGTGGCCAAGGGGTAGACTTAGGATTTAGGGGCTCGCCATCAGGGAGCCCTACGCGTGATGAAGCTGCGCATGATGCGGTCCGGAAGTGTTGGCCCTCTGTGTATCTTTGGGCTCAGACGAGTCTGCGTGCTGGGTCGTTTAGTGGCCGCAGCACGTCCTCTCTCGCCGCGGCCTCGGTTCTGGCAAGTTCCTGGGGTCTGAGAGCAGTCCATAAAGGATGGACACGCAATTGAAGGTGTAGGTAGGACCGCTCTGTTTTTGAATAAGCCTTGGGAATAAGCTTTGGGGAAAACTCCCCAAGACCGTTCTGGGTTTGATGGTTTAGGGTGACGGAAGTCCCCCCCTTGTGCAAGATCTGGCTTCGGAGCTACATGAACTCACTGCGAGAGAGACTCCCGCCCCCTCCACAGGGGGCTTGTGTTCTCAGGGCTTCGGGGCCGGAGTTCAGTGCTAAAGTAGAGCTGGCGACAATGCAGCCTTCTGCACTCATCCGCGCTCTGCCCCTAAACTTAAAAGCTCTGCACCCTGAGCCCTGAACAGGTGACAATGCAGTCTTCAGCACTCCTGGTGCTGGCGCTCCTTCCGTGCTATGATGCGTCGTCCTACCGACGGACGAAGATGACTTTCATCGAGGAGCGAAGTCCCAAGCCAGAGTTAAGGGGTTGAGGAATTGTGAGGGCTTAGGGTTGCAGATTCGGAACGAGGTTTAGGGTGTGGAGGTAGGGGGATGTAGGGACCTGTTATCTCAGGTCGGTGGCTGGGCTGCATGCCCATGCGCCGCTACCAGCCACAACTACTTTAGGGATCCGTTGGAAGTCGGGCTCAGGGGTGAGGAATGCGTGGGACATGGGGACAAGCTAGCCGGGCTTCGCGAAGCATTGTGGAGCACTGTGCTGGAGAGTTCAATGCTGAAGTGCCGGATGGCATGCCCGTCACCTTCAGCCGCGTTTGCAGCATGGTAAGCCTCTACTTCCGCAGGAGCAGATGTCCATGCAGATGAAACTCATGACGCCGGAGAGGGCGACTCTCAACAACATCGAGGCGCCTGGCCGAAAAGCCTTGAACCCTAGCCCTGAACCATCAAGGCCGACCCGGACGTCCCAGTTAAACCCAGATCTCCCGAAACATCCCGAAACCCTACTCCTTCCCCAAAAATCCGATACCCTGAAGCCTTGCTCATGGCATTTAGGGGCGATTGGGATACAAGATTCAAGGTTCAGGGCTTCGTGCACCTCGTTTCGAGGGAGCGCGCTCGCAGTTTTAGGAAGGTCCAGAAGAACACCCTCAAGCACCGGAAGGCTGCCAATAGCCGCTGTCCAGGCCTCCATCCTCAACATGGCCAAGGCACGCAAGGAGGGCGGAGACCAGGCGGCCACCAATCTGCCGGGCCCCTAGAGCCTTAGAGCCAGCTCAGGGCTCTGAACTGCGGAAACAACACCTGGACTTTCCATCCTCGAGCCACACGAAACACCCCGGAATCCTAAAGCTTAGAACTGCAGAGCCAGTTTCTGAGGGCTCTTTAGCAAGGCTGAAGAAGAGCTGAGTTCAAGGGTGGTTGATGGAGGATTCAGGGCTTCAGGTCTGGGGTTTCGGAAGAATCGGGTTCAGGGGTTTGAGACGATGTTTAGAGATTAAGGTTTGGGGCTTGGGGTCTGGATCAGGTGAGTACAGTACTGAGGCCCCTAGGCCCTACGCCCTACGCCCCGAGCCTTCAATCGGACTTGTCAGACTCTGAAGCCCTATAGCCTACAGACTCAAGACCGTGCGAAGTCCAGCAGAAATCATGATCCTTTTTTTTCTTTTGACATGTCGGGTGCTTCAAGAGGGACAAGCGGCGATGAATGAGCCTGCTGTTTGCACACCGCTTTGTGGATGGCCCAAACATCCCCCCCCCCACGCCAAAACAAAAAAAAACAAACAAGAAAAACCCCGAAGCACGTCCCTAACCTTTTGAGCCGAACCTTTTGAGGACCAGCTTCCTGGACCAGATCCAGGAGCCTTCGCTGCCGGGTCCAGTGGGGAGTTCAGTGGGGAACCCCCCCAAAAAGGGGGGGGGAAGGTTGCGAGGCCCTTGGAGCCCTCTCCCCGAGCCATAGAAGCGCATCAGGGGGTTCAGGGCACTTGGGGCTTTGCGGGCCTCTTGGAGATTCTCACCCCTGGATCCAGGAGCTGATCGACAAGACCATGAAGGCCAATATCCAAACCAGGCAGGGGCGGGGTAGGAGGTTCACTCGCGCACCCAACCAAAAAACCAACCCAGAAGCCTGCACCACGATTTCACCAAATTAAAGGCCTAAAGCCCGAAGCCCTAAACCCCAAAACCTAAACCTTTAATCCTAAACCCTCCTAAGCACAGCCAGGCAGAATCAGACGCAGCACGACCTGGACTCGGCTTGGGATAACCTCAGCACCTCGGAGGTTACTTTTTTGGGGTTCAGGCTTCTTTGAGAGGGCTTCTTTGAGAGATGCAGGCTTCTTGGGGGGGTTTTAGAGTTTCTCGAGGTTTAGGGTAGGGTTTAGGGTTGTACAGGACACACGGACTTGAGAAACAAACCCCTCTAAAGGTCGAAAGTCCCCAAAGCGCGACGGTTGCTTTGAGGGGAGGCTGCTTGATCTTCAAGAGGCTGGCGGAACTCTTGAGCCCTCAGGCAGTCTTTTGGAGCAGGCCTTCCACTTGTTTCAAGAGAGCTTTGGAAAGCTGAGAGGGCCTTCGAGAGTGTCTGCCAGAACCTTTCGTGGCCGGAGGGTGGGGCGGGAGATTCGGCCAGGAGTCCCCAGCCTGGAGGTTCTTGGCCTCGGTTTGACAGGTTTAGATTTAGCATGTCAGGTTCAGGGTTTAGGATCTCTAGGTTTAGGGACGGTTTAGGGCTCCGGCTCAGGGTGCTGCAGGGCAGGGCCGTTTGGGACCCTAAGTCCAAGACCAAGGCACCTGCACACATCCCAACGACACGGAGTACGTCCCCACGCTCGTGGACCTGGACAAGCTCCACTCACAGTGCCGCTCGAGCCAGGACCCCTCGTTCTTGGGATTTGCTTAAGAATTGGCTTGGGCCGCCAAGCCCGAAACCCACAACAAGTCAACCCCAGGCAGCTGGCCCGCATCCCACCCGGCAGAAAGCGCCTCCAGCGCAGTCCCTAGTGCTTTGAGTCTTCGAGTGTGCCAAGCGTGCATTCGATGGCGGCCCTGAACCGGTTTGGTGAATCAGTTCCATGACCGAGTTTAGGGTATGAAGGGGTATGATAAAAAGTGAGAAAAGGCCTTCCCGAGCTGCTTTGGGTTCCATCCTTTCAGTCGGTGGATGCCTTCACGACCCTCAGAAGCAGGGGGTAGGTGGGGTTTGTGCCGCCCACACAAGTAGCGGCAGGCCATTTTGTTCGCGATTCAGGCTACCGAATCCTTTGCTAGAAGCCTGAAGAGAACCTCAACCCACACCCCTGAACACCCCCTCAAGCCTCAACCCTGAAGGACTCCATGTGGTCGGGCTATGAGCAGACCTGCATCATCGAGCGCCGGGGTCCTGGGAGTTTGGGAGGGCGCTCTCGGGCTCATTTCCGGGTGCTTGGGGTTGAGGGTGTTGTGTTTACAGGGGTTCAGGGCTTCAGAGTTCAAAGGGTGTTTAAGGGTTCCAGGGTTTAGGGTGTGTGGGGGTGCCTTGAGGGTGATTTTTGTTGTGTGTTTGAGGCTCTGCTGCTTACTGCGACTTTTGCCCAGGGGATAGGGTCATTGTGGCGGGCGTGCTACCATCGAGCATGGTCGTTCTGCCAGATTGCTATGACCGGTTGCAGATGCTGAGTGTCAGCTGTGAAGGCCAGATCTACGAGAACGAGATAAAGGCCATTTGCGACAAGTACAAGAGCGTCAATGCTTCTTGGCTGCAGCGCGCATGCAGCGCACGCCCTGGCAGCGCCTAGTTCCTCAATCCATAGGCGCTGAACGGCCAGCCCCTTACATAAGTCAAGGGGGAGTAGGCGGAGCTGGAAGGGCGGAGGGCGGAGCGGGCAGCGGGCGGAGGCTGGCACTGGGCCCTTTAAAGTCAGCTAGCTGAGAAGCCACATCCATGGGCCGTGGACCATGAGCCAATGGGGCCAGGAGCCATGGGTCCAGTGGGGGGCGGGGTGCGTGGGGGGTGGGGGTGGGGGCGGTTGGGGGTGGGGGTGGAGCCAGCTGGAAGTGTGGAAAGGGGTTGGGGGTGGGGGTGGGGGTGGGGGGTGGGGGGGGGGGGGGGGGGGGGGGGGGGGGGGGGGGTGAGCCCCAGATGCATATCTGGAGCGGAGGAGGTCGCAAGTTTTGCGCACTCAAATTATAGGCAAGCCCCCTTCAACCATTTTCAGACCTACTGAAGCCCACCGCATGTCTTCCCCGGGGAGCGTGAGTTTCACTCTCCCACCCAGGTTTTCCCGAATCCGACCACCAGCTGCATGATGATGGAGGGCACAAAGGCTTGGGCCCTCAGCAGTATCGGGATGTGAGTTCAAGAGAGTATGATGGTGGTTTCTGGTTCAGGGGCTTTCCGGTTCTTGGGGTTGTTTGGGAAGCCCTGAACCCCTCAGTGAACCCAAAGCCAGCCCAGGTCCCGACCATTGGCAACTACCTCCTGGCGGCGGAGGCTTTCTTCACGGAGAGGTATGACCTTGTCAAGGAGTGGAAGGACAAGTGCGACAATGCCACCAACACCCCCTTCGCGAACGAGGAGCTGTGCAAGCAGAAGATCTGCCTTTACTACGTGGCTTCGCTGCCTCAGGGTGACGGCTTTTGCTTAGTATGGCCAAGGTCTCCGAGAACCGTTTGACTTGACTGTCAAACTTCCCTAAACCTCAGTGCAACCCAGCACCAGAGGTCCCGAACACAAGAACCCCAAGGCTTTCAAGCTTCTCCCACAAGCCCTGATCCCGAAGCTCGAATCTCGCCGGTTTGTCCTGAGTCTAAGGACAAGAAGATTTCCTGCGACAAGACGCAGGAGACGTTCGAGCAGAAGTCGTGTGATCTGCACAAGGAATACACGTGCAGCCACTTGGCGAGCTAAGCCCTACAAAGCACCAAAGCGCCTGGAGCCCTGAAGCCCGAAGCCGGGGGGCTTGGGTTTCGGGTTTTGGGGTTTTGGGGTTTTGGGGTTTTGGTGCTTTGGGGCTTTGAGGGTTGAGGGAACGTGCTTTCTGCAGAATCACCTGACTTTGTATCCTCATCCTTCCGGACACATCAAAACCAACCTACATGTGGTGCTTGCAGAGGAAACTTTTTTCAACGAGCGCGTGTTCTGGGGTTTAGGGTTTGGGGCTCCCAAAGCCCCAGAGCCTCCTCCCCACCTGCCATTAAAGAAGGCCCCCCAAAGCCCTGAACAGAAACTCAAAACAGTCGACAGTCTACCAACGAAGGCCCCTGTCCCCCCTTCCTAGCTGCAGCGGAGGCAAGTACTCTGATTGCTACGACCAGAAGAAGGCAAGGGTGACGAAGGGGAGACTTCTGGAAAGGGATCTTGTGGGATGTTTGCAGGCTAAACCCCGATCATGGATGTTCAGCTACAGTTCGCTTCAGATTCAGAGTTAGAGGTTCGTTTTTGTTGGGGCGCTTTGGGGTTTCATACGTTTGGGCTATCGGAAGTAGGGTTGGGGCTCTGGGTGTTGAGGGCATTGTCCCAGCGCGCTGTGGCGGTGCCAGGAGATCTACAACAGCGTCGTGTCCCTGGCCAAGGAGAACGAGGCTGGTCGAAGCCCAGGGCCCTCGAAGACGCGGCAACGGTGGCTGTTTAAGTGGGCAGGCTGAACTCCACAGCCCTAACCACTCCTCAAAACTCTGCCACAGCAAGAGAACAGCCCCTGCCGCAGCTGGCACCCAAAGCTTCCGCATGCTTAAGCCGAGAAGAGCAGCGCAGAACCCGAAGCCAACGAATCCCAAAGCACCAAAGGCCTTGCCCCAAGCCCCAACCGCCACTTCCCAGGCCTGAAGAAGCCGTTTTAACCTGCTTTGAGCCCCAATGCGGCCGAAGGTTGCCGCCAAGGCCGAGTGGCGGGCCGTGAAGAGGACGGTCAGTAAAGCGACCATCTGAAAAGCTACGCCGGAGTAAGATGAGTAAGTAAGCCTGAACCCTCACGGCTTGGGAGGGATGTTTGATCAGATGTCAGAGCGACGCCCAAAAGCCACACGCAAAGCGACACCCAAGCGACAGCAGTCTCGGAGCCTCAAGTGCCTCCTGGAGCCCCATCGTGGGAAGCGCTTGCAGCATTCATCTCTCACCTCTCAAACAAGCGGAGCGACACCCCAAACTTGCGACATGCATAACATCAAAACGCCTGTAGAGCCACGGGATCACCTGCAAAGCGAAACCCACCCTGACATCTCCCTGCGAACAGAGTTTAGCTGTTCTGAATCGGGGGGCCTTCAGTGGCTTCTGCGCAAAGTTTCCAGGAGCCTCTCATTGTTTTCCTTTCCTACAGGTTGCACCCCGGCCCGAAACGCTGAGCCCATATACCTTACGGCCAAAGTCCTAAGCCCCAGACCACAATAACAAAAACAATGGCAACTAGACTGAGCGACAACAATAGTACTCCCCAAAACATTCTAGTAGTTAAGATTTTAGATTTTATCCACAATGACAACAACCCATCTTGCAACCCTACACCTCCAACATCCCTAGGCCACCCAATGTCGCGCGTCTTCCAGGATCGAGTGTCTGGTCAACGCCCTGCGTTCGCCGCAGGGAGAGGTCGAGGAAGCCATCAACAGCTGCAAGGCCATGAGTTTGGAGTTGAAGGTTCTGGCCCAGGCTTCTTACAGATACCCTTAACCCAACACATAAAGCCCCACACCGGAAGTCTCGCTTTCCCTCTCTCGCTCTCTCTATCTCTCTATCTCTCTAGCTCTCTAGCTCTCTAGCTCTCTAGCTCTCTAGCTCTCTAGCTCTCTAGCTCTCTAGCTCTCTAGCTCTCGCTAGCTCTCTGTAGCTTTCTAGCTCTTTATCTCTCAATCTCTTTATCTCTCAATCTCTCTATCTCTCTATCTCTCTGTCTCTCCATCTCTCCATCTCTCCATCTCTCCATCTCTCCATCTCTCCATCTCTCCATCTCTCCATCTCTCCATCTCTCTATCTCTCTATCTCTTTATCTCTTTATCTCTCTATCTCTCCATCTCTCCATCTCTCCATCTCTCTCTCTCTCTCTTTATCTGTCTCTCCGGCATGGCTCTAGGGCTTCTTTGGGCCGCAGAATTGTTGCCTCGATTCGGGGCTTGCTCAAAAGTTAGGCCTTCTTTTGATGTGTTCCCTCGTAAGGTCCCGGCTCCCCAAAGAACATGACCCGCACACCACCTGGCCATGGTGGCCCCAACCACAGCAAAGCGCCCCGCTGTGCCGTCGAGCCGGGGGTGCTTGCGTTTCCAAGCCTTGAAGCCCTGGATCCCGAGCAACCCCACCCCAAGTGCCCCCGAACATCGTAAACCCCCCATAATATGGCAAGGGCAAGATCTACGCCACCACGCCCGTGGAGCTGGTCTACAAAGGCGACGCTCCGGCCGCGCGCTCCTGCACAGAGGCCCTCACGCGCGCGTCGAGCGCCGGGCTTCCGAAAGTTGTGGTTGTTTTACCGGGCTTCTTAGGGGGGTTTCAGGGACTCGAGGGGCGAGACGAGTTTCGGGGTCAGGGATTGAGTGAGGTTTTGTTGGGTTTTGGAGTTCGGGGCAACAAATCCTCACTTGCGCGTGCGAGACCCCCGTTTCTGAGTACCCGAAGCCATGAGCCATTAGTGAGATGCAAGCCAGAATTCCAAAGATCCAGGGTTTCAAGCCCATAGCATCCCCAAACACTGATTCCTGGGCCCTGAAGGGCCTTCAGTCGCACTGCTTCAGGACCTCGACTCATGCAAGCCAACAACCTCGCGAAGCCCTGAAGAGCAAGGTCCCAAACCCAAGACCCCGAAGGCCCAGAAGCCCTAGGCAGAAGGGTTTTCGAGTTTAGGCTTTCGCCACGAAACCCTACACACAGAGAGCAGGTCTACTTGCAACCCGGTTCCGCGGTCTTCTCCAGCACCTGGTATGCGGGCCTGCCTTCACAGACGCCAGCGGCGAGCTGCGCGTCCTCGCGCTCGGCCCTAAAATTTGAGACGGTCTTGTCTCGTTTGTTTTTTACGGGGGGTGGGGGTGGGGGGGGGGCTGAGGGGGGCTTAGGGCTTTGGGGCCCCCTAAATAAAGCTTCCAGCTTGAACCCAAACCCTGCAGCTTCAGTTCTTAGGGTTGAGGTGTTTGGGATCGGAATCTGCCTAGTCTCCTTTCTAAAAAACACAACAGCAATACGCGTGACACCGGCCGTGCTCATTTTGTGGCGCGACAGGACAAAAGTTCCAGCAACAAAGGGTCAAAGAAAGATGTCACAAAGAAGAAGAAGAAGAAGAAGAAGCAATTGGGCAAAAACACCTAAATTAAAGCCAACAAATTGGAAGCAATATCAAGCACCAATAGACGTGCAAGCAACAAAAGATGCTAGTAGCAAAACCCCCATCATTCAAAACCTAGTAAGAATGTGAGTAAACGCAAAAATATACATCCATTTGACATTACGTTGACCATCTCTGATAGGGGCATGAACATGCCATTTATCTGCCTGATTGTCAATATCAACTTCATCACCAACAAGTACATGTTCGACTTCATCTTCAGAACGTTCGCAGAAAAATCAAACTTAACAAGATGAGAGGCAACAGACCAAAAGTTTTGCTGTTGAAATTACATCAGAAGGTAGAAAAGCACTGAAACACCGGTTTGTTTGTTTCCAAAGCTACCTACCAACCTCGTGAGTCTCCATGCCGCCTTCACGCGGGTGGCTGGCCTTTCGCGCCGTGTGCCAGGTGCTGTATGGCCGAAGCCTTCAATCCGACTTATCCGGATGGCGCAGCATGCCCTTATGTCTCTTCAGCGCCGACGACGACCACTACGACGCTCGGGTGCTATCGAAGACTGTTCGTAAATGCGGTTTTAGAAGTGCTCGCAACACCCTAAGCCCGAACCCTTAAACACCATCACAGGACCACGGAAAGTACTACCACAACGACCACGACCGCAGCTGCTGCCGCTATGTTCTCAGCCCCAGTCTTTGGCGGGTTCTCCTTCGGCGGCCTGCCTGGGATTAGGAGGTAGAGGTAGACTTCTGGCTGGAGGACGCGGAGTGGGATTTCCGATGTGCTGTAGGAACATAATGTCAGCTGTACGAAGCCCTATTCGACCATGTAGTGGCTTATGATAATGAGCTTTTGCTTGAGCCCGAAGCCCTAATCCACGATGTCCGCCATCAGATTTTCCATGGCATTGGTCTGGATGCCCATGGCGTAATGGCATAGCATGTGATGAAGTGGCATGGGCCTGGTCGTTTGGCTTGAAGGTTGAGGATTTGGATGGCCCATACGCGTTTCACAACAGCCAATCACCATAGTCACCTTAGTCGCCTCGGCTTTCGTGGCCAAGGCTTCGCTAGCTTGCAAAAGGCACAAGCCCCCACTTCCCGAGATTCATTCCTACGAATATCCATTCAGAGAAGGATGGGGAATACTTTCGGAGCCAAATTGGAATTATTGGAGACATCTTTATCGTTCCGAAATATATCGAATAATCCATGATTCTACCTCCATATCTGATTTCAACTTCCAATTTGGCTGCTTCGAGTTCGGGACGGGATTATCATGGTATATCGAATATCGACGAAATAAATTTTCAGATTCATAATCTGGATTTTTAATAATTCACAAGAGATTCGTCGTATATCGATTCATGGAAGGTTAAATAGATTACAGATTTCTTATTTTCTTTTGATATTTAAATTGATACATTTGAGGGAATTATGAAAACTTTCGAGAATTTGGATTCAATTTAATTATAATTATTCTATAATAATTTCAATATCTTTTATAATGCTTGATTTTTTTGGAGGATTTGCATTAATTTTATTTCTTTTATTTTAATATTTTTTCTATAATCTCAGAATTTGGAGACGATCTCATTTTCATTTTTTCTATTAATTTTCATTTCTTTTATGATTTTGTCATCTTCAAATATCGGAAATTTTATATTTATCTTATTAATTTTTGATATATTTTCATATCTTATTTTTATAAGATCTTAGATTGGTGGCCAAAAATTGTCAGAAAATATTGGTAATACCAATGAAATTCTGAATTAAAAATTAAGAATCTCCGGAATCTAATGTTTCCCTCTGCTTCGGGATTGGTGCCGAATGAAGGGGGACCTCTGGGGCGGTATTATGGTTCAGGCTTGAAGCGCCCCAACGTCCCCCCCCCTCCCCCCCTTTATTTGGACCCACTCGGGTTTCACGTGGTGCAAGGCTTCAATTCTGAGGGCGCACCTAGGCCACAATGGGGATAATTGGTCTTCCCCAACTCCATTACAAAGATGAATACGTATCTCGGCATCTCGGCCCTGGAGTGGCCTGGCCTTGGCGTGGCCCTTCCTTTACCCGGGGTGCGCTTGGGTCTTGCTAGGACAGCTGGCGGTCCCTAAGGGCGTACCTGGGCCACGATGGAGGCAACTGGTGGCCCTCCCCAAACCTATTACAAAATGAACACGTTATACAATATCTACATCTCGGCATCTCGGCCGTGGAGTGGCCTCGCCTTGGCATGATTTTCCCTTACTCTACTTTCGCTGGGGGTGCGTGAGGACAGCTGGTGGCACTCCCCAAAGCCATTACAAAGATGAGCACATTCGATAATATCTATATCTCGGCATCTCGGCCCTGGCGTGGTCTGGCCTTGTCGTGGCCTGGCCCTAATGTGGCCTGGCCCTGGCGTGGCCTGGCCCTTGCGTGGCCAGGCCCTGGCGTGGCCGTGGTGTGGCCTGGCCTTGGCGTGGCCTTCCCTTGTTCTACTTTCGCTGGGGGTGCGCTTGGGACTTGCTAGGATAGCTGGCGGTTCCTCAGTACGTACCTGGGCCACGATGGTGGCAGCTGGTGGCCCTCCCCTAATCCACTAGAAAGATGAGCACGATGGATAACAGGGACAACTGGTCGCCCTCCCCGAATCCACTTTGGGCCACGATATGGCGGCTATTAGCTTTTCCAAACTTGGATAATATCTATATCCTGGCCCTGCTTCACTCGCATTTATTGGCGTTACGTATGGACTTCCACGCAATCTGCAATTTATCATAAAGGTTGCTTTACTATTCTGCTCTTGCCTTTGCTTGCTTCTGCTATGGGACGGACCATGACGTTTTGGGAGCCCTTCGCCCCGTTTGCGTCTTAACCCCGCCTGGGGATGGAGACAACGCGGGTGCCCGTTCCCTTGCCAGGGAATATTTTCTCTCTCTCTTCTCTCTCTCTCTCTCTTTCCCTCTCTCTCTCGCTCTCTCTCTCTCTCTCTCTTTCTCTGAGATCTTATTATTTGATATTAAAATCTATCTCATTATTTCCTTGGATTTTCTTGATTGTAATTTTCATATCTTTATTAATATTCTCAATCTTATTTGGATATTTCTTTTAATAATGGGAGATCTTCATTCTACTATACTTTTTTTGATCTTTGAATTTGGAGGAGATCTTATATTCTTTTATGATTTGTTTTTTTTGGACATCCATAAATTTTTTTCTAAATAATTCTTATATTTGGGATCATTTCCATCATGGTTTGAATAATTTTAGATTTAATAATCTTTGGTAATCAACCAATATTCTTTATCATATCATCTATATTTCTTCTTGGAAATCTTATTTGGGATATCACATATATATATATATATATATTTTAGATTTAGAAATTGATATAAGAGATTAATTTATAATCATTTCAATCTTGATATCCTTATCAATTGGATCAAAAATCTTTTAATTGAGAGAACGAAATGAATGAATACATGAATTTAATGAGAAATTGAATGAACGATATAAAAAATATAATATACTGGATTTTTATTCGTAATATTCTTGCTTTCTTATTAATTCTGATTTTCTCTTCGTACGCTCATTATATTCTCTCCATTAAAAGGCGAAGATAATTCTATTTCAATGGAATTTCAATAAGTATAATGAAATGAGAATTCAATGATATAGAATGAGCGAAATGAGATATGAGATATTTCTTATCTCTCAATTTTCTTTCTTCATGGATGGGAGAATGAGAGAGAGAATGACCATCTTCATGATAAAGGATCAATAGATAAGAGGACAAAATGATAAGATTTATTATTAAAGGAACCAATAATCGAAATACGAATTTCATTATAATGAGATTGGGAAATGAGATCGTCCATAGAAATTGATCTATTCTTGAGATCTTTTTCCTTGGATTTTTCATGCATATCATCAATGAATCCTGGGATTTCCATATCATCTATAATAGCTTGTAGAGATTTTCTATGGGATTCTTCATGAAGAGGATAATGCTATACGAACGATATAATATTATAATTCCAAAGAATCCATGATATATGAATTAGAATAATTTTATTAAGTCATCCCATTTCGATTCCTTTGAAATTCCCGAAAACGATCGATTTATAATCAATGTTCGTGATGGCGCCCCATCAAATCTTTTCATGCCGAGCTCATAATGGTGGGGGGTTGCCTCAAGGTCAACCAAATCCAATGCCAATCGGGCAAATTGCCTCCATGAATTGGGAATTAATGAGGATGGGACAATTATCAAAATATCGATTAATTGATTCAAGAATTGATTTCAATCCAATCAATCAAGGGGGATTCATTCTCAGAATATCGGTGGAGGAGGCTTCTGCTCCCATAAATACTAATTAAGAAATAGAATATGAAATCCAACCAAGAAGCAATCCGAAATAAAAAGAAATCCAACGAATTTTTCGTATTTTCCAAGATCCCCCATCGTGCTTAAAAATCCGTCGCCACCCCCAATTATATAGGATATCCCAGAAAGATGAAAAGAGAAAAGAGAGATGACAAAGGTTCCCAATCATAAAAATAAAATCATCGATGCAAGAGATTTCTGCTCCCAAGGGCGAAAAGAAATTCTAAATCATATAAAATCCCACATATTCATATCTATCATCAATCATCAAGCAATATATATTTATAGACCATATTTCAGAACGAATTATAGATCCAACATATATTATTCTATCGAATATAAACCAATACATGACATTGCTAAGGATCCATGGCCTAACCTAAATAATAATATAGCTTATCCTATCCCCCCCAAAGATCAATATTCCCAATCGTATAATTATAAATTTTAGAATCATCTCTCCCTTTTCCTCAAATATATTTATAATTCTATTTTCAAATATATATATATATTTATATGATATCAATGAATGAAGATTTCCAATCAAATCATGAATTCCTCCTTCTAATCACCTCATCCAAATCTTGAATTCGAAATTCGAATTATTCCATTTTATAATATTCCATTTTATAATATTCGATTATTCATTGATAGAATCATTTTCTCTCCATATAATGATTCGTAATATTTAATGATATAATAATACTTCCAATTCTTGGGTCAAATTATAAAAGAAATCCAGAAATCTCCCATTCCTTATCATTAAATATGGGAATCCAAGAAAAATCTCAAATTTCCATATTTAATTTCGTTAGATTTGCCTGGAGACAATATAAATGATTTCATGACATTATATCCTTAAGAAACGAATAACAAATTCTTCGTAGATTTATAATTCCAGAATATTTTTTATATTGAAGAAATAGAGATTTTCCTTTTAAATCAAATCAAAATAAGAATTTTCCGATTAAAATTCAAAAAGAAAGAAATATTTTTCCGATTAAAATAAAAAAGAAATACAATTTTCCATTCAAACATATATCTCTTCTTCTCTCATTCTCTGTCGTATTTTCTTTCTATGAAAATTTTCCCATAACTTATCTTTAATTCCTCCCCTCCTCCTAGAGGTTACTGAGAATTAAAGATATGTCCGAGAAATATTAAAGCGGCATCTACGCCTAAAATACCGATTAGAAATGTTCTGAAATACTAAATAATGCATATGGGCATGAAATTTACAAAATTTCCAATAATTTTTATGACCAACCCATCCAGAAAATAGAATAATAGATGGGGGGAAACAAGACAGAAAGAAAATCACCATTTCGTAGGGCTCTCATCTGTGCCGCCGGCCTCGACCATTCCCTCATGCATGCCAACAACAAAGACGAATAATTCAGAAAGATTCCAAGATGTTAGGCAAACCAACGGGGCATCACTGCTCCCGGACACAAGCAAAAAAGAAGACAGCCAAGCCAAGCAAATCACCCTCCTCCCGCCCTTCATCCACACACCAACAAAAAAGCAGGATGCACACCAAGAAACGACCTGCACCACAGCAAAAAAACAGACATCCCCCTCCACACCAAAAATAAGCCTACACCGGCAGTGCATCTGCCAACTCGGCCGGCGTAAGCGGCTCCTGAAGCAACAAACAGAAAATGATAAGAGTAATAAAGAAACGCAATAAAGAAGAAACGCAATAAAATGCCGGCAGAAAGGAAGAGAAGAAAATCAACATCCTCGCCGAAGAGCGCAAGCTGCTCCTTCCTCCTCCTCCCCACAAAAAGAGCCAGAGACATCGTCACAACTTCCAATCAGGAAAAAACAACTAAGCCACAAACATTATTTTCGAGCAAGCCCGCCTGGAACTCCTCCAAAGGGATGCTCTAAGCAAATGCGACAAGAAGAATAACACCGATTAAACCTAATTCATGAAATCATTCCTCTCAGAGGCCATATCTATTCTCGGATCTTCAAACTTCCATTTTCCGATTTCGTTCCAATGATACTTTTTGCCACCCAAAGATATGGACGATTCAGTATTCAGGCCTCTGACCGATGATGGTTACACTCAAATGGTATTGACAATAGTAGACAAGTTGACAAGTTCGTATCACATATTGCTTCCAGATGTTCTCTCTGCAAGAAAGTCCCGCAGGAAGAGAACGCGGCCATCCCAATCAGGATAATAAAACAAGTGATTCCATCTCTCTGTTTCGACAGCGAGTGCGAAGCAGATGCCGCGCTCAAGCGCAATGTGAAGTAGCCGCAGTGTATGCCTGGCAGCCAGTAGAAGCACAAAGCCTGTTTCTTCTAAACTTTGTGTTTTATGCAAATTGAACACTTTCATTGGGGGTTTGGATTTGGGCATTTGGGCTTGCTCACTCAACGACGCTACCGTTTGCAAACCAGCTCGACCTGGGCTTGCACTGCCACGACCAGGAACGAGTCCTCTGCATGCCTAAGCCCTGAACCCTAGTGAAGCTGGTCAATGTTTGTAATTCAAAGCCTGAACATACGCTCGTTCCGTCCCAAAGCAAACCTCATAAAGGAAATCAGAGTTCCTCACAGGGATGCAGCACTAATTTCGCTGCCAGGCTCAACCCCAAGCCCAGAGAGGCGCCCGCGAAAAGCCGACGTTTCCGAGGAAGCTGATGAAGACTTGGTGGCAGCAGCCCAATCACCCATTTCAACCCGACCCTGACCCAGACAGGGGCCCCGAAAGCTTCCACAATAACCCTCCTCAGAACGACTGACATCGCTTGGCCTTCTGGATACGATGCGTAGCTTGCTTCAGCGCCTGTGTGTCGGGGTCTGGCAATTTGGCTGCGCGGAATCCTGAGCGGCTGTTTGGGTCACCGATGCAAGGGGGAGCGGTTTGCGTTCTTTGTCGCCTACATAGTTGGACTGTTACAGGGGGGACAGCTCAAAGACTTTTAAGCAGAAGGATGGGATCTTCAGCTAGTGACTGAGCATCAGGAATCATATGTCTACGCGCACCTGGATCTGGCTACATCTACTCTAAGCCGATGAAAAGACCATCGCTCTGCTAAAGATCCTGAAATATCCTGAAAGGGAGCCGAACCCCCCCTATGCCGGAATGCACTACTTCCACGTGGCCTAACAAAAGCAAAGAGTCGATGGAGCAGGAAAGCCATTCCGAAGATCGCAGATCTCAGTTGCTGCAACGTTTGCCTTGACATGGATTGGCGCAAGGAGGGTGAGCCCCATCCGAGTGTATGTGGCTGGGTTTCTCCGAGGGCTTCCCGTTTCCTTCGCTACTGCCGTGGCACTTTTGCCGCAGACATTTCATACCACCAGCAAGCTTATAAACCGGACCGTTTCCGTCCAGCTAGTATCACAAGCTCCTGTCTGCTGCGGGCAACAAGGAAAGATGCAGTGGGCCCAAGCGTGCTTGAGTGAGCTGTTGTTGCATTCAGGTGGCACGGCTTCGCACGTACAATTTCGCCGACCCCAGATGCTAGCGTCGCAGGCTATCCAACCTCTAGACCCGATGCACTGAAGCCATCCTCATGCACAGATGCTGCATCTTAGCTTGAAAGGTGCCACCCCGACCTGCGTAGCTTGGTAGCCCAGGAACCAACTTACAATAAGGGCACCCCTTCTCTTGGGTTGGCTACTTCGGGAACCCACAACCAAAAAACCAAAAAAAAAAGGGTAGAGGGTACCACTGGGCTACCAAGGTCAACAGCCGAAACGTTATCCCCTAAACCCTAAACCCTAAACCCTAAACCCCAAACCCTCAACCCCCGATGCCCCAAAAAGGCTAAGGTGCTCCAGGAGATCCGTGCGGCAGCTCTGGGCCCAGGTGGCAAAGGCCTCCGGCCAATATCGGCTCAGGGATGGCTACGAGGCATCTGGCGATTTTCGATCTTTCAAGAATAAACAATAGCCTTGCTCTTGGGAATGATAACTTTTGCTCTTGGTCTTCGAATTTTAGGGAATGATAACTTTTGCTCTTGGTCTTCGAATTTTAGGGAATGGTAACTTAAGACTTAAGACATGAGGCAAGAGAAGCTGAGGGATTAGGATTTTGAGGAATCGGAACGTTGGTTGTGATGACCGACCGCAAACCTAGAGTCTACAGCACGGTGTACTCCAGCATCAATGGAAAAACCCCTATCGCGCTCAACCCTGTGAATCCCGAGGCTTCCCTGAACTCCTGGAAGTCTCCTGCTGGAATCCCGACTTCTAGTGCCCAAGCTTACGGCATTTCCATGGCTTGTAGGGCTTTCAGGCTACTCCCTGGAGGCGTTGCTCCCTTCAGACGGCGGGGTTCTCTTTCGGTGCCGCAAGCGTCAATTTTAGATGTCCGGGAAAAGGCATCCTTGGTCCCACGTTCCCGCTTGCTGTGGGAGTGCAAAGCCGCAAAGCCAAACAAACAGCCCTGGACCGAAACGGAGGGGGCGCTGCCTTCCTCGTATGCAGGTCGCGAGGCCATACTGTAAAATCTCAACGCCTCAACACATATGAACCCCAAACATTGAGTTTATCTGGAGTCTTGGGGTATGCCGAGTGCCTCGGAATCGGCGAGGACAGCTGCGAGCTCGCCGATCAAGTTGGAGCCTGGCCCCACGGGCAAGCGTGCTTAGAGCTTAGGTGGCAGGCTTCACGGTTCGGAAAGCTTGAAGGTAGAGCTTCATGTCAGGGCTTTTCACTGCATGGGCTTGTGGCAGCTTGAATGGCGTCATTGTCTAACCTGCGGTTTGTATTGGGGGGTCTGAGGTTTAACTTGAGAGTCGGAGCAGGGTCCGTGCCAGCGCACTGCAAGCCTCGACCAGCAAACGGCTTTGAACAGCAGACCTGCTGTGTGCAAGTTTCATCTCGAGAACAACGACCTGACGGCCTTCCGCAGCTCTGCTGCGCAGTGAAGATGCTATCTACATCTGATCGTGTTGAATCTTGCTCCACGAAAGATGTGGCGAGATTTTGCCTGAGGTCACCCGTCTCCCTTCGTACACTCAAAAATGTCGAAAGGAATGGCGCTCCTCAATGTAGTCCTTTGCCATCTGCTGAGATGGCCAACCAAGTACAGTAGACAGGATATAAACATGGGCCAATAATGGCATGGTGTCACCTCCATCACCTCCATAATCGAGTGCGGGGAACGGCGTCCTCCTTCCTTTTGCCTGGTTTGTCAAGAGCCAGGCTGTTTGATTGACCAAGAAACAAGTGACGAAAGCAAGACCATGCCGGCGACGTTTGGGCCTTCGGATTTAAGCTTTCGAGTCCAACTGCAAAGACCCGGTTGAAACCAGGAAGGAGACACAACTTCACGGTGTAGTTCAGGACAGTGAACTGTCGAGTGTGTTTTGAGAAAGACATGCAACACTTGGCTTGGGCACGGCAAGTGATTCAAGCCAGTGAGTTATGTCAGTCCAATCTGCGATAACGACTCAAGTCAGTTGTATGTTAGCACCCTGCCGCCTGGCACTGTGCCCAAGCACAAAGTTTTCCAAATTGTCGGACACAGCATTCTGGCCTGGGCACCTTTCAACTGCATGCAAAGGAACCTTGTCAGTAATTGCGCTCCAAAAACTCAAAACCGGAAGAAACGAAACACTAGCGCACGCACAGCTTCATATTGCTGTGCCCCCATCCGTGCATCGCTGCATAGGCCGGTGAACCACCAATCCAACATGTTTTTTCGGTGGAGAGCCTTCGTATACAACATGCAACATACAGTACATAAAGGAATATGTACCTATATATCTATATATTTCATCTAAAACATCCAGTGTATTGTGTATAACTTGTATACATGTACACAAGCAATCTCATACGCTGTGCGCTAGCCCAAACCTCTGGCGCCTTGGCGCCAGGTGGCACGAAGGCGGCGATGACTGCGCCGCAAGGAGGTCATGCTCTGGGTGTAGCTGGCGGCGAGGCTGCCGAAGCCCTGAAGAAGCTCGGACTTCGTTTCGAGTATTTTAGATTTGTTGGGTTGCAAGCTTGGGTCTTAGATCGAGGGTGTAGTAAATAAGTCATGTGAGCTATATAAAATAGGCCCTGCACTATTCCGCACTTCACCCTGCACTCCAGCCCTGCTTATGCTGTCCTTGTGCATCCTGACCTTTTTTTGTGCCGGGACCCTTGGAGGAAGTGCTCTTCTAGACGCACAGCATCAAAGCATCCCTCGCATCCCACTCGACGTCGTCACTGTAGTCGTTGCTATGGCACCCTAAAAACTTACAACGCTTAGAGTGGGTCCTTCGAGTGGGTCCTAGTGACGATGCATGGGGCCTTCTTGCACTCCATGTAGTTCTGCATCTCCAGGAGGGAGCCCTGGAAGGCTTTCACCTCGTCCTCCGCCACCTCCGAGCTTGGGGAGATCCATCGGCTTCTCTTGGCTAAGGGGTAGAAGGAGGGACAACTAGAAGGGACCCTTCATCTTATTCCCCTATATAACCCTTACATAAACCTTATGCAGTCCCTATATACCGAAGCAGCCCCTGAATAAGGTCCCTTCTCAGGGCCCTCCTCTAGTCCCTTAACCTGGGCTTTTGTTGCCACCTGCCTCGCAAACCCCTCTTGGACACACTGCAGGGAACATCTGGGCAAACGTTGCATGGTGCGACAAAGCTCAGCTTCGGGTTTAGGGCACATGCGCAAGCAACACGGAGCTATCCGTGTTTAGGAGGTTTGAGATTCTTCTAGCCCATATAAACAGAACGATGAGTGGGTGCACGCATCACATCAAAGTACAAATCCCTCACCGAGGTCCACTTGGCAGTCCGCTTCAAAACCCAAATGCAGAACCCCGAAAGCATGAAACGCACCTACAGAACCTCAGAAAATGACACGATGGGGGCCCACGTCACGAGGAGCAATGGGCATTTTCACTCACGACCTCACGAAACAGGAGGGCTGCCCGTCGTTTAGAGGTTCCTCACCTCCAGGTAGCCGTCCAGCTTATTCCGAATCTGCCACCAAATGTGGTCCAAGGACATCAGCACCTTCCGACTGGTCTCAGATCCATGTTCCATCAGGTAACATCAGCTGCCTTATATGGAGGTTTCCGGAATTTGGGGTACCTTGTCGGGATCCGCATAAGGCAATCCTACTATTTGGGGGTGTATATTATGGGCCCTCATTTTTGTAAACTCCCATATGCTAGCTGCACCAACTGTAGCAACTTGGCTCCATGTAGTCGCCTTTATTGAACTCAAACCGTACTCTTCTCCGCTCGCTTGCGGGGCCCGAGTCAACCCGAGCCTGCTTCCTAGGAGCAAGACGGCGTAAGCATTGCCCCCGACTACAGCAAGACACCTCCCACATGCAATTTGCAGTAGCCAAGCACAACCTACAAACATGAACACGCCCTCCTACAGGGCTTCATGATCTCAGCAAAGCTTCTTCTGGTCCAGACTAAGGACATCGTTTCCAGGATTCCAGGTCTCAAAGTCGGGCATCAAGTGTCAGGGCTTCGGGCTTGTGTTTCCCACCGACTCCTCGTGGTGCTTAATAGTCAAGACCAAGAATTAAATGTAACACCGGGGAGAGGAACTCGGACCAAAACTAAACACTGACTTGATCTCATGCACCACATATCTCATGCACTACATCAATGAAGTCTGCTCCGCGAATATTTTCTCTCCAACAACGAAACGAGGAACCCAGGAAACAATCCACACAAATGTCTCCATCTCTGTGTTGAGTGTGTGCGGGGGGCCGAAGAACAGGAAGCCGCCCACCTCATGCTCTTGGACCAGGTCCCAGGATCTCTGGGCAGCGTGGCGAGAAGCGTTGCTTTCCTTCCAGGACTTCTTAAGGAAGCAAGTGTGTTTACGGTTTCGCCATTGTGGGGCTTCATTCTTGTCATCTTGGTTCGACTGCTATGGCTTGTGGCGGGTGCAGAACAGAAAGCTCCCTCAACTATTGGGAGAGCTGCGACTCCTACTCCCGTTGTTGCTATCATCGCTACCGCGCCATCGACGTGTCAAGGGCTTTAGTGCAGTATGAGGACATCAGGTGTTGGTCAAGTCTCCAGTCGGTAGACACCCAAGGTCCGCAGCTGGAAGCTGGCTTGGCGCTGCAGTTGCCGCAGCGTCCGCGCCATCTGTCAGACATGCAGCAAAATTGGCCGTTGGTCTGCTTTTCAATTTCTCAAGCTCTGACGAATCTGTGAAGTATATCTACTATATCCATATCTCCACATATATATATATAATACATATCTAGGAGGTTCTCTAACCAATGGTTCTTGACAACCTTTTTAAAGCCTGAAGCTCGCACGTGATCCTACTTCCGTTCCACGCAGAACGCTAACATAATGACTCTACCATTTGCATTGCTACAGCGAGTCAGCAGGTACTCTAAAACTCTTTAGTAACCATTCAAGTTGATTTCATACCTTGTCTGAGTTTGGAACCCTCCCTGCACCTGGTGGCCCACCATCTGGCTCTTGTCCCTTGAGTCCCCTGCTCCTCCACGGCCCGCGCGGCGCAGCGTCTGGTGGAGCACCTTGGACAGATCGTCGTCCCTTATCCAAGCCGCAAATCAACCTTCGAACGGTCCCTTCAAAGGCACCTCCAGATGTCCCAGTAGTGCTGCAGCCTGCAATGGATCTAAGCAGCATGCCAGTTTGGATACAGTTGGGTTACCAGCCACGGCTTGTTACCTACTAGGTCAATCACGAGCCTAACTGAATGAACCGCACACATCAGCACGGGAAAGAAGAGTGTAGCCAAGTTGAACATGCTGACTGCAGATGCACACACAGTTTCAAGATCGTCATCCAACTTCCTACTCACAGGACCTACATTCCACCCGCTTGCCAAAGCGAAGCATTGTCCTGAGGCCTCCGTGGAGTTGGGCGAGCTCGGCAGGTCCGGTGCCTCCGTCTGAGGGCCTACAACTACCCTACAGTAGGGCCGCTGAGCTGAAGGGTTGAGGCAAAAGCCCTTGGTAGTACACGAAGACTTGAGAGCTCCCTCCAAAAATGCATGGAGTTCAGCTCGGAGGTGAAGATAATAATGTAAGGCTGTGGGAAGGTGCTTTAAGCGGATTCACGCTACCTGGGATGGCTAGAGGGGACTTTGTACGGTGTCCGTTCGGCTCAGTGAGAAGGTTCAGGCAACATGATGAGACGAGTACGTCAACGGAAGCTTCGCAGACGAGAGATGCCTTCAGGAAGTCCTCCAGAGCGTCCCTGGCCGTGATCCTCGCGACTTCGTCGAAGGAGGTGGTCTGGGCGTAGCCCGCGAGCTCGGCAAACCTCTTTCGCTCTGTGTCAGGGTGGCTGACGAAAGCCAGGGCCAAAAAAACTTGGGGGTTAAGTAGCCGGAGGGTAGATAGGAATGTCTTGCCTCAGCACTTGTGCTGCACCCACAGGCTTTCAGTTGGAATCAGGTACACCCCACTCCGTGCACGGCCTTCTGCTCCGATAACAACCACCCTGCTAGGCTAGTGGCATTTCCATTGCTGCATACCACTGCTGCCAAGGCAAAAGAGGCATGCCCGGCTTTCGCTTTTTTCTCAGAATGATTGCGCGTTCTGTGAAGACGCCTTAATTGGGGACCTTCTCTCCCAGCGTACTACTCAAAGACTAAAGGAGCCCCAAAGAATCCAGTGCGCTGACATATCGGGGGGGGGGGGAGGGGAGGGGAGATATTGACCTCTTGAGCTTTGCTCGCCGTAATTAGGCCTCTCCTAGCGGGTAGTTGGGTCTCCTTTCCCATGAGGCACATTAAGCATCCAAGAAGCAAGGTGTCCGTCGCTGCTTGGGTGCTCTGCAGGAGATCGTTTGCCTGGCCTGTCTGCGTCAAACCCAGCTGTTGCCGGATATCTTGGAGGCTGGCCATGTTCCTTAGTTCAGTTCTAGAGCACAGGGAGGCCGGAAGGATGCCGGATGCCGGTTTCATCTACGACGTGAGCCGACAAAAAACATGTGGAGTGAGTGCTCCACCCTGCCATCGAAGATGTCCCAAGATGTCCCAACAGCCGCTGCGCTCAGGACTTCTCTCAAGCTTCACGAGCCCAAAACCACAGCGCCAAACGTCCTGCAACTCCAGAAGGCAGAAAACGGGGCCAAGCTTCAAAGTGTGCATGTAATCCAGCTTCTCGCCAAGCCAGCCAGTCTCGGTCCGCGCAGCGTCAGTGGACCACTTTACCAGGGCCTCCGTGTGCTTGGCTCATTGTGGCTTTGTATGGCCCTTTCGAGGTCGCCTTGCTTTGAGTTGGTTCCACCCACCTTTGCTAGGTGAGAACTTCCGATGTTCCTCCTACCTCTCGAAGTGCAGGGGGGGGTGGGGGGAGGGGGGCAACTTCTCAGGAGGACGCGGAGCCGAGCCGCTGAGTGACACGTTCCTAACTGTAAGCTCTGGGTTCTGCACTTGTGCGTGCACTACCGCTCATGATAAATTTCCGAGCCGATGTGCAGGGTGGGCAAGACAAACCGCATTGGTTAATTCGTGTGTTTTGGGGGGTGTTGCTCTATTCAGCTTGTTTTTCGGCTTCTGTGTGATTCACAGATTTGCCTCTACGGTTGGTCAAACCTCATGATGTAGCTTGATTCCCGCCAAGGCCTAGGACGTACTCACCTGAGCGTTGGAACTTGTACTTGTACTTCTTGTTGTTGCTGCTGCTGCTGCGGCTGTGGTTGTTGACCTCAAGGCCTCAAAACCCTGGAGCCCAAAACAAGACCTGACCCTCTGCCCTGCATCACTACCGTGTCTGGCCTTGGCCAGCTTTGGGCGACAGGCCCGCTAGATTCCAGGACATAGTAGTCTTGGAAATCTCTTTATAAGTCTAGAGTCAAAAGTACCTGCAGATTACGACTCATTCCTTGTCCATTGAAGTCTCAAGGCGGAGAAATCCTTATAAGATAGGTCCTTTTCCCTTTGACACAGTTATGAGTCCAGAGATTGGAGAAGATATTCACCTGGAAAGCACAAGAAACTACTGATTCTCTATCCTTATATAGGGGTGAGAATAGTAAGAAAGACTCATTAAGACTTCTGTTAAGGTGGGCAGTGGTTATTAGTTCATATGTAGCCTTACCATCCATTGAGAGTGACTGATGAATGAGGACTTCCTTGATGAGAGGTATGGAGTTAGGGCTGGAAAGCCGGCATGGCATGGGCTTCTGCAAAAAAAACAACACAATGAAGCCATGGCCTTCATGTTGCTGTTTGTCTTCTTGGTGGCAAGCTCCTTGGCATCTCAATAGGGAATTGGAGACTTGGGTACCCTGGGTACCCCATATCCCTCTTCATTACCCTGTGCGTTATTTAATAGGGTGCCTTCTGCTCTGATGCTTCACGAAGAACTAGACAGCAGACTCAGTAGACCCTAAGAATACCCGCAGAAAAGCAGTCTGGTCTCTAGATTCCGGATGATGGACCGATCGCCTCTGACCACCGCGTCTCGCACGCAGTGGATATCGCCTAGAGCGCAAAGTACGGCAAGCACCGACATGGGCATCGGACAAATCCACTTAAGCTTCCTCAGTGATCAAGATCAAGCCATGCCCAGTGCTTTCTCGATCGGCAGAGTAAGGGGGGGGGTGCACAGAGGCACCATGCACCAAGTTGCAAAAAGCCCGTGCGAAGCCGATCTGCATGGGATTGCATGCGGCGTAGCCTTCCTCAGGCGAGACAGTGGCTACAAGAAGTCTTGCCTGCATGGCTGCTACTTTAACCCGCCGTAAGGTTCTGGCATACAGTCAACTCCTGGCTTCAGGGCCCAGTACGGACTCTCCAGTGGACTCTTACTTCGATACGCCCTGTTCTGGGGAATGCTGCAGGGTGCGGTGTAACACAGGGCAGAATAAGAAGCGAACCTTGAAGCTTGTTAAGGTTGCAACGGTTGCATCTGGGCAAAGTGACACCCCTAAAACGACGAAACTCAACTGAAAAACGTGCTGAAGCCTGCGTTTTTGGAAACATGTGAGAACAAACTGCACGTGAGAGTGCTTCGCACCACTCGGTTGCTCATGGGTTCCTGGCGCGAAATGCTGACAAAGGGCTCTTTCGATGCAAAGCCTTTTCATCAGGCCCTTGTGAAGGTGTTTTGGCTGCATGCCCACACGCTTACACAAGAATTTCAGATGAACACGCGCTTCGCTTGGAGCATCTCGGCTCTTCTCTGCCTTGCAGACAGCCTTCTGCATGACGCAAACGCTTAGAAACTTTTAACCGCGCCTAAGTTTGTTGACTTTCTCATAAAGAGCTTCTTTCATCAATTTTTCAATCCAGCTGAAAACTCTTTTTGAAAGTGCACCTGATTTCTGCGCCAGCAGCTTAGAAGATCAGCAGCAGGGTGAAAACAGTTTGAAGACGCACAGAATGGTGCTTACACATTTGGTTTTTTGTTCTTTGGTCAGTGTGCGCAGTGTGTCACAGCCAGAGCTACAGTGTGCCACAGTGTGGCACGAGTACAGCCCCCTCGAGCCGTCTATTTCCCTTCCCTCGCCTCCCTGAGGGCAACGTTTGCAGACGCAGGCCATTTCTAGACGATGAAAACAGGATCCGCTTTGTTTCTTCGTGCTCTTCAACGTTGCCTGCAGGGAAAAAGGGGATCGTGAGTCATTTTTCCTTCGTTGTTTGGAACATAGTCGAAACCCTAATTCTCGCTGACAAGATGGCACGCGGCAATTTCAAAACGACAAACGGCTGCAGCAAAATGCATTCTATCTTTTTTGGCTGCCGCTCTTTTGCAATCTTTTGCATATTGTTTTGGAGGCACGCCGAGGCGGGTGCAAGTGGGCCAACTCAGGGCTCCAAATCCTGAGGAAACCGACTTGGCTCATACCCCCAGACCCAAGAACCCAAAATCGGCTGAGAGCACTTGTTCGCACACCACCCAGACACCTCAAACACTTGAAAAAGACGCCTGAGGGTCCCTCAAAGCCACGGTGCCCGAGTTCTATCTTCAAGCTTCAAGTTCCTCGACTCCCTTGCAAGCTCACACATTCCCGTAATCCCTTCCCCTAGAAGCAGCCATTTTGGCTGGGCTCCTGTTCGATGGACCAGCCCTGCTTGGCGAAGTGGAAGCCACTAATCGGCCCTGAGCTCGAAGCGACAGCTGTATTACAGACAATTATAGTATATTATGGCATATTATGGTAAATTCTGGTATATTATGGTATATTATAGTATATTATAGTACAGTCCGGAGTGCAAGCCCCTGGCTCTGACACTGACTGTTGCTGTGGATGACAATGTGCTGGTTCCCACTCCAAAGTCCAAAGCTGATGTCAGTACCAAAAGAAGCAGTCCTTCCTGCAGCCCCTTGCCAGAGGGGCTTTCAAGACAATGTCTATTTTGCGGCATGTGCAAGTAGCTGGAGGCTCGCACTTGACAACCGCCTAACCCGATGGGACCAACCACTACATGGCGCTCCTGCAAAGTCATAGGCGGCGCTTAAGAGGTCCGCAATGCCGCCGCAAATGTCCCCAGGGTTTAAGGCCAGACCGGCGCCCATGGGTGCGATCGTGACCTTGGTGACGGGCGTTTTACTTGCGGCAGTGGGGGTCTGAGAGGCAAAGCAAGGAAAAAGACACCAACAACGAGTGTACCAAGGCTAATGACACTAGAGGTGGGCGGGTGGTGACACAACAGCTCAATACATAGTGCACGAAAGCTACGAGTCTGCAAAATCCTGAAGTGTAAAGTGACATGCCGTAGATTCATGAGACCACAAGGGCTTGCAAGGTCACGCAAACTTTCTTCGCACCCTGCGGTAATGCTACAGACCGTTCACAGCAACTATAAGGCCCTTGCGTCCGGGATGAGCGCGCACATCATACCCATGCCCGCATTGGTGACGTCTGCAATGAAGTCCTGGGTGCACTCGGCAACGTTCGTTAAACTGTCTCGGCTCTTGACTGGCTAAGCTAGAGCACGCGCGCAGAAACAGTACACACTCGTGAGGAAATGACCCAAAACCCTCAAATCGTTAGTCGCGTGAGCGCTGCCCCGGGCAATGCGGTGGAACGTACAAATTTCAGTATATGGGAACTGGCATGTTAAGCTGGAATCATGTAGTTTAGGCAGTCTGAACACCTTTGGCATGAAGCCTGTGGCATGTATGAAGGTCATTTGGGTAACGGCGACTGGTGGAGAACCAGCACGCGCGCGCAACGAGCACGAGATTCTCGAAAACGGCAGGCTGTCGACAAAGCCCCTTTCAAGTCATTGTGCAAGGGTCCGCCTCATGAAGATGTCCTGACATTTCCACAGAACCGTTCGTGTTGGGGACGTGTGAAAGGGCCCATTGCTCCTCCGCAGCACGGCATCATGGTGTTCAGCTGCACTGCAACCGGGGTGGCAAGCCCTTCGGCAGCGTTTTGTAAAAGGGCAGCCTAGGGTCTGTCAGTGCTGCATGGTAGTCCAGCTTGGCAGAAGCCAGGTCTCGCTCGATGTCTCCTAGCAGCTCTTCAAGCGTTGTGGGACTGTCTGGCTATAGGTTTCGAAGTAGAGGCCAAAACCCTTTCGCAACTGGATTGGAATTTGTAATCAACTGCCAGGAACAAGAACACACATCTCCTACGGCCAAATTCAAAACTCTGTACATCGCCGAGCCAAGTCTTAGGCACCTCCGAGCCTAAACCCCAAACCCTATAAACCCTGAACCCCTTTGAGCTGAGTGCCAAGGGGGCCAGTGTGTAGGGCTTAGATCTCGGGCAGCTTTGGGGTCTGAGCCACCCAACCCTCGAAGCGGCCGAACCCCAAACCCTACACCGTCACCTAAATGGCCCCAGACAGGTGTCCATCTTACATCCTAGGCGTTTCTGGGTCGAAGAAAGCCGGGTCCTTGCATGCAGTCGTTCCAGTCTGCATACATCATGTTCTCCGGAGCAGTGGAGCCGTCGCCTGCGCTTCCGGGTTCAGGGCTTTGAGCTGCAGGCTCAGTAGTAGGCATTCGATGCTGAGGGTAGAGCTTAAGGGCATCTTAGATGCGGCATCTTTTTAGACCGAATGTGAAAGAGCCATGCACATCTACCCGTCCGAAGCGATGCCGATCACTTGTTTGTTGAGCATGGTTGGGAGCTTCGAGTTTGGAGCACATGAGGGCCGAGACAGGTCTTTTTGAAGTCTCGAGCCGAGATGAAACGACACTCAAAGCAAGAACATCTTGCTGCGCGTTCGGGGGAAGGCTTCGAGGGTAGAGCTTACACACCTCGGGGCTTCAGGCGTCCGGCCATGTTCCCTAAAATCAATCCAGTTTGGCCTCCGCCCCATTGGCCGAAAATACCACCAGCTGACTTGGCCACCTCGCATGGGTGGTAGGAGTCCAATGCAGCGTCCTCGCGAAAGAAGGTCGACATTGGGCAAGAAAACTTGCCCATGGCAGGAGACACAAATACAGACTTGTAAGGCAAGGGCTTGTCCTTCTTCTGATGCAATTATGATGTAAAGATCTTCTGAGTTGTGCTTTAAACCCTTTGAAAATGATTTCTGAACAAATTCCGCAACAAGGAAAGCCGAGAAATCAAAATTGATCCCAAAGCACAACCCAGTCTTGAGTTTCTTATTTAGGGCAGGCCTAGGGCTCAGCATTCGCCCCGCACCTTCGAATCTTGGCGATACAGGTTGAAGGCAGAAGCATTTTTCCATATCAGGCCCCTCATGACTTATTGCCTGGGTCCTCCGTCGCAGGATCTGCCTCCAAGCTCGAGGTCTTCTGCACATCGTTGTCCTGCGATACTTGAAGATCATGCGGCTGATTAGCACAGCAACAAGCATGACAGCATAAGAGTGTGCTAATACACTCATATGAGACACCGCATGCTAACGTAGTCATATCGTAATCCAACATACAACAGCACAATCATGTAACTATGTCATAAACAAGAACAGCAGGAGGGGCATTCACAATTTACTATTCGCCCGGCGCCTCCTCGTCCTTGAAAGTCTCCGTGATGCCTTTCCACAAGTTCCTGGGATTCCGAATGGTTTGAAAACACCGGCGCTCGGCCGCATGGCTGGCAGGTGCCAGATCATGAATGCAAATTCTGATGCGATGAGCAACGAAGCTGGTGTGTTGCAAGGGCGGGGGCCAGTGCGCAACTCCCAGCCCAGCAGCCCGCCAGTGGTGTTCTGGCAGAGTTGGTAATCACAGCCGCATCAGCCATGCCATGCACCATGTTCATGCACCTCCCCTGCTTGCAAACGAGTCATTTGGGCAGGGCGAATCAAACCACAACCGCGTGAACCAAACTCAGCAGCTCCATCAACATTTCTGCGGCCTCCCCTGCTTGCACACAAGCCAGTCAGTCCCTGCCGGGAACTGGGCACCCCCAGCAAGCATGTTGGCGCATCATCTTGCTGTCATGCACTGCTCTGAAGCAGCGTGTTGGCCTCAAGGGTGCGAGCCATGTGTCCAGCCGAGATCACGCAACTCGCAGGCATGGACCCATGCGTGCTGCCCCACACCTGGCCAGCGGTGTGATGACTCAACCAGCTAGTGTTGCAAACGAGAGTCATTCGGGTAGGGCGAAACAAATCAAAATCGCATGAAACTCAGCAGCTCCATCAACATGTCCGCCGCGGCCTCCCTGCTTGCTCACAAGACCCAGCAAGCACGTTCGCGCATCATGTCATGCTCTGTCAGGCATGGCAACGTGTTTGGATCAGAGGTGCGCAGGTGCAAATGGCGCAAAGGTTTGCTGTAGCGCTCTAGCTGTGAGAAAAGGGCCAGGATGGAGTAAGCCAACCGCAGCAATCTTCTCAGGCCCTGCATGCCTTCGTTAACTGGTGTAGGTACCTCGAGAAATCTCGAGAAAGCTCGTCGAAGGCAGTCGACACCTAGTAGGAATTTAGCCCGCGTTGGGGTCCATCGGCGGCTTTTCGCACAGCCTTCTCCCATTTGTAGTTGGCAAGCCGCTCCCGCGTTGCTAAAGGAAGCCTTGCTCGAGGCCTAGAAGCCCCTCAGGAGCCTAGAGCCGCCAAACTCTGCGAGCCCAGGTGCTCGTAGTTGAGGCACTCCGCAGCGTACGTCGGCTGCTGGGCCTTGAACCTTAAGATTTTGGGCCTTGGGCCCTTAATAGGGTGCTAGCGTTGAGCTGTTCACGGAGACATCGGGCATACGGCATAAGGGCCTCAGGGTTTGCAAGGGGTTGGGCTTTAAGGATCTTGAAGAGAATCTTGAGGGTTTATGTTGAAACTTGCAGTGTTCACGTCCAGAACTTGCAGTTCAGGTGCTGTTTGAACTTGGAATGCTGCTCTATTGGCGAATTACTATATGTTTCCTGATATATTAGAACGTTGATCTTTTTTTGCTATTGCAGTACCATATCTTATTACATCTTTGAATGAGGCGTCTTCCAGCTGGTCGCAAAGCCGCCGGCTTCGGGAGTCTCATGCAATAATATAATATATAAGATAATAATGAATTGCGTCTTCTTTTCTGAACGATGTAAGATTTAACAAAATGATGATATAGAAATAAAGTAAGGTAGTAATCTAGTCATGTATTCACGTAGTAAGATGTAAGATATATGGTATACAAGACTATCGTCATATCGTAGTATCGTAATATCTAGAAAAATAACCTAGTAGCATTTTAATACTATAGCCGTGTCTGAAAGTAAAATAATATCGGTATATTCTACCAATAGTAATATTGTTGTAATACAAGAAAGTTATAGCAATAGGGTAATGTGACCACTAACAACAGCATTGCGTTGTGCATGGGTGGCTGCAGCCAGCTGTCTCAGCCGCCTTTGCCAAACGTGTACTTGGAGTTTTCTCGTATTGCTGAGGTCTTGTCGGCAGATGCTGCTGCGTTTACTGGATTGCGGAAGGGCTGCGACTGTGCATCGAACGACTGCATTTCTTGCAGGCTGCGTTTTTGGTCACTGAGGGGAGGTTGAAAGAAGTCTGCTAAGTTCTTTGCTTCAGTTTCAACGCCACCAATTCACCTCGGAGATTTTGTTTCAGAGGAAGCGCCGTGTTTAGGTGCTCCTGCCGAGACTAAGCGAACCTCTTAGCGAACCTCTTCTTGAGAATTTGTCACCTCCCATGAACCAGAAGGCCAGGTTCCGTAGAACGGAGTCCATATGCCACCTTTACAGCGCAGGAAGCCCAAGCGCATCATTGCCTTTGTGACTTAAAGCTTGCTTGCCCCACCCCCCCCTGGCACCCCTCAAGCCTATCTTGAAAGCTTCCAGGCATTGACGTCATGTCGAAAGGAAATTTCACCCAATGTTGTAGTGAAACTCTGAGGCCTGATGAGCCCAAGGAAGTTCAATACTTACAGCTGTGGAAACTTGTCTTGGGCCAACGAACTACTGAATGGTCTGGTGGTACCATACGGCCCTGTGCTGCCCGCCCGTGAAAATCGTCAAGGGACTCTTGGAGCTCGGGCATCGGGGGCGGCCGGGGTCGCTTCGGAGGCTTCAGCTTCAGAGCCTGCAGGTTTAGGGGGCAGTTCAGGGCTACTTTCAGTGCAAGAGGGCCTTCCGCAGAGCTTGTGACGAGCTTCCGATTCGGCTTGGTCTGTAATCATCTACATCCCGACAGCATGCCATTGAAAACAGCCCCGCTCTCGGCACGGCCTCCGCCAAAGACAACGCCTGGGGCCAGCGGCGGCTGGAGTGTTGTAGAGCTTCATGCAGAGGTCAGCCAGGAGTTGGATTGGCTGGAATTGGGCTCTTGCGGTTTCGAGTTTGGGGGTTTGCGTAGGGTCACAGTCTGGGGATCAAGGTTCAAGGACGCATGCCTTTTGGGGGCAGACATCTTGGCTTGATTGCTCGGGCCGCCTTGAATGCATCCCGAAAAACCTTAAAACCAACTCCCAGCCTTGCTCCCTTCCTTCGGAAGGGCCGCCAGGAAGTCACCGTTGAAGTCACTGACATTCACCACATCGAAAGCAGCGCCTGCATGGCTTGCGAGCCAAGGTCCAAGGTGTTCAGGCTTTGTTGAAGGTTCAGGGTTCCTGGTCAGGCTATGCTCCAGCTCAGGTTGGGCCAAGCTGCAACACAACTATTCATCCAACAAGCTTTCTCGGCGAACTGAGCTCAATGATCGACATGGCACTGGCAAAACTAAACTGGCAAAGCCTCAGGAACAAGAACTGACGAACAGGCTCTTGAACACGAACGGAGGGCCTTGTGAAGTTAGCGAACGCTGGCTGTTTGCATAAGACAAGCTTAGCCGAAGCCATGCATGCATGCAAGGTGCTCTATGAACCCCTCTTCCCTCACTGCACGAACCCGATCATGCACTACCTCTTTAAGGCATGGTGAGGAAGGCAGGACATCCCAGAAGAAAGGAAACGAATGCAAGAATGTAGATCCCCGCGCTGTCCGCCCCTGATTCATGTGAAATGCGGCATACGCTGCTTTAAGGCGCAAAGCATCGCACGGCAAAACACCGGCTCATTTCTCAGAAGATCTTAGGTGTGAGGGCACGCGCTCAAGTTTACATGAAAGCATACGGTTCGAATCTGGAAACCGCACCCCTACGCCTCGAACTGCGAAGCCAAGGCTTACTCCCAAACTCCCAAACTGCGATGTGTTCCCACCTGTGATGCCAATGGGAGAGATGCTGTCCGTAATGGCGGAGCATTCGGCGTCCACGCACCATTTGCCTGCTCCCAACAGCCCCGTTGCAGATTCATGATAATCTCCGGGTAGCTGCAGCAAAGGTAATGAGGCTTGACGTGGTGATGCGATTCATTCGAGGCTTGCTGCAAACATGGAATGCGTCATATCATCGCCCAAAGCGCCTCTGGACAAAGCCGCAATCCTAATATATTTTACCAGAGTTCTCTGCTTCTAGTCTCCTCTAGCCCGATGCCTGTCATCTCGTCAAAGGTCAAGGAACGACTTAAGGCGGTGGCCTCGGGATCAGATTGGTTAGGGCTCTAAACTCTGGCATCACAAGAGGCAGGGAGTGCGTGATGCAGTGAGACAGCACCCTAGTATCAGAGTTCGCAACGGGCTCTTGGAGCAATGCCACGATCTCACCATTGGAGGATATTTGACTAAACACCACAGTACCCATGTACCCGCCACCTCGGGTTGGGGCAGCTTCAGTTTATTTGCGCTGGTCGGCTGCAGAGTTTGCTGAGCCGGCTTGCAATTGGAATATGACGAAGCCCGCAACCCACTTCTGCAGTGCTGGCTACGTACTCCAAGCGCCCGGTGGGTCCACGCCCTGTGGGGCAATAAACGCCATCATAGCGGCCTGGAGTTGGAGTTGGTGCTACCGGGGCATTGGACAGTTTCTCTGCCAGGGACTCCATGAATTCAGGAGGCAAAGAGGGGACCACGAGATCTTACGTTGACATTGTTAACAAGCCCAGTGCCTACGACAGCTACTGTGTGTCACGTGATCACAGCAATCCGACTACGTGGCGAAGCAGAACAGCTCAGCGGAACAGCTCAGGGACCTCGTCCCTTGTCATCATTATCGTAGCAATTGATACGTCAAGATGTTGGATGGTTCTGCTGAGTATCTGGTGAGGAGGCCTCTTGCTGTTGCATATTTTTTCTGCCACTACCAATCACTACCATCTGCAGTTCATCCGACACAGCCTCAGACATTCGCACCCTGATGTATCAGCTGCCATGGATGAACAACAAGCCTCCTAACAACTGCCGCTGAGACACTAATCAATTCGGGTACTGCCCCACGTGGGTCGAAAGTGATGGGTGCTCCACCAGCTTTGCAACATTGGTAGCCTCATCGCGTTCGGTAGGAAGTGCTAACAAAATCGTCATCAAGATGTATGGACGCGCGAAAAGCTCAACCGAAGAACAACAAAACGCATTCTTGTTGCTGTCAGCCAAGCTTCGAACTCGCCCCCACTTGCCTCCCTCGGAGAACTCGAAATGGAAGCCGCCCAGAACGGCGTTTTGTCCGCAATCCACCGGCATCATTCGAAGCGGCTGCGACCTGGGTCTGGCCCCACGAAGCCTTAAAACAATTTCCGTCTCCCGATCGTGTGGTTGTGCGAGAGGTGCAGTGCCTTCATGTTTATGCATCCCGAAACCTGCTATGTCCAAGCATCAGTCTCGGAATCGAAGGCTGAACAGGTGGTCCTGATTATGGTCTAGGCTACCCTCTCTGAGCCCCTAAGCAACTTGAGGGGAGCAGCAATGACTCTTCAAGCGCTTTACGACCCCGCACCTGATCATCCAGAAGGCAAAGCTAGGGTGCCCAACCTCCAACCTTGCATCTCACCTCTAGGATGCACGTGGGGGTTTACGATACTAGGGGTACCTTATTAGGGTCCTTATTATAAAGAAGGTTTGTCGTCTATACTAGGGGTCCCTTATTGTCGTACATGTCTGCGGCTGAAGGTCCAGTGCTGTCGCTCTTGGCCGAAGCTGCCGATCTCCTGGGATCGCGGGAAGCCGTGGACCCGACACTCTGACCCAGCACTTCTGGAAGTCCTAGCTGAAACCTGAGACCCCTAGGCCCTACTCTTCCAAAGCCCCCGAAATTTCAGAGCCCCGTCTCCACTTGGGCGCTGTAGTAATCAAAGCAGGAGCCAAGGCCGCCTCAGAGCGCTTGGTGGGGGGCGGGGGGTTGAGATGAAGGTTTCTGCGCTCAGTGCGTGGGGCATTGTAAAGTTTTGGGGACTTGCCTCGGCTGCTTATTCTCGTGACCTGCGATGCCCCCCCTCCACTCCTCCCCCTTCTCTCTCCTTCCTTCTTTCTATTTCTCTCTCTCTTTCTAGTCTTCTTCTTCTATACACCGGAGAGGCGCGCTCTCTCTCTCTCTCTCTCATTCTCGCTCGCTTGCTCGCCGACTGATGCCGCCACCGTAGAAACCCCAAGCCCCAACCAATCCCAAACCATGCATGCTTCCCACATGTGCTTGCATGTTTCATCCCCATGGTTCCTGGCAACCCTTTTGTAGGGAGAAATTTCGGATATTGAAAGCTTCATGCAGGCTTCAATCATCTTGGTGCTTTGTTTTTGAAGTTAGTTTTTTCTCACGCTCGTGCTCTATTTATTGTCTTGGGCATCCCCAATCCTTGCAGATGCCTCCAGCTTTTTTGCGGGAGAAGAGGATCCTGTCAGAGATGCCATTCCTTTAGGAGAAGGCCTTCTAGCGTAGATAAATGCTATGCGAGCCGGCTCCGCTCGGCATACACCTGAATGTTCACAACCTCAGCTATCACCTTCCCCAAAATTGTACAGTACATTCCGTCTCAAACTGTAAGGAGAAAGACCTCACCCCTCAAGGGCCCAACCTGTGGGAGCTGCTTTGTGACAAGAGGCCTATCTTGCTGCACTCGTAGCGAAAGACCTTGCTGTGGACGGCTGACTGAGGAGACCCAGCTCAGGTGGTCCCAAACACCGAGCCCCTGGAAGAAAATCCGCAGTCCGACGGTCCGGGAATCCAACCTATACAGACTTGCGACTGTATCACCACAAGCATCCAACGCTTTCACACCGCTGGGTCCTAAACCTATCCACATGGGCATGGTAGTTCATGGTAGGAACAAAGAGAGATTGCACACGCTGCAGTTTCAGTGGAGACGATCATAACATCTCTGGATCGTCACGATTCCCTGCTACCTGTACAGCTAGGCAAGTAGCTGATACACCTGGAGACTTGTTTGGTTTAGGTGTTTTTTTGCCACCCGCCTAGCAGCCCCCCTCTTTGGTTTAGGGCTTAGGGTTTACTCGGCGCTATCTCTGAGTCTGAGCAACTGAGCGCGACTGCACTGTGAACCAGCACATCATCGGGACCATCCCGCAGCAGTTTGGGGTTTGGGGTTTCGGTTTGCTATGGCCTTGAGTTGGAACGAACCCTCCTCAAAGACACGTTCGCATGACATCCGAGGAAGGAAGCGAAGAACTTTTCCCATCAACTGCAAGATGGGACTGTAATGCAAGATGATGCAGGGCACGTGGGGCCCTAAGTTGAATCAGGCAATTTGTAGAGACCCTTGGTTGTCCCATCAAAAGGACCAACGACTTTCTTGGTCCGCTGTATTCCCATAGACCCTCATCAGTAACCGCTAGGGTTGTAGAGGCTGCCGTAGACATCGTGCATTCTTAGCTCCATCCTGGAAAACGAACCTCGGACCCCAAACGCTCAAAGCGAAAGATCGTTCTCTTGCCTTCTCGGCAAGTCCTGCTGTCAAAGAAGCCGCTGAAGCCAGGATCGTTTAGGGTTTAGGGCATATATATATATATATACATACATACATACGTATACATATAACCCCTAAACCCTCGACCTGAATCAACCCCGTGAAGCCCGAATCAACTCTAAACCCCAAACCAAGAGGCGCTGTGCTCCAGCTTGAAAGCAGTCAATGCCTCGCCAGCTGCACCTTGCTAAACTGCAATTTAGGGCAGGCGGCTAGACCAAAATATGGGCGGGGGGCCTTATTAAGTCGCTGCATTCACTGCATACTTTGGATAGTTTCCATATACTGCATAGGAACTGCAAGCGGCTAGTCTTGCCAATGAATATTAAAGCGTCTGCAGTATCAACAAAACAAAACGGCCGATGCCCTTTGTTGTTGGCTCAGTACATCCTAGGTCGGCCTCAGCTCTCCTGAACTAGGAGTGGTCGAAAATGCGGGGACAGACCCCGGATGTCTCAACTGAGGCTTCTGTTGCTCGTCTGCTACTAGTTCAATTCCTTACGCTTCTGTCTGCTGCTTATCATGGGATTGTAAGGGCATGATAAGAGGACCTACTTCGTACTGATGCAACTGTGATTCAACTGTGAAACAACGGAGATAGCTCTTGAGTCCGCTTTCTCACGCGTAACGTTCTTGGCTCGCTCTCTCTCTCTCTTCAGGACATGTAGCAGCTGGAAAAGCTGGCTGTCTTTAAAGTGAGTTTTGCACTAGTTGTGTTCCGGAAGGGTTACTAATCGTTGGGCCATAAGCAGGAACGTGCTGACAGGGCTCGCGCAGCACGACAGGATGCAGGGTTAATGCTCTTGGGCGTCAGGCTCTGCCCATTTGCATGGCGCCTTAACCTTTCCTTGCTCGGGGCCGGAAGGCCCCTCTACACATAATTCTTAATGACCGCAAGCCGTCACTGACACACAGCGCACTCTTGTGCAGGGAGCATTCTCCCATGTGACAAGAAATAGCCGTGCTGACATTATTCATGATATTAATATGTCTACGATATAATAGTAGCAATAATAAATAATGCTCGTAGTATTCATAACGTTAAGCCGTTAGATCATGGCCTCAGCTCATCAACCCAAAGTGTTCTGAATCTTTCACGCTTCGACAACACTGACAACACAAGCTTTAATCGCAGAGCTTCCTGAAATCCCGTCGTGCCTAAGGCCTAAGGCCCTCTAAAAAAGCAAATGGATGGAAACGTTGGCTCTTCTCTGGTCCAGCCGAAACAACGGCCAGCGCACATTCTACCGGGTGGTCGGCGAGGAGGTGATGCCAGGAGGGCCTTGGCCGAGACATGCTCGCAGCACGGGATGAAATATGGGCCACTTTTGCGGGTGTATATGCATGTATCATCTGTAAATCTCTCTGCGCAGGCGTAGGGTTGCTTTCAAGGTATGACTTTGCTAGACTTGAACTCCGAGAAGGCCCTTTTCTTTGGTGAATGATTCCTACCAGTAGAAGAGAACCTTATAGCCTTTCAGGTCCCCAAGGCTTCTTGAGATTCTGAATGGTTCCGAGTCCATGCGTCTGAGAAGCTTTAGAAATCTTCGGGGGCAGAGTGGGGGGAGGGAAAGGAATAACAGGCTCAAGTACATCGGGAGTGATTTACGCGTTTCGCCCGGTTGTGGGTTTAGGACAGATGCCCATGTAAGACCCCAATAATATGCAGCAGAGCGTGCTGCCCGAGCAGGTGGCAGCATCTTCGTGTTTTAGTTGCGTAGGATGTATTTCTAGTACAGAATCATAAGAGCTGCTAGGGCAGGCCCTTCCCTGCCCTCCAGCCTAGCAGTTCTGAGTCATAAGATTTGCTAGGCCAATATCTTTATTGCCTGTTGGACAAAGCGGTTAGGAACCTTCGAACTGAGGAACCATCTGACTCTCCCCTTCAAACCTGAAATCTTGACAGAATTCTTGAGAGAAACCGCGTGTACATCAAAACATAAACTGCTCACAGCTCTGATTTTCAGAAGGAACAGACCCTGCAAATCACTTCAGTAGGACACGTGCGACGAGAACAAAGACGCCGACTTGGAATATGTCGGTTTGGTCAACCCTCCAACAAGACTCCACGTATGCGCCGTTGCCCATCTTGTCAGTCCAACAACCATTGCCGCTCGCGACAAGAGGTTGCAGGGAATCCAAGAGGTTCAGGGCATGCCGAGCTCTAAATCACCCAGCTGGTCCCAGTTGCCAGTTGCTGGAAGACTTGTCCCGCTGGATGCCCGTGTCCTGAAAGTCGCCCCACCTTGGAGCTGCCGAGGTTTCCTTCGTGCACATCTGTGGTTTGAAAGGTCCTTCCCTCGATGGCCAGAAGCACGGCAGGTCTAGCGAATGTTTGGTGGTGATGCTATCTCACTCCGCCCTGCAGACTAAGTCTTCAATGCTTTGAGACACAGAAAATGATCTGGACCGCAAATAACCTCCTTGAAACGATATTGGCGCTGCATCCGGGACACCGAATGAGCGGGGCAAACCTGAACAAGTCTCTGATCTTGGGAACGTTCGAAGCGCCCCAATAGAGGGGTCCGATAATATTCCCGGAAGGTCCTTCTATAATCATACGATACCACCCCAAACCCCATTCTAATTATTAAGGCCCCTATGTTGGATTTCCGCTTTGGTTTGCAGCCGCGAACTTCACTAGTGGGAAGGCAAAGCCTGAAGCGTTTGTAAATACTCTTTCAACACCTGTTTGCCTGGGATTCGTGACAAGAGGAGTCTCATCTTCGCAACTTGTGACACCGCAGTCCGTGACCTTGGGGCTAGTACGGCTTACTAAGGCCTACAGTGGGGGACCCCTGGTCTCGGGCCACAAAAAACAGCACTCGCGTGTTGACCTGACTGGCGTCTGAGGGCACACAACCCCTTTGCCGGATCAAGGGCCCCCGCAGCTCTGTACCAAACTTATGGCGCATGCTTGTCTCGCCAGGGAGCTTGCAGCTGCTTTTCGCCGAGTCGCCTCTCCAAGGCGCTGTGTTCTAACATCCTCTATGTATATGTTTGTATGTGTGTACATGTGTATACACATCTGCGCCAGGAGTACGAGGAAGGGCAGCTGTTGGCAACTCACATGTGGCAACTCATTCGAGCACAAGTGTCTTGCCGTGCCCCCCGCCCCCCCCACCTACGAAGAGCTGGCCGAAGTCGAAAGTGCTCAAGGCGCCGCTGGTGCCGCAGAAAGACGAATAGGGTGTGTGCAGATCCTTGGCAGGGTTCAGTCGCAGAATACCGATTTGGATTGTGTTCGCTTTAACAAGGCTAAGGAGGTCCTTGATGCTGAAAGCTAAAGAGCACAGCCTTGGAATTTCACATGGATATGCGCGGTAGGTACAGGGCACAACCAAGAAATCAGGAATGTTTGCGTGGATCAAGCATGAAGTACTGCAGTATGTAGTCTGTGTTCCTTTGAGTCTTTGAGCAGGCCTTTGCTTTTGAGAACAGGTTCTTGTCGTACTTACTACAGGCTTGCCTTAATTTCCTGCAGCTTCCTGCGAACACTGCGGTGCTTGCAAATGGGGGTTCGGACCCGAAGTTCGTGTTCCCACCCGTTCCCTTGTTAAGTGTCGGGGAAGGAGAGGGGGGGGGCGTGGGGTGAGTGTCCACTTCGCCAGTCCAGACATCAAACAGCGGCCGGCGCACTGGATTTTTACTGGATTGCCGGGGGGGGGGGGGGGGCGGGCACTTTGACACAGTCAACAGAGCATGGCCCGGCAAGGCCTGAAGTCCGCAGTGTATTGCTTTTAAACCCTGAAGCCCACAGCCCGGAGACCCAAATGTGAGGTCCATGGTGCGAGTGGGTCTATGATGGACCATTGAAAGCAGGGCGGCCTCATTATACGGCTATCCAACCTTCAAGCAGGAGACCTGGTCACGCTCGTCTGCCTCGATGTGGAGGTACCACCTTGGGCTTTCAAACCGCCAGCGAGAAATCGAGGCCGCAAAATGGAAACGATAGCTCAGCACAAGAAGTAGTGCCTAACCCTGCCACCATTTCACCGTAAACTCTACACACCGATGTGATGGGTCGCTGGCGTCTAGCGTTGCCTGAAAGTCTTGCAGCCAAACAGTGCACGTGCGGAGAGAGCGGACTAGGTTGAGGGCCGAGTTTCACTTCTTGGACTAAACCCAATATCACCAACGACCCAAACCTTGAAGGGGTGGTTGTTCTGGACGTTGGCTGCGTGACTTTTAACAACAAGTCCACAACCATCAAAGGCAACAACACTTTTGTTTGGGCCCCCCTCAGAAACCCGGGCTCCGAGCATGTCTTTCGGAAGTTCAGCAGGTGCAAGATGTTGCTGCTCATCCTTCCTCCAAAGCGGAGACGAGAATGTGGTGATCTTGGACTTTGGGGAAAGTGTGATGGTAACTGGGTTTGCGAGCTAGAAGAGCTGGGCAAGCTGTTCAGGCCATCGTTGGCTGGTAGAAGCTGAGCTTGTGACTATCTGAGGCTACATACATCGAACAAACCAGGTGGTCGCAGTCGATAGTTGAAGAACTGGATCAAGCCTGGGTTATACGATGTATTCATAGTTTAAGACTTCAAGGCCTAACTTCTCGCACAAAAAAAGTTAAACACTTGAAGTGGTTTGGCCCCTCTAAAGTCTGTGAGGACATCGGACATTGAAGCTCTGATCCCTAAGCGGCTCTGATCCCTAAGCGCTCTCCCCGCCACCCACACTACAGACTTAGGCACCAAGATGCACCAAGCGTCTGATTGCAGGTCACATGCTTCAGGCCCGACACGTTGCCCTTGGTGCTCAAGCACTGGTCGGCCTCCTCGCACCCAAAGGGGCTTCTGCAGACCCTCAAAATCTATGTAGGGTTTGGGGCGCCACTGTGGAAAGTCCTTGGTAAAACTAGAGAGCTGGTGGGGCTGGCTGCTACTGGTCGTATCCGAGAAAGAGTAAGAAGTAGGGACAAACACTCTACGCGAATCCCGATCCCCAGCGCTGCCAGTCTTGACCCTTAATCTCTTCGTCTACACATCCTGTCGGCACGTTTCAGATGGTGGCTTTGCTGGCTGCTCGGGCTCTTGGAATGCATCTGGATCAAGAATGTCAGGGGCCCTGCTTCATAGTGACAAGCACTGTGACTGCAAGAGAGAAAACAAGGGCAACACTACCCGTACTGCTGAGCAGCGTTAGACTCTAGCAATCAGCAATCAGCGAGAACTAACATTCGTAGGACGCTTGCGCAGCATGGCGAAGTCGCGTGAAGCTGCTAGAGCGTCGTTTCGACGCGACTTCTTCTTGTCTTCCTTCCGGTTGGAAAACCTTTGGTCAGAAGCCAAGTGCCCATTTGCTTCGTCCCAAAAACTGCCTCGCCCATTCCTTGTACCGCAGAAACCTGAATCAAACAAGAACCTGTATATGCGACTCGGTGGACAGTCTTCAGCCGTGTCCTCGGAGAAGCTCATGTCGTCCGGGATGAGCTTGAAGAGCCTTCCTTCTGGCCCTGCATATCCGGTGACCTGCGCTCGGGGCGATGTGGGGGCAGAGGGGAGTGGGTTTCGGATACCTGGTCTTCGGAAGGTATTGATTCAGCGTAGTAGGCCCTGAGCAGTGTACTGTAAAACTAGAACATGCAGGGACCATGCGCGGAAGCTGAGCGTTTTATTGGGTTTCAAGCATCGTGAACGAAGAAAATAGAAGCCACGGTACTCCAACTCGCTCAAATGCATCCTTGTATTGAGCGCGCTAATTTAAAGCAACACGTAGCATGTCGGGCTTCTTGGGTATTGCAGCTGTTGCAGAACAGAGATTCCGATTATTACCGGCAGTAGCTTCTTCCGCTCTTTTATGACCCCTTCAAAAACCTGCGCCAGCATCTTAGCAGGGCAGCCGGTGCTTGCCGACACAACCATGTTCCTGAGCAACGGGTATCGGGCGCGCAGGGGAAGCTTGCAGGGCTTTGCAGGGTGCGCTCACCGAAGGCTTGGCATGGTCTGCATCAAAGCGCCCAGGGGCGGTTCCTGGTACAATCAGCAAAGCAAATTCCAACGTGAAAGTGCCAACTTTCCCTGCAACTTGCGCCTAAGAATCCTAAGGCCTGTAACCCAATAAACCTCTAAAACCTCCTACAATACTAAGAGCCCAGGAGCCCATCGGCAGAGGGCCCCAGGCAATGCTTGTGTGCGGAGGTGCTGCTGAGCTCCTCTGCGTTGTGGGTTTGGGGAGGGGGCTTGAGGTGAGATACTTGGGACCGAAAGCCTGCTGCGAAACGCCGTGCCTCCCAAACTCGACAAGAACCCCAGGCCACAAACCCGAAACCTGAGCCTCATCACCAACACATGCGCTGGCTCTGAGCGCAAGCAGGTCCTAAGCCAAGCCAACCATCCCCACTTGCCTTTGGATTTACTCGTTTCAAACCCGATACCGATACAGAAAGTGCAGAAGCGGAAGGCGCTCGTGGGCTTCAGCTTCGAGCATTTGATTCTGGCTGCATGTCTTTAAAAGCTTGGGCTTCGGCAGGGTAGTTGCCCTCCAGTGTTGGGATTCTGCATCACCCTGGAGGCTGTCCCTTGGCCCGGAACGCGAGCTCCTTAGAAGGGGTCCGGCCTGGATCCTGCACTACGGGCCTCTTACAGGAAACTTTTTGGGCCTGTCATGAGTCGTCATGCCCACTGCGTTAGGCTTTGTCGATATGGAGCCGCAAACGTCCGGCCGGCTCAGACCGCAAACCCACGTTGACTTTATAAAGTTGGCCGGATGCAAAGGCACAGTTGCAGAAGCAAGCAGAGGGGCTCCTCGCCAGCAGATGCCGGCATTATTTACGCTAGAACAACGCTAGAACAAGCCAATAGTAGGAACCCTTTGATAACTCCACATGCAAGCAACCCAATGGCAACTATAGTCGTAAACCCTAAGCCCATAAGCTTTCGTGACCCCACTATAGTCACCGTGAACCTCTAGGCAGAGGTCCTGGATCATGCCCAGCTCGGTGTAGACACTCAAGCCCATGCGATTGAAGAAGTAGAGCTCCTAGTTGCAATTGATCGGTTTCTGAGGTTCAGGCTGTCGGGTCTGTTCCACGGAATTTCACTGCTAAGAACTTGAATCGGGACTCCCTAAGCTGACATTGCAGGCTGTTTATTCCCTCGGTTCTGGGAGAAATCGCTTTCGTCGGCGGCACTCCTTGAACCGATTTGTCAAAAGCCTAAAAGCCTGAGCAACCTTCGAGCATCCAGCTCCCAAAATCGAAGCTCCTGCTCATTCCGCTCGTCGTATGCCGCATAGCCAGCGGCGCCAACCTGAGTCATGGCTGGTATACCCGCGCAGGATGCAAGGTTCAGATGTCTTCTGTGTGCAGGTCTTCGGAGACATGTGTGTTGCTGTTACGCGCACGGTTGCCCGATACATAGGGGTTCAAGGCGTGAGGAATAGAAACGGAAGTTACATGACAGCTGAGAAATTCCTACATGCACTCATTAGGGCACACGCAAAGCCGCTTTCTTGGGGTGCCAGGCCCATGGTAGCAACGGAACATAGGGAATCAGATGTTCGTAGGGTAGGGATCTCGGCCTCTTCTAAACACAAAGGTATTGCTATTGAGCCACCTTGTGCCAGAACTTCCTCATCAAGCCGTAAGCTCAGAGCCCTCCTCCTCAAGACCCTCCAGTTCCTCGACTCCCGGCAACCTGCACGCACGCTTCGCACGCAAGGCCGCGCAGGTCGGGCTTGCCCAAGCCTCGGAAGGTTCGGAAGGCTTCGGAGGATGGAGTTTTGGGTTCTGTGGCATTGTAGGGTACCAGGAGATGACAGAGAGGATCATCGAACCTTTACATTACCCATGTTCCATGGGGCTAAGGGCTAAGGGGTAGTTTGTACGGCTTAGGCTTAGACAGCACCTATGGACTCGCGGTTTCCGACCCCTGCATGCGGGCTTCGTCGTCTGAGTGTGCTGTTCAGAGCTGCGTTTCGTGCTGAGACCCTTCTCAAGTCGCTTCGGGTGGTATCTGGAGTTATCTGCTTCATGTCTTCTAGTCATTAAGCAGAAGTACGGAAGCAACTTGCGTGGCCAGACTCGGCCAAACCACCAGAGACGACCTGTGAACACACATTTCAACTACCCCAAACTACCCTAAACCCTTAAAGGTCTCATGCTTCAAAATCAGCCGCGAGGAGCTGTTGTACCAGTTGCCATTGACGCATCGCAGTTGTTCCGGAGCCGAAGATTTGGAGTCCTAGCAGGGTTGAAGGCTGTCGGGTGGCATTCTCGAACTGACTCACTGAGCCCAACTAGGTGCTGGGGATTGTCTGCAACGCATCGTTGTAAACAGCAAAGGCCCTAATTCCATCCTTCCCTCCACAACTTCGGGCTCAGGGCGTTTTGCAGAAGTCCTGTCGCAGCAGTTGGTACCTCTCACTCCAGCAGGAAGCCAGCCTGGGGCCAACTTCTTAGACTCTTTGTCTTTTTGGGAAGAGTTCCTCTGTCAATCTGGACAGTTGCGGCATTTTTGACGAGACTGTGCCACAACTTACTGTTGGTTAGTAGGGAATGGGGGAATGAGGTATCATATAATCCCTGCGAGGGTATATATGGTTCAGCGTTGAGCGTCCTGGGCCCCCCCCCCCCCCCCCCCCATGGTATCCCCCCCCCCCCAAGTCTACTCTACGGTCCCTAAACCCTAAACCCTAAACTAAACCCTAAACCCTAAACCCTAAAACCTAAACCCTAACCCTAAACCCTAAACCTGAAGTCTTAAACCTTAAACCCTAAACCCTAAAACCCTGAACCCTAAACCCTAACCCTAAAACCAACCCCCAACCACACCACAGGGGGGGGGGGGGGTATCATCTTAGTACCCCATCCGCGGGGAAAACCCTAAACCCTAAACCCTAAAACCCTAAACCCTAAAACCCTAAAACCCTAAAACCCTAAAACCCTAAACCCTAAAACCTAAACCCTAAAACCCTAAAACCCTAAACCCTAAACCCTAAACCCTAAAACCCTAAAACAACCCCCAACCACACCACAGGGGGGGGGGGGGGGGATACCATTGGGGGGGGGGGGGGGGGGGTAGGGGGGGGGGGGGGGGGGGGGGGTAGGGGGGGGGGGGGGGGGTAGGGGGGGGGGGGCCGCCGGGGCCGAACCATACATAGGGCCCTAATTCTCTGCTCACCAACAGTAAGACAAGGCCCAAAAACCTTGAACCCTCTGTGCCGCCCAGCAACAGTAGTGCGCCGTGATCGAAGACCTGCGGAAGAAGCCTCCCGCAGCTCGGCGCTTGGTGATTCATGTCTAGACATCTGCACATACTAGGTAACCTAAGGGGTGTAGTGTATAGACTTGTGGTACTTGTATGTTGTTGTTCTAGGCCTGGCCTTCAGGTATAGAGATACTGCTGGCATGCTGTAATCGAACCATGAAACTTTAGACTGAGACCTCGATTTCACGGATGCTGCTAGTTCACCGGTCAGAGTTTGGGGTTTAAGTTTAAGTGAAATCACTAAACATCTGAAGTCCCCAATTAGAGATGCATCGAATGCATTGCCACCATTGCACCGGCTCGGCTCTACGATCTTCTACATGCAAAACCGCTGAGCCGCTCTTCGAACACAGCACCCAATAGCTTGTAGGTATAAACCTGAGACAACAACAACGGTGTGCGAGCGTTTCAAGTTTCAATCTTTGCAGCAGGGCATCTCATTAGCTGCTGATTGATTGGTAAAGTGATGCAGAGGCTGCTCCACGCCCCCAGGCCTTCAAGTTAAACGTGTATTGGCAGGCTTGCTCGGCGATGCCCTTTCATCCACCTGAAACCTGTACACCCGGCCTCTTTACAACACAGCTCGAAACCTCAAGTCCTCATCTTCACGGCCAGGACCGCTTTCGTGGCATGCTTAGTTTTTGACGGTCTGGAGCCCTCCTGTGCGTCACGTCAGCCGTGACTCCTAACAAAACCCAGAGCCCCTGCATTTTCACTTAACCTACCTTCCTATTCACCGACTTCCCAGTAAGGCTTAGTTAGTGTAAGGAGCTCAGGTTACGAAGCTGTCCATCACTACCGCTACACGTACAGCCTTCCTGCACCAATGTATATAGCCCCGGAAATGCCATTGGACTCTGTAGTCACGCGTGGGCCTCTTGTGTTGCCAGGAATGCGAGTGCAGCGTTCCTAAAGCTTGAGATGTGGCTTTGGCAGTTTGAGAGTTGGCCCACAGAGGCCAGGGGTATTACCATTTTGGCGGGATCTTGAGGAAGGGCAGTGCTGCTCAAGCTCGGCTAGGGGGGTCGGTCATGGTGGCGGATCATGTCGCCCCTGGCGGTTTGGAGGGCCCAACCCAAGTACTCTGAAACGAACTGATTGGTAGAGTGCTGCTTCACACAAACACAGGCGCATAGATGCATGAGTACACTGACACGCACACACACATTTGCCGTCTCGCCCCTTCAAATTATGTTCCGAAACGGGATGTCAAAGAGAGAGAAAGCCGAGGTGCTGTGCCCAGGCCTCCCACACTGCTGGACACCCATGCCACCGAGAAGAAGCACCGCATCACCTCGAGAGCAGGGCTTGCAGACTTAGTGGGTTAGGGTTCGAGAAGCGCACCGGATTCAGATGCTTCAAGACTTGAAGCGGCCAGATCTGAGGTTTGAGTGGTGTTCGTGCCTGCACCAGCAGCACTCACTAAACGTGTAGTCTTACTGTGTTCTCTTTGTCGAACCCGCTTAAAAGTCATTGTTTACTGCCTTGGCTGGCTTGATGTGTAAGTGACAACTTCGAGGGATGCATAGATTCGGCCCGTGAGCGGGCATCGGTCGCCCTGCCATCGAGTCGTCGAGAAAGGAACAAGACAACTCCATGTGACTCTCCGGAGTGGTCTGCGTGCATCGCTTGAGTTGAGCAAAGCTCTTCTGGGTTGCCCAGAAGCCTTGCCACCTTCTTGCAGAACCTCCCGGTCGCAGGACAATGCCATCACACGTGATCAGTACCCATAGACCCGCGTCGACAGAGCGCGCCGCTACACCAGGCGGTCGGCCAGGAGCCGGGAGGGATCCCAACATTCAAGGTTGCCTGCTGACCACTGGGATTTTCGTGTGATCTGAGACAGAGATTTGGGATAAGAGTCTTGAAGGCCATGCTGACGGCTAATTCCTCGCCGTGCAAACTGTCACAACCCCAACAAGAAACAAATCGCCCGGTGTTCGAAATGTATAGACAAGTCTTCATGTTTCGGAGCAAGGAACTGTGTGTGCGTGTGTGCTCAATTGCAGTCCAAACCCTGAAGCAAATGGATGCGCCGAGGCCTTTTAACCTGAAGTGCCAGCCAGCCACACTGCCGGTAAAGGTGCAAATGAACGAAGCCGTCCGTCATTGCACCTGCTGCAGACTTCGTGGAGGTTTCCTCCAGGAGCACGGAGGGACTGCCCACCTGTTATAGGGTTCTTACGGGAGGGGGAAGGTTAGGGAGCCTTGGGGAGTAGTAGGGAGGATTAGGGAACCTCGGTTGACATACCCCCCCCTCCCTTAAGAACCCTGCAAAACTCGGCATTTGGGGCCCCAGATGAACGAGATTGTTGACTGCACAAGATGTCTGGGCTCCGAAAGGGCTTTAGCAATGCTTAGGGCTTGCGGTCTCAGAGCTGTTCCTAGGTCCTAGGTAGGGGTCGGGGGTTCAAGGAAGCTGGGGTCATTAAACTTGACGTCGGCTTCTCTAAGATGGGGTATGCTGGGACATGTTGTGGCTGTGGAGTTGGTGACCTTGGTATCGGATCTGGCCTCCATCATAGGCACCAAGACACTTTTCAGAGTCAATCGTCAGGACTGGTTGAGAGAGAGATCTGTGGCAAGGGCCACACTGGGACCTACTGCCAGAATGATAGGACTTGACGAGCCTTGAGCCTTGACGAGACATGAACCTTTTTGTTATCTTTCAGGAACCTGTGTTTAACGAGGCCTTGGCAATGGAGATTCCGGAGAGGTAGATCCCAGCGTGGATGGGCTGGAACTCAAAGTTGATCTCTCCCCTGGGGTTGGCGGTTGCCACTCCCTGGAAGATAGGTCTGGTGGTAGCCCACAGCCGGGCTCTGCCACTTAGCCCTCCGTTTACCGACACTTTGACGGCGTCGTCATGGAAGCTTACGGATTTGTCCGTGCTCACCATGAACCTTGGTTCTTCAAATATGCGCACGTCGCAAGCCGGCTCACCTCAATTTCTCGAAACATTCGAACACAGAGTAGAGTGCGAAAGGCTACCAGTACTGGCCTGGGTACAGCGAGTAGATATGTTGTGCACCTGGTATCAGGCCCTTAACAACGGCCACGGCGGTGGCAGGGTTGCTCCAGCTGACAAAGCCTCTGGCATAGTTTCGGAGGGCACTCCAGCCTGACATCTCCTTGGCCATATCTGGAAACCCTAGCAGAAAACTCCCGGCTTTCACTTCTTAGGACTAAGGTCTGGAATCAAAACTCTCGAGAACATGCTTTCAGCTGCAGCCCAATGTCAGCGGTGTAGCCGTTTGCCAAGTCGGCTTTCACTGTTTCACCATTTACGCTTTTCTCCTCGGCCCCCAAGTCTGCGAAATTGCTCTGGTACTGCGTAGAAAGGTGTTCTGTCACCTCCAGGACGGCACCTACCCTCAGCTTCCACTTCAAGTACTCAGTGCTTGCCCTCATTTCCTCGTCCGTCAACGCCCTGTCCCACGTGATCAGTTCCATGATGGCGAAGTCTGAAAATTCGCTAGTGTACTGGCCGTATGAATTGATGTACAAGTGGGTGTACTCTGAAAGTGTGCTTCCCTGATCAGTTGCAACATTGACAACCCTGTCGGACATCCCGCTGTAAACTCTTTGAGCGCCGTTGGTCCCACATAGCACCACCCAGTCGAAGGAATTGGGGTTGGTGGTTGACGGGGTGACCCACTTCTTGTAAAAGGCGACGCCAGAATGTCCATCATGGTGGCCTCGGTCCAGTCATTGCTAAAAAAAACAAGCATGCCCACGCCAGCAGCCATACGAACCAAAGCATCTGGCGACTCGATCCAGAAGCGGTGCAAGCCCGAATGCTTCCTAACGAAAAACGAAAAACGCAGGCTGCCCTTGAAGAGTCCAGCGGCCGTGCAACCAGTTCAGCGGCGATGCTGTCCTGGGTTTCGTTTTTTTGGGGACCCTGACGATGAATGGATAAGATGTGACACCTGCTTAGCGTGAGCTTCAATAGACAAAAAGTGTCACCGGGCCCTGCTGGGAGTTGCCTCTTTTCAGGGCCCAAATCCGAGACCCCCTGTACCCAAGCCTCTCAGGCGATCTCAAAGCCGGGCATCTGGAGAATTCGCTTGCGCTTGTTGCCGGTGTAACGTGTGACTGAACCTTGGCAGCAGTGTCCAAGTCCTCTTTGACTCTCTGACGGCTGAAGGACCTGGGCTCCTTCTTGGGTCTCTATCTGGTTCTTGAAAGTTTGCAGAGCAAGGAACCATCAAGGGATCCACGTACATGCGCACGGATCCTGTAAGCATCCCTTACCTCAACCGCTTGGAGCCCAGAAACAGATCGTGAAGGTCGGAGCAAGGATTGCGCCGAAGCGGATGCCTGCTTAGCGTGCACCCCCTTGGCAACTTTGAAAAACCTGCAGAAGGAAACCTGAAGATAATGTCTAATCTAATATGTAGTATAATATACTACATATATACATCACATGTCAGCGTTAAAAAAAAACGCCACCCGAATCCTAAGCCTTCAGCCCTGAAATAGACATGGGGATGCAACCCCGGGCCTGATGATGCTGGCCCTTCAATATACGTCACTGGGCGGTCTGCTCCATTGCCGGCTTGGACTCTTCCTCCGTACCACACTGTCGGGGGGGGGGGGGGGGTGTAGATTCTCAAGCCCTGCAGTACGGCCTACGCGCTGGCCTGCTTTGGACTCTGAGGGTATACACACATGCCTTCTGGGCTGGTGGGTTTTGTGTAACCAAGCCCAACCCAGAGCCGAATTCTGCCCGAAGCCTTTGAGCAAAGTGCAACATGGTGCAACCACAAAAAGTCACAACTTTCAGTCCAGCTTCGATAGAGGACCTCCGTGTTTCGTGCCTCGAAATTTCCCACGGAGCTGGACCAAACCCCACCGGCATTCTCGCTCTTGAACCAAGCCACCTCAACCAGTGTAGGTTGGGATGTTCGCCCTAATACTAACAGTCCTTCATCGGGATTATCGTACCCCTATTATACTCCCTATTAGGGACTGTTGGAAGAACGGGGGAACATCCCAAGTGATGGGTCAGGTTTTCAACTTGAAGATAGGGACTCGAGGTCTGGCGTCTCGACGTTCCCTCTCCGTGCGCTGCCCAAATCAGTTAAATGAGGCTCTGCTACTAGGGATGCTCGGCAGGGCGTCGCGAAGACTTGGGATGTCTGGGGATGTTTTGGCTCCGACACATGGCGTCAACTTCTGAGAAAGGCTTGCGTCCCGTCCATTCCATCCGACACGCAAGGCTTGAGAACAAGTTCGTGTTAAAAAGCTGTCTGCTCATCTTCTGAGGAGGACCTCTTGGCAAGAGCTCCGGAAGGACCAAAGCGACTAAACGAGGTCGAAGATGGCAAACACTGTCGCCGTAGCTTCGCATGTAGCCGTTGTGCACAGGCCAACCAGCAGAACCCCGAAACCATCCGAAACCTGGCCTTAACCACCATTTTCTAACATCCAGTATGGAGTCCTGGAAGCCCTACACCCCAAACCCTAAACCTTAAACCCAAAGCCCTAAACCCTGAACCTCTGAGACATCCTGAGATCTCATCATGAGGCCCCAAGAACTGGGAGGGCTTCCGAACGAAACTCGGGGGTTACCCCTATGTTGGGGGTCCCCTTTCCGGGGATTCTATTCTATTGGGGGTCTAAACGGGGTACCCCCCCCAATTTCGGGAAATACCCCCACTTTATCTGATGATTGAGCCGCGTGACCATGCCAGACCTTGGCGGATCGCTCGGCTGCGGCGGGTCACTTCTTGGCCCCACCGCTGCAATGGATATACCTTGGTTGGTTTTAGGGTTTAGGGTTTAGGGTTTTAGGGTTTGGGGTTTGGGGTTTAGGGGGCTTGGTTGGTTTTGGGGTTTGAGGTTTGGGGCACTCGGAAATGTGATGATTGCCCGTCTCTGAGCGGCATGCTCTTCCGACACCGAAGATGGCAAACGAAACGAAGGGTCAGAATCCTACCTCGACATACTGGCCCGATTGCTGAGTAGCGTTCCCGAAACCAACTTTGTGGCTTATCGTGTGAGCTTCATCGCTGGCAAGCAGAAACCGAAGGAGCTTCTTAAAGGAAGCATTTGGGTCTTGACGTCGGGTTCCGCATGAAGAACTGCAGCCCGACCATCCTAAGAAGAGCCTTTCAACAAAGCTGCCAGAGAGGTGGACAGCAACGTGGATCGGTTCAAAATCAAATCGGATCTCGCCAGCAGGTGTCGCTACCGCCACTCCTGCGAATCTTGGGTTGGAGTCTTCGCCTGGGCTGCACGCGAGTTGATCTGAAGAACATCGATGAACCAGTAGGAAGTAGCTATTTCATGAAAATGTTCAGTTGCTCAGGGTACCCCTTCTTCGATGTTGCCTCCAGTAAGGATTCCTTTTTTGGGGCGTTTGGGGGTGTACGAATATAAGGGAAAATGAGGTACCCCTAATTTCGGAAACCCCCATCTCAACCCAATCGCGCAGCTGGGCTCGGCCATCCTGTCCTTGCTGCACACGCACCGACACAGCGTTGCCATAGGTGTCCATGCTCGTGTCCCGGTGGGTCATGTACCTTGGTCTCAGCATGTGGGGTATCGAGGCCTCCTCGTGGCAAAAAGAAGAGTCTGACATTCGGATGAATGCATCATGTGCCTCGCCCTGGGGCCAGCAAAAAACCAGGGGCTCAGGCTGTGCAGGAGCCTGGGGGCCTTGGGCCTAGGTGCAATTGGTACACGTACTGTGCACCTGGCGTTAAACCTTTGACGACTGCCACTGCGACGCCAGCCTGCCACCTGACGAAGCCCAAGGCGTAGTTTCGAACGGCATTCCACCCTGACATTTCCTTAGCCCGCCCCCCGGAGCGAAAGCAGCCTCTTCTAATTTGGTTGGTAGGATGCTTTTGAGAGCAACCGCAAAAAATCGGAGTTTTCAACCGCATCCGAGTGTCGGCCCGGTAGCCATTTGCTAAGTCAGCGTGCACCGTTTCACCGTCCACTCTCCTGCTTCCCTGCTTGTAGAAACTGCTCTGGTATTGTGTGGCCAAGTGCTCAGACACCTCCAGGACGGCCCCTACCCTTAGCTTCCACATCAAATACTGAACGCTTGCCTTCATTTCCTCGTCTGTCAACACCCTATCCCAGGTGATGACTTCCATAACGGCAAAGTCTGACTTGTCGTTCTCGTCATGATTGATGCTCAAGCCAGTGTATTCTGAAAATGCGCTTCCTTGAGCTGTAGCAACGTTGACAATGCTGCCGGACATCCCACTGTAGACTCGCTGTGCGCCGTTGGTCCCACATAGCACCACCCATTCATTGGCATTGGGATTTGTGTTTTGGGCGGTGACCCACTTCTGGTAAAAGGCGACGCCAGAATAACCGTTGTAGTGACCTGGGTCCACCCCAGGAGAGTCCCTGGACCCTCAAAGACAGCCCCAAGACACTTCAACCTACCAACGTTGGGATGTTCCCCTTCTGCTAACAGTTCTTGATAGGGATTATAATAGGGGGAACTATCCGCCGACCCCAGCCGGGGGCGGCGTCAGTGAAGACCCATTGCCCCTACCACCTACTCCACCCCATCCAAAGCTCTGGCCCATGCTCCCACTCTCCATCCCCTTGACCTACCCCTCATGGACCCAGCTCCCTACCCCTTACCCCTCACGCACCCTGCCCCGCCGCCCATGCCCCTCATGGACCCATGGGTTCTGGCCCCACGGCTCCCCTCCGCCCTTACCTCCACCACCCACGCACCCGCTCCCCGCCCATCCGCCCTTCCCGCTCCGCATACATTCCCCTTGCCCAAGCCCCCCACGCACCCCGCCATGCTTTTCATGGACCTATGGCTCCTGGTCCTATTCTTCATCCCTTGAGCTGCTCCACCCCCACCCGCAACCCCCACCCCCACCCCGCACGCACCCTGCCCCGCCGCCCGTGCTTGTCATGGGCCCCTTGCTCCTGGCGTCATGGCTCCACCCCCACCCCCAACCCCCACCCCCAACACCCCACCCTTTCCACACTTCCAACCCCCACCCCCACCACCCACGCACCCCGCCCCCCCACTGGACCCATGGCTCCTGGCCCCATTGGTGTTGGTCACATTCTTCATCCCTCGACCTGCATGGCTGCCAACGCTGGTCCTATGTATGGCCCCTGCTCCACCCCAACCCCCAACCCCCACCCCCATACCGTACGCATCCTGCCACCCCCAACCCCCAACCCCCACCCCCACCCACCCACACTTCCAACCCCTACCCCCACCCCCCACGCACCCCGCCCCCCACTGAACCCATGGCTCCTGGCCCGTGGCTTTTCAGCTGACTTTAAAGGGCCCCAGTGCATGCCCGGGCCCTCCGCCCGCTCCGCCCTCCGCCCTTCCAGCTCCGCCCACTCTCCTCTGGCCCATGCTCCCACTCTCCATCCCCTTGACCTACCCCTCATGGACCCATGGGTTCTGGCCCCACGGCTCCCCTCCGCCCTTACCCCCACCACCCACGCACCCGCTCCCCGCCCGTGCTTGTCATGGGCCCCCCTTGCTCCTGGCGTCATCCGCCCACTCTCCTCTGGCCCATGCTCCCACTCTCCATCCCCTTCACCTACCCCTCATGGACCCAGCTCCCTACCCCTTACCCCTCACACCCCTCACGCACCCTGCCCCGCCGCCCATGCCCCTCATGGACCCAATGGGTTCTGGCCCCACGGCTCCCCTCCGCCCTTACCCCCACCACCCACGCACCCGCTCCCCGCCCATCCGCCCTTCCCGCTCCGCATACATTCCCCTTGCCCAAGCCCCCCACGCACCCCGCCATGCTTTTCATGGACCCATGGCTCCTGGTCCTATTCTTCATCCCTTGAGCTGCTCCACCCCCACCCGCAACCCCCACCCCCACCCCGCACGCACCCTGCCCCGCTGCCCGTGCTTGACATGGGCCCCTTGCTCCTGGCGTCATGGCTCCACCCCCGCCCCCAACCCCCACCCCCAATACCCCACCCTTTCCACACTTCTAACCCCCACCCCCACCACCCACGCACCCCGCCCCCCCACTGGACCCATGGCTCCTGGCCCCATTGGTGTTGGTCACATTCTTCATCCCTCGACCTGCATGGCTGCCAACGCTGGTCCTATTATGGCCCCTGCTCCAACCCAACCCCCAACCCCCACCCCCATACCGTACGCATCCTGCCACCCCCAACCCCCAACCCCCACCCCCACCCACCCACACTTCCAACCCCTACCCCCACCCCCCGTTGCGAAAATCCAAGCCAGCCAGCACGAAGACGACGCCAGGTGGCAAGCCAAGGGCGTCCTCCACATGCTTCGCACACGCGAAGCCTCGGTCGAGGTTTCGGCCTATGGTCAAGACGGATACCGCCACGTCGTCCTGCAGCTGCCCTGCCCGTGCGATGCCGCAGAAGTCCTTGCTGACAGCAGACGTCGTCGCCAGCTTGCGGTTCTTCTCCTCTCGCTGCTGTGCAGTGACCCCCTCCAACTTGGAAAGGCGCTCGTTCTTGTCGTAGCCCTTCGAGGGCCGCGCCTGGTTCTCCTTCTTGGATACAGGATGGAGGTGGCAACACCTGCAGTCGTCCCCATGCCTGCATCCTTTCTGGCGGGTCAACAACAGATTGCAGCGATTCGTCACAATCACCACCTTGGCGCCGCCGTCCTGCACGTGCTCGGCCAGGATGCATTTGCAGACAGTGGCTGCAGTGGCAGGTCCAGCATCGGTGCTGCTGGAAGCAGCCGAACCTGAACAGGGAGATGATGACCACCGGCGGCTTCGCCAGGTCTCAGCTTACATGCTGCTTGCTAAGCCTTTACGTGCTCCTACAGTAACAGAGAAGCCTTCCTATGTACTGTACAGCTGATGACCACCGGCGGCTTCACCAGGCCTCAGCTAAAGAGTTTTAATTTCCATTTATTTCCAACAAAAAGCAACGCCTGCTGTGGGTTGACAGCTAGCAGCTAGCACTACGACCGAGACCATCGGCGGCTTCACCAGGTCTCTGTTTACAAGCTCCTACAGTAGAAGAGAAACCTCCCTATGTTAGCTGACGACCACCAGAGGCTTCACTAGGTCTCAGCTTGCATGCTTACGAAGCCTTTACTTGCTCCTACAGTAAAAGACAAAGCTCCCTAGGTACAGCTGATGACCACCGGCGGCTTCACCAGGTCTCACAGCTACAGAGCTTTACATTCCATCTGTTTCCACCAAAAAGCAACGCCTGTTGTGGTTTGGCAGCTAGCACTGAGACCACCGGCGGCTTCACCAGGTGTCAGCTTACATGCTTACTAAGCCTTTACATGCTCCGACTGTAAAACAGAAACCTCCCTATGTTAGCTGATGTCCACCAGAGGCTTCACTAGGTCTGCGCTTACATGCTCGCCAAGTCTGTACAGCTGATGACCACCGGCGGCTTCACCAGGTCTCAGCTAAAGTAAACTTTACTGTCCATTTATTTTCCACCAAAAAGCAACGCCTGCTGTTGGTTAACAGCTAGCACTAAGACCACCGGCGGCTTCACCAGGTCTCAGGCTACCTACATACAGTGCAATGTGCTTTCGTTCCTGCCCGCCTGAAGCTGCCATTAGAGCATTGGGACCAGCCCCTGCCGCAGCAACGTACGGAGCGACGTCCTCCTCCAGCATGCCCCAGATTCCAGCGTTGACGATAGCGACACCAGGTTCCAGCATGCTCTTATCCTGCACAGCCGAAGCCAAGCCATAGCGGCCTCCCAGGTGTCTGTGGGCAGGCACCGCAGCGAACTTTTCATGCACCTTCACCTCGGTCTTTTCGCCCTGCTGGCCCTTCTTCCGCTTCTTTCCTGCAGGCGGTTCTTCTTCCGCAGGGGCCGGAAACTTGGCGTTCAAATCGGACCAGAGGCGGTCGTGCAAGCGCCGGGCAGTCGCGTTGATCCTCCGCCCTCTGTCCATTCCCAACTGCTGGTAAACCCAAGTGTAATCCAGATTTTGGTGCCAGTTTTCGCCCCATGCCTGCTCGGCGGCTTGCAAAATAGGCAGGTACTGGGCGTCGTCCATGGCGAGAACAATGCAAAAAGAAGTGAAACAAACTATGAACTCTGAACACCCGGAACCCTCGTAGGCTGCCAACTTCCCCGACACTTGACCTACATTGGCTGACCGAAAGACTGGTATCTGGCTCACTCACACACATAGGGTCAAGGGAAATTGAGGGTTTAGGGTTTTCAGGGTTCTGAGTTTCGAGGCTTGAGCGTTTGGGCTTTACAGGCCGCGCGTGCATCGGGTAGGGATTATGAACGGTTTCGGGCTTAGGCTTCGGGGTTTTAGTGGGGGTGTAGCCTGGCTTCTTGGAAGTCCGCTGTTCTTGAACCCCCGTCCCCCCCCCCCGCTTCCAAAATCTGGACGGGGCAAAGCACGCGCTCCCAGGAACCTCGCATAACCCAAGAACTCCCTGCGATCTCGGCCTCGTCTGTCATCTTGCCCACAAACCCCAAACCCTAAACCCTAAATCCTAAACCCTAAACCCTAAACCGTAAACCCTAAACCCTAATCCCTAAACCCTAGCCTAAACCCTAAACCTTGTCCTGAGCCACCCCTAGACCCTAAACCCTAAACCCTAAAGGGTTTTCGGGCTCCAAGGCTTTGCGCGTTTTCGAGGTTTAAGGAAAGTTTAAGGCTTGGATGCTTTAAGCCTCAGGGCTTGTGCAAGTGTGGTGTGTCGAGCTCTAGGGCGCCTAAGTGCATTGAACGCGAGTTTTCTCGGTTTACAGGGCCTAGGGCTGTGCTGCATAGTTTCGAGGCCTCTCGAGGACTGTGAGGTTTGGGGCTTTAAATGGGCTGCGGGTTCACGCGCGTTCCAAGACCGCGCACCCAGTAAGCCCCAAGCCCCAGCTGAAGGCTATCCTGCTTGAATGGGAAGCTACCCAAAAACCCTAAGCCCCAAAAACCCCGGACCCCTGGGGGGCCTCTGGGGTGTCTCCCACTGCGCGGGCTTGGCCTTGTCCACAAAGTCGACGGAGTTGGCCTAAGGTGGGGTTTAAGTTTAGGTTTTAGGGTTTCGGGTTTAGGGGTTCAAGATTTTGGGTTAACTGTACTGATACCCTACATTTAGAGGACTTATAAGGCCATACAACTTGACGCGGCGCACGCACAGCCGCTCCCTACATGCGGCGCACGCACTGCCGCTGATGATAGTCGCACATGGAGTTGGTATCCCACTGAGTCCGCGGCCATTTGTCCAGCATGGTCTTGTCCACGCGAAAGACTATATATATATATATATATATATATATATATACATAATCCGCGGCCGGAGCCCACAGTGCCTTGGCCCCCCTTGGAGGGGGTCGGCGGCACTGGCGGTAGCCATTAAATAATCCCCAATAAATGACCGTGTTAGTATCAGGGAACATCCCAACTACAACATCCTAAAACCCTTCACTCACACGGCCATAGAGAGCCAAGTGGCCATGCAACCAGTTCACCGACTCCGTCCTAAGTTCGTGCGAGGGGTTTGGGGCTTTGGTATCAGGTTTCGAAGTGTGCAAGTCGGAGCACAGCGGGGGCAACTTCAACCCATGATTGTCCTGGGCCTTTGTTTTGAAGCCCTCATTCCCACACACAGTGGCTGGGCAGGACACTGATCACTTGAGATGTCCTAGGTGACCAGCTCACTGAAGGGAAGACAGACATGTCATTTTGCCTGCAGATTTGTTTCCCTACGTCTCTTCCCCTTATGTTCTTTTTCCAAGCCCTGCCCAGCATCCTGAAGCATTTTGCTTTTCAGCCTGGCGTCTGCAGGATGCGCTTTCGTGTAGTTCCAGCGTAGCTCGTGACTGAACCTGGATATCGCATTGTGGAATCGGGGGAAATACATGTTTCAGGGCCTCAGGTGCTTAGTTCTTTAGTCCATAGGGTTGCACCGTCTATGGTACTAGTATGAGGCAGAAGGATACAATCCCTCCCCCCCCCCCAACAAAAAAAGAGCAAAGTTCCGCTACTTTGAAACTAGGCACAAATCGTGAAGGTCGGAGCCAAGACTTTGCCGAACTTGTAACCTCCTGAAGTTGTTCCTTGCACGTACGTAACTGGACGGTCCGCACCGAACTCAGCTCCGACTTTCCGTTCTGCATGGTACCCGGTGTTTCGCCCCTCGAAATTTCCCACAGAGCTGGACCAAACCTCACCAGCATTCTCGCTCTTGAACCAAGCCACCTGCACAGCCACGCTCTGGGGGTGGGGGAGCCTCTAGGTGGGGACACAACAGAACGGGCATCTCCAGACTCAAGTCCGCTGGATTCTGATTTTGAAACCCAAACTCAAACCCGTGGTAAACCGCACATAAGCCCTAAGCCACCATGCCCTGTGTGGGCGGGTCTGCGGGCTTCGGCGGCAAGACCAGGCCCGGCGCGGAAGTGTCGGCCGCGCCTGGACATATCTGTGGGGTCGAGACATGACTCGAGAAGCTGAAAAGCTGAAACGAGGATCTTGAATTCTTTGACGGAAAATCTTGAATTCTTTGACGGAAAAATGCAGCAAACTCAAATGATATCTGAAGTGAAAGTGTTCCACGGATTTTTGCCCTCCAGATCCTGTTCTTGAGCCGCTGAGCCAGAGGTCAGATGTCTTCACCTCAAAAAAGGTTGGGCCTGGCTAGCAACATCATGGCTCGAATGGGTGGTCGCTAAACTACCTGGCAGTCAGGACTCGGGCTTGTAGCAGAAAGTCCTCTCAGTTTCTCATCGCCCAGGTTGGACTTCGGTTCAACAGAACCCCATGTGAGTCATCAGCAAGCATCTTGACACGGTTGAGCCTAACATTCCCCGCCATGGAGTCAAAACTGTTGCGGGTCGTTGCATGGTTTGGTCCGAACCTCAGCTGCACCTCCGACCATTCCACCCTTCAATTGGGAGGGAAGAGGATCTGAAGTGCTGATTCAGCAGGTCTATCAGGTCTTTGTCGTATCTGAGGCCTAGCTCGTTTCACAAACGTAGTGGCGACGTCCTACAGCTCTAGGCTCTAGAGCGCAAGCTCAAGATTACAACCACTTCCTCTCACCATTTCTTATTTTAAATCCCTGCTTGGTGATCTGATGGCCTCCGTCTGGATCGAAAGCCATGGACAAGAAGTTCCTGTTTCGACTCGGGTCTTCAGGTCAGGTTCAAGGCCAAGGGGTGAAGAGTTTGGCCTTTATGGAAGTTTTTGAAACCCCCTCCGGCACTTGATTGAAACCCCTTGGTTTGCTTTCAAGATTCAGCTCCATCGCAGGCCGTCGGGGAAACTAGGACTTTAGGCTTGGGACGTTTGAGATACGTTTGAGGTTTGAGGCCAGGGCTTTCAGCGATGAGAGTTTGGGCTTGAGAGGCCTACAGGAGGCTGGGCCCCAACTCGCTTACCCCACTGCTGAGTCGGAATTGAGACAGTTCCACGCCGTCGCTTGAAAAGGCTGTGCTGAGGGCCACGCACTCAGCCACCAGGATTGCAGCCGTAACTGCGAGAGCGAACCCGCTCTCAACCTTCGAAGTCTTCCAACCCTTAAATCCCCTCATCACGCTCCTGCGCAGGGACGTGGCCCAGCACTGCGCAGCGTCTGCTACGGCGCAGCTGAGGCCCCTGGGCATGGCCTCAACAAGGGGCTTTTCCCAAAATAGGGGGGTTACCCATCTTTTTGGAGCTGGTTCCCTACAACAATACGGATTTTTTTTTTTTTTTTGGGGGGGGGGGGGCGATTACAGGAGTTTAGGGGCTTGTCTTCGGAGTGGTTCATGTGAAACACAGGCCCCAGGCTGATACCTCGACATGGAACCGCTCCAAGTTCCTTTCCTTTGTCGTAGACCGAACGAACACATCGAAGCCCCTGCAGCTCGTGCCATGCCAGATGTCTCAAACGCTCAGGCTGCTCTTGAGATATGACTCAGACACAAACACGAACAAGGACCCTTATCATTTGTGTAACTTCATCTAGAACCTGGGAACCTTGACTGGCTGGTTCTTAGCAGGGAATGGGGGAGTTAGGGCCCTAGACAACCCCTTAAAGGGTATAGAAAGGGCCTTAATGGCCTCATTCCCTGCTAAGAACCTGGGAACCTTGAGGTCCCCTTCGAGGCCAAACTCCCGAACCAGGTTGTCGCAGCCGTGAAAGAGTCGGCAGGTGGAAGCTCCATGCTGCGAGCCATGCCTGGGTTCAGGTGGTCTAGGGTTCAGGGTGGGTTCAGGGTTTAGAACTTCGGGGTTTTTGTGTCGGGGTTCAAGTTCTGGAGCTTCTTCGACGTCTTCCCAGTCGTCAGGTATGGGGGAAGGCTGGAGGCGCTGGCCTCGCAGCAGATTGCATGCCTCTTCCACTGGATTGGCATCCTACTCGTATGCATCGAAAGAAGCCTTCCACGCTTCTGGCACGGCGCACGCAGTTCTTGTAGTTGTAGGCAAGTGGCATCGCGTTGCTAGCGATGGCTAGAGATATACTTCGCGCGCGGCAGGTATGCCCATTATGACCCTTGCCAAGAGGCCAGAAGAAAGTGCATTTCGCCTGCTCGCGGCAGCGAGCTTCGCAATCGCCAGGCTCCAGGACCTAGTGCTCACAATCCCTACTGCCTACTGTGAACTCTGTAAACATTGGGTTGTTCTTCAGGTACACTTCAAGACAAGCAGCCCAGAAGCCGGTCTGTGCTTACCCAACTTCACACCCTTTACCCTTCTCCCGAGGAGTGGCCTCCTCCTCTGTCTGGTAGTGGACGCCCAAGTCGCCTGACAAGCGCGCCGGGGTTTGGTTGCCTTGAGGCCCTTGAGGCTGCCATCTGCAAGTTCCAGTTCGAAGTACGAAGAATGGCGTGTTGTGCTACCCACTACCCCGCTTCAGGCCCCACACGTGCCTTCAAGGAGATATGCAAATCGCCCTATTAACCTTGGCTCTTGGTTTTCAATCTGGATGATTGGGCAGAGCCCAGCCAACTTGTATTTGCTGCGAGGGGGGTAGTCCCAAGCCTCAGCCCCCATATCCTACCCTGATGAGCAAGCCGCAACCTCAAAGCGAATGCAAATTCCAACCGACAGCCTCCCAGAAGCTGTCTTGATGGGCATGTCAACTGGCCCGAGACGATGACGAAAGGTACCGGGATGAACTTATTGCTGCTGTTTGCCTTGTTATTTCGGAGGCGAGCTTCCAAGGCTTTCAGGTTCAGGGTAGCGGTGTAGGCAACCGTTCAGCACGTGCGCCGTAGTTTGGTCTCAAGTCTGAAAACACTCGATGAGCACACTGCAGAGCATTCACTGGGATTCTCGAATGTAGTGGGACCCAGCTTGCGAGAGATCTTGAACTTGGAGTGCTTAGTCCTTATGGCCTTTGCCATCCGCACAGCATTGTGCAGCCAGGCTACCGGCAAATGCTCAAACATTTGCGGGTCCACGGGCAGCTCGGGTCCCCATGCTGTCGGGGCACCTAGTCCAGGGCAAGTTCCGGTTGTCTCAGGGAGCTTAACAGAGACCGGAATCCAGAAAGGTTCCGGAACTTCTTCTGGGATGTGGTCAGGTTTCGGTGTGTATGGGGGTTTGGGGCGGTTTATGCCGGGCTGGTTATGGTCGCTTAGTGAATCCGAGCTATTGGTACTAAGGGAAGTGAGGGCTACGCTGGTATGATAAGTTATTACACCAATCACCACACCTTAAATCACAAAACGCTAAGTTCCTAAGCTTGGAGCTTATTCAGGCCTTGTGGCTGACTTTTCACAGCCGGGTTGGAGATGGAGCAGCTAAGCGAACGATACAACACAAACCTTCTGAAAAAATCGTCGTCTGTCGAGGGCGTCAGCTCACTTTAACAGCCTTGGCACGGGGGTTCGTATTTTAGGGGGATGCTTATCCCTAAGCCTTAACCCTTAACCCTAAACCCTGGAGCTGACAAAAGTGCAGCTGAGGGTGCAGTCGCATGGGTGAAGCCAAAAGTCCGCCGGCTCAAGTGTCCCTGGGTCGTCCAGGACCAAAGACGGCAAGCCTCCCTCGTCCGCCTCCTGCAAAAACAGCGCTTAAACCCAGGGCCTGGTAAACTCTCAGGGCATGGCCCTGGTGTAGGGGCTTCAGATTTCAGACACAATGCCGCTCACGCAAGGCTGTCAGAAACCAGTCGCTTGGAGACTAGGCAGATACACAAAACTACTCAATGAGCACCTCAGCACCTCTTGTCAGGCATATGACGTATGATGAACAAAGCATCGCTACTTATGGCATCGACTGAGCATAACACCGCTTGGCGACTCAGCCCAACGAGACATTTGGCGAAGGTCACATACAGCTGGGATGCTGACGTCATACTTGAAAGTCTACAGCAAGCACTCCCAAGAATGGGTCTTAGCATCAAGCCCCTTGCCGAGTTCTCCGCTCTTACAGCTGAGCTGAGCTTGAGCTTATTTTCAGCTGTCTTTCGTGCTTTCGTGTACTTGGTTTTAATGCAATCTCGTCTCTTGCCTTCTTGCCCTTCGAGCTTTAGCCTTCCTTTTGGGGCTGTCTGCACATGCTTCTGGATTGAACTCTGCCAAAACATGATCAGGATTCAGCCAAGGAAGTTGCGGTTCCTGTGCTTACGTTACAATGAAGTAGAGACCCCTCCGGATTTGACAGCAAAAGCCCACTATCTCCTGGCCCTTCCAACTTCCACAGCACTACTGGCACTACCTGTAGACTTCGTGAAGAGTCAGGGGGCCCCAAGTCTGCCGAATCCCAGCCCCGCGCCGGCCTGCTCTTCCATGAACGACAGCGCCTCGTGTTTCGGATTCACATCTTCACCCCCCCCCACCCCCCCCCCCCCCCCCCCCCCCCCCCCGAGCCTTAAACCCAACACCCTATAGGGTTTTGGTTTGCTTCGGCCTTCGTGGAGCACTGCATGAGGGCGCGGTCCATGGCAGAGCTCGCGATGCACGCGAGCACCGTGCCGCGAAGCTCGTAGATGCCCAAGGCCTGCCCAAGGTTGCAGTACCACCCGACCAACTCACAGAGTCCTACACGGTTTAGTGTTTAGGGTTCTACGGCTACGATAAATTCTACTACTTCTCATGTTTGGGACTGAAAGTGCTTGGACACGATCTGCCACTCTTGGAAACTCCTACCACTGGATGCCCCTAGCCCTGCCCCTAGCCCTCCGAACACCTTGTTCACGTAGTCACCAGGCGACGTGGCGAGCAAAGCCCACTCACCAGCATCGCAACCATCTCCAGGTTGCTTGCGGCGAAGATACTTCCGGTCCTAACACCGGAGTTCGAAGCGCTTGAAGCTTCGCGCTTGGGCGTGCGTGGTTTGTACGATTGAACTTTCTTTGCGACCAGTGGAGTCTGGAGGCGGGATGAGTGTCTAAAACCGGTCTTACGCTGATCCACAGCTGCGCCGCCGTGCGTCGGCGTGACATCCGTTGAATTCAAACCCTATCTATACGTCCTAGACACGACTTCAACACGAACCGAAGCGTGCCCTGTGCGCAAATGTACTTTGAGTCGGGTCTGTACTGTACCCAGACCCCTAAAGTGGTCCTACCATCCCCCTTAAATCCTTACACCAAGCCAACTCAGGGCATGCTTTGGGGTGCTTTTGGCTCTCCTGTGAGGTGATGTGCTCCCTCAAGTACACGATGTGGCCCGTCGCGACCGACCGGCCAAGCGGACAGTAGATGCCGGAGAGGAACCAATGGGAATGGGTCACGCTCATGCCTTGAGATTCGGATTCGAGGTTCAGGCTTCAAGAAAGCTTGGCAAAATCCAAGGTTTCGGGGCAAAAGAATACTGAAACCCAGCCTTCTTTCTTGCCCAAGTTGTCTGTAAGCTGTAAGACTTCCAGATGTTTGCAAACCTCCTTGCTTTTCCGATTCAATTAACGGCTAAGATCCACAAACCCCAAGTGCCGCCTGCCCTGCTTCGGGGCTACAAGAGCATGAGTCCTGAGATGTCCCGAGTAATTCGCCGCCTGGATGGGTGGCCGTCCCCTTAAACGACCCCTAGCAAGTCTGAATAGAACTGTCCTGGGACCCTCTTTCGGATGCTTCTCACACCCTGTGAGTTGAAGCTGGTGTCCGCGCCCGTGTGCCCCCCAACAAGGAGAATTCACAGAGCCTATCTTGGCAACTAGACTGCTTGAGATATTTTCCGTACACACTCAGCCCACCGATGCGGGAGGGTTGCAGGTGCCGTCATTGGTGCAATTCGTTACTTTGGCATTGACAGTCACTGACTGCCCATCGGAACGAACATCGTACCTGCCAGGGATTTCAGGAGTTGGGACTTAGCTGAGGCTCGCCAAACTTATGTGCCGTATCAAAGGCAGCTTTTTTGGCCGTGAGCACCCATGGCCGCAACACTCATCTTGCTGAGTTCTTGTGGCGAGATACCGTGAGTCCTTTGGGGTTCCCTGCTCTATGCGGTGGATCCATACCAGATGTAGCCAGCCGTCAGGCAGGAGGCCCCCAAACAAAGTGCACCAAAACCTGCACACTCCCTTGGCCCACGAGAACCCTGCTTACTGTTCCCAGGTTAATGAACCAAAAACTGCCAAGAAAGTCGTCATGGATGTAAGCAACGTTCCCGATACGCCTCGACGCCCCTCAGAGCAACCCTTCCCCCCCCCCCCCCCCCCCCCCAAACCCTAAATCCTGAAACATTACAATCCGGCCTCCTGCATTGGCCGTTGAAGTGATAATTCGCGCACGTCGCATCTGCCCGGCATCGCGAGCGACACTGTGCCTCGCAACGCAGGTCTCAGCCCGCCGACTTGAGGGACTCAAAGAGTTCAAGGGATTGATTCTTTGAATCTTTAGTTTTTTGGGGTGCAAGGCTCGGGGTTCATAGGTGTGTCCTACACCCACTTCCCAACGCCATCATCAGCCCAAGGACCGGACGACGACCACTACCCTGAACAGATGGCGCCTCAGAGGTTGCGGTGATGTCTGGCACAGCCACCGCCTGGAAAGGAGGAGAGGTTTTAAGCAACTCCCGCGTCAGGATTCAGAGTGGGCCTTGAGCATTAGTTTAGATTCTTTGGGTGCTGGGTGCTTCGCTTCAAGACTGCGGTAGATTCCGGTAGATCCTTCCAAACCTCTTCCATAAGAAGACGCTTCCTTCGTGGGGGCTGCGGCTTCCGCGAAGGCACAAACTCGGCAAACGCAAATCGAGAAGACTCACCAACAAATAATCATGCTCCTCCACCCGTGTCCAAGCCTAGCTCCCTGGCCTGACCTGAGTGTCTGGAATCAAGGTCCGGGCTTCCATACAAAGACATATGCCCATCTACACGAAGTCACGAAGCTCGGCACGGCAGAATAGAAATTATGTCTCTCTCAAAATAGGATACAAAGTAGAGCATAAAACAGAACATGTATATATTGTAGACTATACGACAAATAAGCAAGAAGTAGATGCATATCTACACAATAACATGCATGATACATAACTTGAAACACGTAACATACAAGATATACCATATGGTATCTGGCACATATATAGATATGCATATATATATATATCTTGTAGTCTAAACATGCAGAACAATTGTATGATATACATATAGATGAACAATACTTTTACACATGAACACACACACACACACACACACACACACACACACACACACACACACACACCCACCCACCCACCCACCCACGCACGCACGCACGCACGCACGCGCACGCACGCACACGCACGCACACGCACGCACACGCGCACACGCACGCACACACGCACACGCACGAACTCAACACACACCACACACACGGCACGCACACCCGCACACACACACACACACACACACAACACACACACACACACACACACACACCCACACACACACACCACACACACACCACACACACACACACACACACCACACACACACACACACACACACACAACACACACACACACACACACACACACACACACACACACACACACACACACACACACACACACACACACACACACACACACACACACACACACACACCACACACACACACACACACACACACACACACACACACACACACACACACACACACGCAACACGCACACGCACACAACAACACGCACACCACACGCACACGCACACTCACACGCCCACACACACACGCACACACGCACACAGGCACACAGACACACACGCACACAGGCACACAGGCACACAGGCCACACAGGCACACACACACACACAGGCACACAGGCACACAGGCACACAGGCACACAGGCACACAGGCACACAGGCACACAGGCACACAGGCACACAGGCACACAGGCACACAGGCACACAGACACACAGACACACAGACACACAGACACACAGACACACAGACACACAGACACACAGACACACAGACACACAGACACACACAAACAAACGTATGTATACATATATATATATATATATATATAACTTTTACATACAAGTTTTCTATAGGGCCATGCCTTGACGGTCTGCGGCACCCAGCACATGGTGTCTTGCACTTCGATGGACAGTGCCGTGTGCACCTTTTCGGGGTTGAGGGTTTAGGGACTCTTATGGGGGGGGGCTTGCGGCAGCTTGGTTGGCATTCCACAGGCTGCAGACAAAAGGCACATTCAATAACTAGGCTTCCAAACTCTACAGCACTGGTCGCAAAAAACATGGTAGGACGCGCTCTGGTGTGCCCTGCGTTTTTTTGGCACGCGTTGGATGTGCTCAAGTTTGAAAGTGCAAAAAGACTTAGGTTTTAGACTCATTCCTGTTTTGGGAACCAGGAAGACACAGCACAGATTCCTCGAAGGGCGGGCGCTTTTAGTGATTTGGAGTGTTTCGCCTAGGCGGGAGCCTTGTTTTGAAAGGGACGAAAACTCAAAAGTTGTGTATACTATTTTAAGGTTTATGTTTATGGGGTCCTTGTTGGGCTTGCATGTGTCGGGCCCCAAACCTCAGAGTTCAGAACCGAAGCACACATCTCAGAACATCTTTTCTGAAAGCCAAAGTTTGCTGAAGACATTGGCACCAGGCGGAATGCCAACATTAGCAGAAGTGAAAAGGGCAGAGGATTCAGGGTTTTTTTGCCACCCGACTAGCCACGGCAAGATTCAGGGTTTGGGGTTAAGGGTTTTTGGGAATGTTTGGGCGTGGACTGCTTTGGGGATGCTTGGGCTTTAAAGTTTTAGGCAAGAGAGGATTTGGGGAATGTTTGGGCTTGGACTGCCCCCCCCCCCCCCCCCCGCCCCAAAAAGTGTCATGGATATTCCCAACATGGATATTCCCAACTCCCCCCTCCAAGAAAACCCCAAAAAACGCAGGGCGCACGAGAGTGTGTCCTACCAAAAACATGTGGCAACAGAACCTGGCAGATCCCGCCATGAGGTGGTATCCGTCACTAGCATCCCAAAAACGCACACGGCCTCTAAGACCAGATCTTTGAAGTATAGACCCCGTGCCCCGAGTGCCTTAACCTTACACCCTCAGCCCCAAACTTCCTACAAAGCACCGAAAGCCTGATAGCATGGGCTTCCGAGCCACAGGTGGTAGCGAAGGATCTGGGAAGACGCCGAACACCCGGCAGTCCAGGGTGATGGCCTACGCTACAGACTTTGGGTCCAGCGACATGCCTAGTTTCAAGGTTGTTTGTTGCCCAAATTATCACCCTGCTTGGGGTATTGACACCAACATCACTCACACTTAGGGCTTCCGCTGCACCCCGCTTATGCGATCATTTGCTCTGATCCAACATTGCGTACGTGAGCGGCCTGCCTTCCTGGAGGAGCCGGAGGTATCCAGTGTGTCAAAGAGCGCGCCTCAGCTCTGTCCTCCCTGTGGTTTGCGAACAAGAGACTCGGGGAAGGAAATTCGGCGGTTCTTGGCTACGAAAGGAGATCTCCAGGTCGGTACCGCAGGCAGGGCACATGGCAGCTGATTCAATGCACCGTTTGAAATGCAAGTGGGTGTGCACCGGCCCCTCTTTGCTTGGAGTCCATGGAACCCTTGGATTTGTATCAAGTCCAATGCTCGGCACAAGCCTACCATCGAAAGCAAGATATCTTTCACTAGTTCCACCCGCGACAGAGTTTGGAGTCTATCTTACAACTCCGGTCGTTGCAGCTTGGGGCTTGGGGTTCAGTCACAACCGAGCTTGCCTTCTGAACCACACACAGAGGTATGACTTGAGCGACGTGTCTCAAACTCACCTGAAGTCCCATCCTACAGGAGAAGCCTACTGGCTAGTATGGTTCCTTGTTTTGGTAGGAAAAGAGGTCTACTGTAGCACCTTTCCGAGGGTGGACTGCTCTTCGGCAACATCCAGGCCGTGATCCATGCTCTACCCTTACGCACCTCTAGGGGCCTTTTCTGCTAGGACGGGTGACTGCTTTGGGTAGCCTATCTTGGAAGAATACAGGGTTCTGAGGGGAACCTGCGTGTCTCCCCAGCAAATGTGCCGAGACACTCAGAGAGCTGGAAGGTGCCACGGTGATCCTCAGTTGAGGCTTGCAGGGCTTGCAGAGATCGTGCAGAGCCTTGCAGGAGGCCGTGGGGCTAAGGCCACAGTGAGTTTATGGAGGCACTGTGCAGGGTTGTCCGCCGAGAGACACAATCAGTCAAGACAATGCAGTCAAGAGAGGCCAGGCGCATCTATTGCTGCTGTTGTGATGAACGCCTCCTCGGTATATGAAGGCCCTCCCGGTTGGACCAATCTCCGAATCCTGCACTTCGCAACCTGAACCTGGAACCAAGTCCCGAATCTCGAGATGCTTTATGAGCCAAAGCAAGAGCGAGGCTCTCTCCTTCTGCACCGATCTCCAAAACGGAATGCCCTGCCAGAAATCCTGGAAGGGCTTGAGTGCGGTATATCGAGGCATGGAGTGTAATCCTGGATGTGTACTATGACCTCCCCTAGTTGGCCAGTACCTAGGGGAACTAAAGGGTAACCTTCGGGATTATAATGGGATTACATTGCCCCAAAAAGGTTAACCCGCGCCCTACTCTACAACTAAGCTCTTCTACACAGATTCGTGTCAAGACTTGAACATTCTGCCAATGTGACATTCGGCGGAACGCACAGGTCTTACGTGCGCATGCCCAGTAGACCCTTAGGCTTTCGGGTCAGAGCTCAAGGTTCAATAAGGCCAGGCCGGGTTTAGGGCTTCGGACAGGTACGCTGTGGGCCCCACGTTTTTGCATGTCTTTTTTCGTGCAGTTGGAGTACGCCGGCATTCTTGCAGGAACGAAATCCCTTTTGTCAGGAGTTTGGAGGCTACAGAGCGCTTGCCAAGCGTCCCATGCTCAAGATGCGATCAAAGGAGAACGTCGCCGCCGAGCCCGCGCCGCTGACGTCGCACGCCATGGTGTAGGTCCTGAGCTGCTTTTCAGGTTAGCTGACACACGTCAAATCTCAGAACTGCCAAAACGTCAGCTTGCTGCTCCTGATCACTTCTTCAGATGGAAAAGCATCCCACCAGCCACGGCCAACACTGCTGCTGCCTCTGCTGCAGCTACGACTACGATGGCTACTGCCACAACCATCACTTCAGTTGTCGTCAGACTCAGCTTCCCATCCTTTCGGCCCCAGAATGTTTGACCAGTTTCCACGGCTTCATGAGGCCCTGCTCCGCAGGCTTCTGCGGCACAAGGGGATGCAGCTCCTCGCCAATGCTCGTCGAAACCCCGCTCAGGTGGTACCTCACGGGAACGGTCTTTCCGAAAAATCTGCGCTAAGATCGCAGCCCTTCAACTAGCTGATTGAACGGCGACTTTTTGGCAAGGACGTTGTAGGTGGTGTTCTCTCAATTTGTGGACAGCGGCTCAGATTAGAAGGTTGCTGCTGCTATGTCTCCTGCAATGGTACCATGTGGTTGCTGGCTTGTGGCTGACACATGGAAAGCCGTTTTACGGACTACTATTCAGAGACTTCTCAGATGCGCACTGACTCCCCAAACCCTAAACCCTAAACCCTTTTTTGCATCCGGACTCCCGTGGGTGCTGGCAAACCCTAAACCCTAACCCCCGACTACTTTACTTGCACATCCTTTTGGACGTCCCAAGAAGGCCATGGACCGCGAACATGACTACCGGGTGCTTGAACCATGAGACTATGTAGATTTTGTGTGATGCTGGGTGGCTAGGCATGTTTTCAACAAACAGTTTATTTGTGCACACATCCTGCTTCTTTCAGTTTGTGTGCACAGAAGCAGTCACGGATGGCCGCCTGCTGCTCCACTGACCTGTTTTTAGTTCAAAAAGCCCACCTAACGAAGGAACATGTTCACAGTGCGACATCAAGTCCGCTCTTGTGTTCTCCGCCTCTGCTTAGCGCACCTAGAACTTGAGGGCAGGATGATCGCATTTTCGTGAATGCCTACTTAGTGAGGCCCCCCTATGTGCATCCTCTGATTCGTCCTGGCTGCTCCAGGGTGGACCAAGGACGAGGTCGAATGGCAACAAAGGTCGTCTGATACCTCGCGTACCCCTGTGTCTAACACTGTGCAAGCGATCCCCAGAGTATGCCTTCATGCCTACTATATCGACGAAGACCATCCCGAATCCGTGCGTCATGAAATCAACCGAGATGTGGTGATTTGCCCTGCAGTGCCAAAAAGGGCTGTCTTGCAGTTCGAATGCCTGCACCAGCGCTTACGAGTAGGGTTGACTTACTTGGGCTTTGTGGACCACCAAGAACCGGGTGGGTATCGTGTTTTTTTGGCTGCGGTGGCTTGAGCAGAAATATGCAACTACTTCAAAGAGTCCCGCATCTTACCCTAGTTGACAGGATCTCACAACACGGGAGGCCCCTTGCAAGAACGTGGACCCCCAAACTCTGTCGGGTTCTGTGCTCGTGGCATGTGCGGCTTCGAGTGCGGATGGGCCGCTTCGTGGCGTCTTGCAAGGGGCATCGGTATGTTGTGGGTAGTGTGAGGGGCATTGCACAGGCAGCTATCTGAATGAAGGTCTGCACATTGCTTTTGGGGTTGGGTAGTACATGTCGATCCGGCCCGGATTGGATGTGAAAGTAGAGGCCTTACCATTCGCCCAATCTGGCAAGCAGCGTTGGCGGCTTGGGTCCGGGGAGTCTGACCGTAGGCTTTCACCAAGGGGGCCCGACAATGACTCTAAAGCCTTAAGGGTGGTGAGGAAAGAAGTTTGCGGGCGAAACAGGCAGCGCGGCATTTCTGGGGTCGGGGGGGGGGGGGGGGGGAAGAACATCGTGCCATCTAACGTCTCGTGTGCCAAAGGCGCCTCTTGTTGGCCTTCCACGCAGACACTGCGCACACTGCCCCATCCTGGCCATAGAACCTGAGGGCGTATGAATGAGAATGAACTGCCCTGAGCCCTATGTTGAGCAAGCTGTGCAGGAAATTCCAACCACAACGGAAATTCAAGGGAGTCCCGCTCCCGCCTCAAAGTCAACTTGAGATGGTAGTATAGTAATAGTAACAATCAAAAAACGAAACAAATCAAGTATGATAAGAACAGGAAAATATTGCTTTAATAACGTAACCCTGAAACGCCTTCTCAAAAGGTCCTGAGCCCCCAACAACTCATCTGTAAAACTCAATGGCGGCTCGCGCCTCTCCTCCGCAACGGAAACGCCGCCGCTGTCTGCAGTTTGCCCCGTGAAGTGGAGATGGCCGTTCCTTGGTTTTGCGGCTTAGGGTTTAGGGTTGGGGCTTGAGGGCCTATTTTCATGCTTGACTTTGTGATCACCTTCCTGCTGGCGTTGCGCACAACATCAACCAACATGTTGCTCAGATCCGTTGTCTCTGTCCGCCGCGCCAGGGATTCTGTCATGTAGGCCACAGAGAACACAAACTTGCATGCCTCAAGCGCTGCTCATTGACTGGTGGGGAGGGGAAGTTCCCAGGTGACTTCACCACGTCGCAGACCATGAGCGCGAATCTCGTTCGAAGTGTTGAATTAGGCTCAGATTTTGGCCACTTGATTGCCAGAGTGGTTGCCAGTGTTGCGTTGAGCGTGAACTTGATGTCTCCAATCTTGAGCGCATAGGCTGTGCCAGATGAGCCCTACTGGCATGTCCGCGCCGGCAAGCTCCAAAGCCAAGAGAGAGATCATTGGCAACCGGGTTCTGCTTTTTGGAAAGCATGTCGACAGCTTTCGCGTATGTTTCAACATTTCAACGGTTGGTGGCTCGAAGTAGGACACGCCCGCCAGCGTGTCGTCAGTCGATGGCCATCAGCCGGATTTAATCTCCCTTGTCCTTGCTCTTTGTATCGCGGTTTCGCAGGGGCGGAGACAGGCTCCAAATGAACACCATCAGGGACAGATACGTGGCCGCTCGTGTCATGCGTGCTTGGTACAACGCGCGAGGGACAACGTCCTGAATCTTCTCCGACTCAAGCGAAAAATCGCAGCAGTGAGTAAGTAGTCAACCCCACACCCACTCCACACCCTCAATTCATAAGGCAGCTTGAAGAAAAACATCAACACCTGTGACGTGTAGACCTTGGTGCGCCCTTAGCCGCACAACTCAACGCGATCCCCTGAACATGGTACCAGGTTCTGGGAGCTGATGGCCAGCCAGCTGACCTCTGGGGCGCAGCCCAGCCTTGCACAAAGGCTACTGGGGGGAACAGCCCAGGGGGGGAACAGGCCTGTCATTAAACTAGCTCCATGCCTCAAACAATTTCAACAAGAAACGCTGCGCGCAAAGAGCAGACACTCATTGCAGCTTTCTGAGCGCAGCAACTTACAGCAAAGGGATTCGAGGTGGAGCTTCCAGCCAGGTAGCTCGAAGTTGGACCACCCGGAACCTGTCGTCTTGGGCGCCTCTGATGAATCGGTGTGAAAGAGCCTCGGCTCTCATTCAGGAAGGGCACGCGAGGTCATGTGCGTATGGCTGCTGCGCAGGTCTCGTCGCAACATCTTTTCACGCTTCTAGATTCCAGGGCATCTAGACTTGGGCATCGTTGTAAAGGGTTGGCCTCTTGGCGAACTGTAGGGCTTGGGGCAGGTTACGTTCCTAGGCAAGTGAAACTCAGCAGAATCACAAGACTGCTGATGCTGCTCCTGTGCGTTTTTTGTCGTGAGGAGGCTTTCAGGCCCAGAACCTGGACCCTCCCCTAGCAGAGGAACAGCGTGGAGGAACCATAAGTCAGCACGTCGGCAGCAACGGTGACCGTAGCGATCCTGGGGCGGTTCCCGACAGTCCCGAGGTTCCTATTTTCTTGCCTCCGGCCTTCGCTGAATTGAAGTCCATTTCGCAGGGTGCACGGCGCATTCAGTGCGAGACCCTCCCCTTTTCACAGAGTCCGATAGAGTTTGACTCTCGGGAATTTGGGGCTTCTGGGCTACGGAGAGCTTGTGACCAAGCAAGAACACATGCCGGAACCTTCAGAAGGTCTGTGATGCCACCTCACGGCTTCTGCCTCCTATGCTCCCTCGAAAAACCTTACCTTTTCCCACCTCTCCTAAACTCTGACCCCCAAGCATCGTCTCCGAGCGTCATGCTTATGCCCGCCGCCTGGTGAGCCGTAACCTCGCACTCCAAGACAAAGGCTTCCGTCGGCCTCTGCCGGCCTGCTTGGGAGATGCGAGGACGAATCCGAGCTTACAAGGCCCCAAACCCTGTTCAGGACAGTTCATTCACTTGGGGGCTCGAAGTTCAGGGTCCGCGACTCTCCAGTCTCTGCTGTTTGTGGGCGTGCTGAACCTGAACAGCTATACAATACAAGGGCGACACACTTTTGAAACAGCACAAGCCACCATGCCCCCTTGAAACAGAAGTCCTAGAGTCCGTCCGTGTTCCCAAGAATCCCTCTACCCAAAAAACTATCGCTTTTCAGGGTCTCTCAGTGGCCGAATGCCCTAGCAGGCTCTTTCCTGGCACAGTTGGTTGGAATGTAAGATAATGCCAGATTCTGGAGAAGCAGGGCTCCGGTTGACAGGTTCTAAGGCACCTACTTCGCAGATCTCGTCCACTTGGGTTCACTGCACCTGCCGGCCCTTCCCCTGCACATCCACTATGCTATGGTTGACTCTCACCCACTCCGCATCATCACCCTACTCTCCTTGAAGGGTCGAACCGAGTGAAACTTCCTGGAACAAGCGGAAACCCTGCGAACCCTCAACCCTAAACCCTAAACCCACTCACCTGCCTTGCAGGTAGAAAATCCTCCCCGTGGTGCTGTCCATGGTCAGGTTGTGCGCCGCCAGCTGGGGGGGCAAGGAGCCCTACCCTAAATGCCTTCCCTAAACTTTCGGAGCCAGAGTTCATGGGTTTAGGGATGAGGCTCTATCCACTTCTGTCCACAAGGTTTTCTTTGAGGTTTATACCCAGGGATCTGGGTTGATCAGCACCTCGCACTGCGCGTCAACGGTGTAGCGGTCCGCTGTGCGGGGCTCGGGCCTCAGCGAAATGACCGAAACCTCAAACAGCAAAGGTTTGCAAAGCCCAAAAACTTAGAATACCCCTTTTTAGCCCAGGACTCAGAATACCCCTAAACCCTTAAACCCTAAACCCAGCAACCTACCGCACGCCGTGACTCGCGCCTCAGCTCGATGTCGGCATCCAGGGACCACCGGAGGCTCGGATAAGAGAAGGGTGTGGGCGTCACGACTCCCCCACCGCACTGGCAGCATGCCTCAGGGGTATTGCTCGCGTTGCAGTAGGAGAATAATGGGTTTTTGAGCATGAAAGCCCCGAATCCGCCCTAGACCTCAACCAACTCCATGGAAACTTCGGATTTTTTTGAAGGGATTGAAGATTCAGTAGGTTCACCAGGGTTTCCGAATACGGCTTCGCCGAGGTGTACGATCGGGTTTAGGGCGTGGCTTCCTTGCTTTGGGGCCACGGGCGCCTCGTTGCTGGACTGGCCCCGCACCTTCACGTCACTGCACTCCGAGGCCTGCAGCTGTGAGCCTGGGCGAGAGCGCTTCGAGTGCTGTGTGTGTATTGCCGAAGCCGGGGCCTCTCTCCAACAAGATAGGGGACCTGTCAACTGCCAAGGCTAGCCGAACATATTGCTGTATGTATATACGAGGGAATGCCTTCATAAGCAAGCACATGCATATGTAGGATATGTGGCATGTGAGTATGCACAGGTTTGTGTATGTATATACAAGCCTATACATATCCGAATGAAAACGGAACCGTAAAACACAAACACACATTGTACATGCAACAGCGGTACCTTCAGGTACCGGAACAAATGTATGGCTGAGGCGTAAGTAGTCTGAAAAACTGTAGGCTCTCTCGTCGTTATTTGTCCTCCAGTCTAGCCTCCGCATGCCCTAGCAGAGGCCCTAGCACTCTTCGAGGTAATCGGAAAACGCCCGTCTCCTCATCAAGGCGAAGGAGCAGGAGACCCCGTCCTCGCTGAGCCAACCGGCAGAGTCCGTGCAGGCGGTGCACCTTCGGGAGCTTCGACATATTTACCACCGGATGCATATTTAAATATTATTTAAGCCACTTTCTCTGGAAAAGCTTCAGGAACTTGAGGTTGGGTCTTGGGAAGTCTTTGGTCGGCTTGGGGCTTCCAGCTCTGCAGCTCTGAAACCCGGCATCAGCAGTTCATCCCAGATCCGATTCGGGTCCGTGCTCCGTGCTATCCCTCTGCAAAACAGAATGTCAAGACTGTGTCAAGCAAGGCACACGCTGCTGCGCTTGATGAAGCCGCCCATGCAGCTGGTGCAGGAGCTGCCAGCGTAGGAGGCACAGCCGGCACATTTCGTACTCCCCTTTGGGCAGCACGTTTGAACGACACCACTGGGCTGGAAGTCCATCAGTTTCCTCGGATGCCCTCTGCCCATGTTACACCCGCAATCACAACCCTGATGCTGACTTGAATTTCCGTGCAAAACAGAGGAAGTCCCGGAACTCAGATATACTCCCCCCCTCTCCACAAGTAACAGAACCCAAAGCCGCGGGAGCAAAGAAGCGGGGCGGCGGGCTCCTGCTACAAAAGGCCTCTACAACTTGAAATTATCAGACTTCTCCCGAGGAGATCGAATCAATCGGGGGGAGGGGGGGGGGGGGGGTGTCAATGGAAGGCCAACATTTTTTGAACCCAGACGCCTGCAGGCCAACATTACACTAAAACATTTTTGGGCTCAACTTTGTCACTCTAAACCCAAAACCCTAGAAACCCTTTGCAACAGGCTTAAACTCTAAACCCTACACCCTCAACACTTTGTCCTGGGTTCAGTTGCGAGCTGGAACAGCTGGCGGTGCTGTTGGCCGAGTGCCGCCGAGCCAGAGCCTGGGCCTCGCTCGTCACGTGCGTGGTGTGCGAGGGCGCAGCCTTCCCATGCACATGAGGGACTGTAAAGATGTATATATGTATGCAGAAATTGAAGTAAATAAAAAAAGTATATGTATATAGTACATAGTGTCTGTGTTTATATATATATACACATACATGTTAGGGTGTTGTTTTTGGTGTATGAAAGGTGCTTCGGGTTCCGGCCTGGTATGCATGGTCGTCCAAAGCATGACATACGTCCACCCCCCCTAGATCCTCAACTAATAATTAGACTTAGCCACAAACTTAGCTGCAACATAACGGTTTGACCGAAGGAAAGCTTACATGTTACTTCGTGGCCTACGCACAGGTACTTTCGCAACTCCCACCGGCGGCACGGGCATGCGCTTGCAGGCCTCGGCCCGCAAGGTGGCTGAAACAAACACAAAGGGCGCATGCAGCGTTCCTTTCGCCGTTGCCTACTCGCTGAGGGCTGAGAGTTGTGGCTAGAGCTTGGTGATGCCTTTGTTTCTACGAGCTATATTTCGGGGCGTTCTTGTGGAGAAAAGAGTGTGCGGAAGCCCAAGCTCTTCTTCTCCCATGCCTCCACTGAGGACATGGCGGACTTGGCTTGCAGCCTCTTGGCGCTTCGTGCCACCATGTTGCACGAGTTTAACATCCCTGCAGGCCTAGCAAAGCCTCTACCGTTCCTGCCATCAACGTCGTTGACATACATACATGACATGCACACATTTACGTGCTAGCATACAGGCATCCTGCCAAGCCTACGGTAGATATCTGTAGGAGCGAAACCCTGAGTCTTCAACCCATGATTCAGTGAATAGAGCCCAAGGGGCAGGGTTGAGATCCTGGGAGCTGAACTGCGCCGCGTCGAAGCTTGGTTTGAGGTCATGCTCCAAACCAGGGAGAGGGCCCTTTACCTGAGGCTCCAAGAGGGCCGGGTAGCTTCTTGCAAAAGGGAGCTTATGTGCCATGTGAGTGCTTAGAGCCCTCGGGGTACGATGGCAGGGCTGAGGACTTACGATTGCTTGGAGGTCTTTTGCCACACGCTAGCCAAGCTGCACAAAAAAAGAAAGAACACAACTCTGCCACAAGATTTCTGAGACAAGATCAGCTTCCAGGCCCGCACCATCCCACAAGGACTCGGCCCGCAGGAGCTCCTCTTTGTCTTGTGTGGAGGCTCGAGGCTTTTCGTTTAAGGCTCAAAGCTCACCACACTCCTCGCACGAGTGCCGGCGCAGAAGAAAGTGCCTGGTTCCCTGGAAAATTTGAAGCGTGTAGTTCATAAGGAACCGCTGTAACGGAAACGATCCTAGCCCCGGGGATTTCGGCAACTGGCAAGTTGCCTGCCAGCACCGAGGAATTTACAGTGCCCCAGGCTGGCCAGGTTCGCTCTGGGAACGGCTAAACCGGTGCTTCAAAGCTCTTTCAGGGCCCCGGGTGTTTTTCTCGATGGGTGAGAAGGCAGTGACAAGTTCTGGACTTGTGCACATGTCGGCTTTGCTGGTGGACAGCGCTAAACACCAACAAGCGAAGAAAGAATGTAGCGAGTGCTATCATTGTCACTTCGCGCACACGTGCACCAACCTCCCTGCAACACCTCTGTTTTGCATGTCCTCCGCTTGCAGCTAAGATGGGCCACATGGGTATTGGCAACAAGACTTTAGTCTTGGTGATGTTCACCAGATGGGCTTTCGACAAAAGGCCTTATCCGTCCCATTGAGTCTGTCACATGATTGCTGACCCCGCTGGGGAGTTTAATGCATCACTGGCACACACCCCGTTGAAAGTTTTGAGCTGCATGACACGCATGCATGACACGCACTTTTTAAAATTTTTCTCATGCCGTGATCTCGTCCTGGCACACTCCCCTGCTGAAGCTAACTAGCGTCTGAAGTTTCACGGATCAAGACTGAGTTTGCTCAAAGTTCCCCAGCCGTGATTAAACAACTATATATATACACACACTCACTCATATACATTCTACTTTTAAAGATAGATAGTAGATCTAAGACCCATTCTCTGAGGCCACCTTGTGCTGGGTCGATGCCAGCTCTGTCGCCCTGTTTCATACAGTTCCTTGTGGGACCCTTATCAGCCCTCAACTGCTAGGCTGCTAGGGGCGCCTCTTTGAGGCCGGAGTCTTCTTGCTGCATCCTCGCCACTTCCCGTCGCAAGCCTCTGGGGGGGTGTCCCCGGAACCCTAGACCCTAAACCCTAAACCCCGTCACGTCTTGGGCTTGCAACGAAACGAAATCTGTAGGTAGCTACAGCATGGCCCTTATCTTAGGGACCTGTTGATGGCTATCAGGTGGGCTCTCTTGCTATGGTCTGAAACCTACGCCCTAGGAAGGCCCCCAACTGAAAATGAAAAAGCCCAGGAGCCTGCATCCTCCTCACGCAAATTTGCATCCTGCTTCTGGACTTGTGCCAGCCTGGGAACTACAAGCCGAAAAACCCTGTGACTCCGGAGTCGGGGGAAAAGCGCGAAACCTAGGTGAGCCAAACTGCAGCCACTGAGTAAACCAAGTTCTTGCGGAACTGACAGATCAGGGCGAGCTCGAACGGCTGAGGCAAGCCCCGGTGAACAGCTTCGAGCCCACACTCCGCCCTTACAGACCATGATCGGGGAGAGGGGGTCGGCAGTTGTATGACCCCCAGCGACCCCAAAATCTGAAAGTGCCAACAACACGAACGGTAGCACTGCGCAAGAAGTGAATAACAAAACAAAGGTCGACAATAGACACTTGACATGTCCTGAATTTTCAGTAAGCCGACCGTGTCCCGAGCAGTTTGCAGAAGTCCGAAAAGCTGAACACATTTTGTCCCTCCATTCTCCGGCTGGTGCATTTTACGGCCGGGCTCACGGCCTAAGGCTCGGGGTTCGGCCCCAGTCAGTATGAATATATGACATGCCTGCGAAAACCTTCTGAAAGCCTGACTACAGTAGATCAAGCAGAGAGCCCACAACATAAAACGCTTCCAGGGCCAAGAGTAGAAACATCAAATGGAAGCCTCATTAGAAGCCTAAGGGCTCTTGCTGCAAGGTGGAATCGCGCTGCTCCAGCTTGGCGACTGTGGCCTGAGGGTCGAGCGCGCAGGGGTGCAAAAGCACAAGCCCACACGAGTTGAGTCTTAAGTGGGGGTTTCCGAAAATAGTGTCCCTAGTACAAGGGAATCCTACTATTTGGGTATCTATTTTGGGAGTCCCCTGTTTTCCATAAACCACCAAGTGCTACTGGACTCAGGCACCTCCAGTCTCTCCATGACGTTGAGGACGCTCCGCACATTGTCCTCTAGAGTTGCCTCGTCCGGGACAGCTTTTTTAGGCAGGGGCAATCTGCCAAAGACCCACAAGTCAAACCAGTCAAGAGCTCGGGAATCTGTCTCAACGGTAATTCCACGAAACCATAAACACTCCCATCCCTGAGCCCCATCATCCCTCCTTCATGGCCTTCGTTGCTTGCTCTTTGTTGCGCATAGCTTGCCTGGGCCAGCTTACTCCAGCGCCCCTGCTCCCCTCCCCACTTAAATGCAAGTACTGTGAGGTCTTGCGGGTGATGGTGGGGTGGTAGTTGGCGCCGGGCTGTGTAATGAGTTTAATGCGCCCTCAAGCCGACTGCAGGGGCCCTTTTTTTGCAAGCCGCGGGGCAGGAGGCTTGTTGCCCGTGCATTTCCCAGGCATTCACCTCTTCAGAGCAGGTTCAGGCATGCAGTGTTGCTGCGTGTTTGGGTACTTGTGTCAAGATGAGAACTCATAAGCTTGACGAAGCCAGTGCGAGTGCTGGGAAAATCTGCGGGTTGCTCCGAACTCATCTGGGGATGGGAACTCCCGGGATCATCTCAGGGTGGGCAGCTCTCAGAAACGACAGCCGGCTGCCAGGGGCAGCTAGAGAACCACGGAAGTTTAGTGTCTTGGGCGTTGGGCATGTAGGGCTTGGCTAACTAGGACCATTCCTGCACAGCTTTTGCCAAGTGCCTTCGGCATCTGATGCCGTCAAGGCAACGGGCATCAAGAGAATTGCAATGAAGATGGCCGTCATCGCAGGCGGCCAACACCTTCCGTGCTGTACCGACTTTGTTGTCGCCTACCTCATATGTTCACGCTTGCAAGACGTTTCAGTGCAAGCAGGGTTCTCTGAAAAGAAGGGGTTCTTACTGATGTTGCTGCGAACTGAAGCTAGCCGTGTCTGTACCATTTGGAGGATTTGGAATCTGTAGTGTCTTCTGGATTTAGGTTTAGGCAACGCCCCACACCCACTCCAAACAACATTAAACCAATCTACCACTGTGAACCCTGAACTGGAACGGCCACTAATCAGACCGCGAGCCCAGGGAATCAACGAACAAGATCGCTTCGGACTCCCTAGACCCTAAACCTGCTTATAGCAGCCAAGGGGCAGTAAAAACACTTTATAAGGTCACGTGCTCAAGTGAGCCAAAGAAACGCTGCCGTAGTTCTCAATGCCACCTACATCGCAAACCCTGAACCGTTAGGTTCATTCAAAACCCCTAGACCATAGCCAGAGAGCCACAACCACTCTCGGACCCTTGGCCCAAAGTCAGATCTGGGCATGTTCGTTACCTCGTTCTACAACACCCTGCACAGTCGGTCCTTGTCTACTCACTGAAGCACCTGCTACAGGCACACAGCGACCGTGCTTTGCACAGTTTAAAGGTTTCTCTGGCTGCAGGGTGCTAGGGTACACAATAGAGTTCTTGAAGAGGCTACCCAGATCCAGATGAGGATTGCTTGCAGTTTCCCATTTCGTCTGGCCAAAAAACTCTAATGAACCAGACCAACATGGGTGTTTTCCACTTCGTTTCAGCTGTGGGCTGAATGGGTATCTCCGAAAAACAGTATTTACCTCCCAAAAAAACTGCAACCCTCGTTGTAGGATCCCCCCAATGACAACATTCACAGCATCCTCTTTTGCACTCTCAGGAAGCGCTGGAACATGGCATCCTCATCAAGTCGCACAGCTTCAGCCAGCGCAGCCTCACGCCCTGCGCAAAATCTGCAGGGATATCCGAAGGTGTGACGGATTCAATGAGCAGGGGCGCGATACGCTGTGCTTTTGGATTTCGGGAAGCAGACACATCAAGTCTTAGAAGGCGATCCTGAAGCCACATTTCGAAACGGCGCAGAATGCTCAAAAGGCGGAACACGGCGTCGAATCTTTGCTAGATGCTCGCATTCTGCCGGTTCTCCTGTTCTGGCAGCGTGCGCGATATGCGCGATGGCAAGAAAGGGCCAGGAGTCATAAGAGCCTGCTGCTGAATAGACCTACAGCCCGCCAGAGCCATGCAAATGACCCTAACCCGACTTTAAACTCGAAGTGTCTCCCAAGGCCGCACAGAAACCTACATTCAAACCTTCCCTGATTCATTAACGCCGGGCCTTTGGACTTCTGAATCTTCTGCAGAGCCCGCAGATCCTCCACTGCAGCCCTGAGTTACGCTGACGCGGGGGAGGGGGGGGGGGGGGAGGGGATCGGGGCTTAAATGACGAGCTTCGGGTGTGGTATGGTGTATGGCCCAAAAATTTCAGTTGCCGAGAAGTTACATGCTTGAGGGAAAACAAGGCAAACAACACCTACGTTGCTGCCTGGGCTGTCTGGTTTCGTCGCTCACGTTCGCACGAGAAGGTTTTCGGCTTTGAGGTTGGTGCTGAGCCTCTGTAACTGTTGTCACGCAGAGTTCATGCCAACAGAAACCCGCACCCTTTGAGTAGAACTTCTGATGCAGAAGAGTGTCCGTGGTGTGGTGCGAAGTGGGCCGGCATGTTGATGCCCATTCGTTTCGTGCACCAGTGCGTAGTAGCCTGAAGTGTTGCCAATGCTTGCCATAACCGCAACAAGGAAAGCCAACTGCCCAGATGTGCCAAAAGAATCCAAGTGACAAAGCTCCGGTCCATTGCCGAAGTCGCAGAAGGCGGCATCAAGCTCGTTGAGGCCGTGGAATGCAGGTGACACGTGAAAACTTTGCTCTTGCTGCACCACGGATTGCAACGCAGCCCGTGCTTTTGCATGGAGCTGGATGTTCCTCTTTTTGTGCAGTTGCTTTGCGGCCTTCGAGGCGGCACGGGCGGCACGGATGGATGTGTACCGCAGCTGCTGCGCGTCTCCAGCCATCTTCATGGATTCTCGGCACATGATACCGACTTCATGGAGAAGAGATGCATCATCATGGCTTGTCGTCATCTGCTTGATTCCTGTGTGGGTTACCCATAGACATCACCCAAAGAGGAGAACGGAAGGGCAGGAAGAAACATACATCACAGACAGAGAGAACAGAGACATTGCATGATCTAGAATCCAGAACCTCTGATGAGAACAAGTCTCGTGTGCGGCAATGCAGCACCCAGCGAAGATCTGCTGTTCGGAAGAAGCGGAAGAGCTTGTGCTTCCCACCACTTTTGAAGTACATGCGCAGCGAAAACGTCAACGTGGGAGCGCGCCCTCCCGCTTGGACATGCTCGTTGAGAAGGGATTGAAGCATCTCGGACACGAGGGGGTAGTCATCTGCGTTGTTTTGACTGAGGATTTTCTTGGCTAGCTGCTGGAACTTCATGAGTATGATGTGCCAATCAATAGCCTCTGACAGATGCGTTGATGAGCTGGCCACTTCCAACCAATCAAAACCTCAGCTCTCAAGCTGCCCGACCCCCGCTCCGCCCTTACAGATGTTCCTTGCTGCAAACTTTTTTAGGCAAGAAGCACATGAGCAAGCAGAAAGATTGCTGCCCAACCTGTAGACTGGATGAGCCAAACAAGTGCAAGAAGTCTCTGGTCTGCACTCTTCGGCCAGCTTTTAAGTTTGCAGGGTAGGGCCGAGTTTTGAGCATGCAGCGTGGAAACTTCCGGAAGAGCCACAGAAATCGCTGCCGTAAGCCCAGCCTTTCGAATGTGCTTCTGCATGTGCTGGCAAGCCTTCTTGCTGGCCTGGGAATGTAAGCGTAAGACTTGTTCATCACAAGGGTGTACAAGCAGAATCTTAAAATAACGGGGCCGATCTCCTCGGGGCAGCGATGGCCCCGATTTGTGAAGCTCTGGCAACGAGCTTCTCATGCCCCCGAACAGCCTCCCTAAACCCTTCAGGCCCTAAGGTCCCACCTAAACGGACGCGAGAATGCACCGGGGCGCCTCCTGGGACGCATCCATGAGCGATTGAAGGCCAACCTTTCCTCGAATGCGGGCTGTTACGAAGAAAGAGAGAAAGGATTCCAAAGGATTGCTTTTGATGTCATATCATATACTCGCACCCTAAACCCTAAACCCTAAACCCCAAAAAATCCGAAACTGCTCCATAAAAAACTAAATTTTGATGGTTTTATGAGGATTACATAGGGATTGAAAGAAGGGAAGGCTTAAAGGCCGAGCATCTGCCTCCGGCTTGCCTGGCCGTTTTTCTCTCCCGAGGCTTCTTCGCCCTAAGAGTACTCTTCCTGGGCGGCTGGGGCAGCTTCTGGTACCAGCCCTTCCTGGCAGGGGCGCGCGTTTAGGGTTTTGGGTTTAGGGCAAAAACTAGTTCGTTACCGCGAGCACGCTCAAGGTCCCTGAGCCCTGCATAAGCTTACGACTTCTGCGCGGCTGGATATTTCGGCACTTGCAGTTGCACCAGCTGAACATCCTGTGAAGCATGCGGCCCCTCTGCCTCTTCATGTACTCCCGGCCTTGGTAAAGAACTTGGGAGAGAAACCTCCAGCTTCTGCCCTCGCGCGCGGCTTGCAGGGTGAGGATTTGTGGGCTCAGGATCGAGGGCCCAGGGCTGGAGATGACAGAAGCTCGGAATGACTGTTTCCAGCTAGCCGAAAGACACCAGCACACAATTCACCACAATTCACAATTCCGAGCCTTCAGAAGGGCAGGCCACTCATCCTTTTCCTTGCTGGATGCTGCAGTTCTTGTCGCTAATTCCCATCGGGCTGGACCCTATCAGATCATAAGCCTGAACGCCCTAGAGCCCTGAATGCTAAAAGCCGCAAGAGCTTTAAAAAAACTGAAAATCCAAGCATATGCAAGCGGCAGCATCGAGGAGCTCTGCCCAGGTACACTGAGCCCGCTGGGTCTCTTCGGGGCGCTCTGGCCTCGATCCCTGAAGGGGGGGAGGGTGTAGGGTTTAGAAGGGTTTAGGAGGGTTTGGGGTTTAGTGCCGCACTTTTTTTTTTTTTTTGTAAATTAAATTTCGCTTCAGGGGTTAGGCAGGCTGTGGGGCTTGTGGATGCCAGCAATCGCAGCAACTCCCGCAACTTCTGAGCTGATATCCGACATGGCCTCATTCATGTCTCTGCAGGGTCCAGTCGCGGGGCGCCCTCTCTTGGTCCCTGCCTGCACATTGTAGTAGGCTTCAGATGACTTCAGGACCCTAGTTAGGCCTTAGTTGCTCTTCTTTGGAAGTCTTCTGAGCTTCCAGACCCTTCACCCCCTCAAAACCCAGGCCCACCTCCGGGCGGCGCAGTTGGGGATCGGGTGGTCGCGGCTCCTTCGGCGGCAGCACCGGCTTCCTCTCTTCCGAGAGCTCCGCACAGTGGCGCCCGCGCACCTGCAGTCCATCACGATCCCGGCGGCTCTCGAGCCAAAGGTCGTACTTCTTTCGCGCCGCCGGATCCGACAAGATCTCAAAGGCGTGGATCACACCGAGGAAGGCCTCGTGGTCGCCACCTTTGTCTGGATGGGTCTCCAGAGCCCTGCGGCGGTAGGCGGCGCGAACCTCAAGCTCAGAGGATTCGCGGTGTATACCCAGTGTCGCATAAAGGTGGCTGCGCTTTGCCGGAGGCATCGCAAACACATGGCATCGCAACACTTTTGAGCCTAGCCAGGTCTTGGTTCAGGCTTGCCTACGCCTATGCATATGAGGATGCAAGAAAACCATGTTTTTCGTCTTGGGTTCTGCGCCTAGTATATGCCGGGCAGGACTTGGAGCTTGGACTTCCAGGAAAGGCATTCCGAAGGCGGACCGGCTTGGGCCAGACAGCCCCAAGGCCACCAAACTCAACATACGGGGGTTTACGAAAATAGGGGTACGCTTTTGCGGGGTGCCTGTAGGAAGGACTATGCTATTTTGGGGATAATGAAGGGTACCCCTATCGGGGGAAATGCCCATATGAACAAGTTGCGTGTACGGCATCCCGGCTGCGTCCATGCGCTCTAGCCCTACAGCGCTACAAGGCTCAGGATTCGACCTGTCTTGTCTAGCGTCTTAAGCTCTATAGCTCGATGACAGCATTAAATCGGAGGGGAGGTTTGTTCTAATACTAACCCTACATATATATATATATATGTATATATATGCTTCCCCCAATTGATCAATCGTGTTTAGGTTTTCTGCCGCGAGACTTGCAGATGGATATGTTTGAGCGGGATCCCTATCTTATTCCCTTAGCTTTTCTCCCTAAATCCTGAGGGATTCCAACCTTAGTCTCTAAATCCCGAAGGAGGAGAGCCCTAAATCCAAAAAACACACCCTATTTCCTAAACCCTTTCGCTAAACCCTAAAGAGCGGGACCCTAGTCTTGTTTGTTTAAATCGTATTCCCTTCATCGTACTCCCCAAATCTTTGCGCAAACCACAAGAAAAGTTTTTCTCTCCTCCCCTTCACCTCGCACTATACTCCTGAACACCAAGCCCTTGAAGGGGAGGGATCCCAAATCTTTGTCCCTCAACCCCTGAATCATGAAGTCGTAAAGAGGAGAGTCCTTAGTGCCCCTGAACTACGAAGTGAACTCATTTGCAAGGAATTTAAGACGCGCGAAATACAATAATGGAGAGAACGAAGTACACGGGCTAGTAATTTAGTACATTTTCATGCGTAATCCTTATAAAACATACTACATTAACAGCCCTTACAATATCATTATTATCGCGGCTTCACGAATAAACTTATTGCCACGTGTACAGATAATGGAATAATAGTACGAAGTGTGTGAAAGAGCGAATATACTGAGCGAAAGAACACAACGAAGTACACACCAGAAAATACGAAGATAATAATGTAATGTCAAGATACGACCATAAGATAGAAAGTTGTCTGCAGGAAATTGACCACCTATCCAAATAAAAGCAAAAAATCGAAAGAAACCAAAAGCACAGATAAAAACCACTAATTTACTGGACTCTTAATTATAAAATAGAATGACATTGAAAGACTTCTCATAAAGTACAATAGGATGAAGATAGAAGTAAATAAGATGATGAATCCTGCATTTTTATTTGGTACAGCTTTTAACATAGCATATTGGCATAAGAAATACCATTCAGGTACTATATGTAATCCACATGCTTCTAATGCATTATCTGGATGTGAGAAAGAAGAGAAGCCGAAATGAATTTGAAGAAGACAGCAGCCCGGAACCCTAAACCTTAAACTCTAACCCCCACCCCCCAACCACACCATCGGGGGACAACCATGGGTGGGGAGGGCGGGCTGGACGCACCGTCGTCTTAGTGGCTCCGAAACAACATGCTTCCCACGCATTCAAAGACTCAAAAGTTCCGGCAGTTCCGGCGGCTGGGGCTTTAACGGAGCGATTCATTCCGTAAACAACACGCATGGGATCCAGGCGGGAGCAGAATTTAACGATTCGGACCACAGAATGCGCACGGGACCCAAGCGAGAGCGCTATGTGGGCGATGCCGCGGCCGCCGAAGTCCGGCGACCAGTCCGAGTGCTGGCGTGCACGCGTAGCATTACACCTCAACCAGACACTCCTGAGACTATAGTATCGCCGCAATTAAGGGAAAATGGATCAAGCATCGCTATCTAGAAGGGATTGTGGTCCGAATTCTTGAACAACGTCTTGCACTCTGATTTTCATATCGTCAGAGCCTGTCCATCTGGAAACTTCATGAGTGAAATGAAACCTTAGTGAGTTGAATTGACCCGGCCCCCCCTACTGGCGAATGTCCCTTGAACGTATTCATCATTTGTCTGAAGTACAGCATTGATACGAAGCGCTTCTTGATAAGGATCAATACCCGTGTGCCATGCGCCCGGCTCACTCGGCTGGTCCAGGGTATTCTTCTGCCTGGTTCTCCATGCATTCCCCCTTGTCAACCTTCACCATGCTGCCTGCGCATGCGTCCCATGGCAGCAGGGCGCAGGCTGAAGACGCAGTTTGCCATGCTTAAGGCGTTTGCTGTGAGGAAACAACCCCTTTCCCTAATTTTCAAATCCCCAGTGCCCCCGCCTCCAAAACCCTGTCTGTGACACAAGGACCAACACGAGACCAGACCCTAAGCTTGAAAGCTTTAAAGCTAAGCTGGCCTAGCTGAAGCTTTCTTTTGGCTTTCTTTTGCTTCCCTCAAAGTTTAGCATTAAAGGTACCAAAACCCTTGACCATCACCAATTACTTTGACCATCCAGGTTTTACCATGTGCTGCAGTATATCCCAAGTTCGAACGCCAACGACTTCAAACCGGATTCGTTGCCTTGCTCGCTCACCGCACTCACTCACACTCGTGCAAATACGACTGCTATGGTTGACTTCAACCAGTCTCACACACGAGGCCTATTGAAAGGCCGATGCAAAAATTGGACTCGGTGAGTTCTGCAACTGCGGCATTGTGAGTCGGGCTCTTTTGGGGTTGACCCGCGCTTCGGGCTGAGGGAGGTAGAGGACTCAGGGTGGCTGAGCTATGGGGATTTGCGGGGCAGAGGTCCCGAACATCCTACATATCTGGGTTAGGTTTGCCATAGTTTACCAGATTTTTGGTCCGCCAACCCGATGCCCTACAAGCCCGAAGCGCAAAGCGCCAAGTAGGCTGGGCCTGGGCAGTGCACGTTCTCCAAATCAATCTCGTTTGAGTCGCCGGGTAGATGCTCCTCGGTCCGGTTTTGAGGTTTCGGGGCTTGCTTTGCCGAGTTTAGGTGCTCAAGGGCCATACTCAAGAGTTCACCCCGTCCTAAAACTAATTGTGGTTTCTTTAAGCAAACACCAAGCACTACTACATCGAAAGATCATGACAGTCTCAGACTATCGTGGTGAGCTTCAACTTGATCGGTGAGACATTTCTCGGATGGAAGCCTCTCACAACCCCATGCCCGTTGCCTGGTGCCCGCGACCTATTAAGTTTGGATTTGGGGGGTTGATCAGAATTCTGGGCCTTCTGTCGCAACCTGAAGTATAGTGAATATGTTTTAACAGAAGCCTCAATTGTCAGGGGCCTACAGTTAAGCTCAAACACCATTATGACTGATGTTGAGTTCCTTTGGCCGCTCGAAGTCCATGTCAAGTTGCCAAAAGGAAATACTGCCAGAAAGTGAGCGTAGGAATATAGCGAGTCAGTATAGCCACCGGAGCAGCTGCTGTTGCACAATCCAACCCGACGTGCAAAACTTGTTGCCTCATGTCCCTGACCCCGAAAATGGCCCAGTGGCTGGAGGTACGAGCCAAAACTTGGCGTCCTGTTCTGGTTAAGGGTTCAGGGTTTAGGGTTTAGTGCTTGGGGTTTAGGGTTGGTTTTTTAGGGTTTAGTTTCGGGGTTCACGATTCATGCTTGTGTTTGGTAGCACAAGAGTGAGGAAACACGATGCGCAAGTGAAGGAACAGCACTTCGGGGTGGGTACTTCTGCCCGGCCCAGGTTTTAAAGAAGGTTCGCTCCTAAACGAGAAGCGCACAATATTCACTTCGACCATCCCCGCCCAACAGCTATCCGCTATCCGATGCGGGTGCCATCCTCCCGCTTGCAGACAGGTGATTACGGACACTTCGTCGCGGGCTTCTGTCGCTGGACTTTGGGCGCTCTTTGGATACTCGGGACTCTTGCGGGCTTCTCTGGGGGTGGGTGGCTCTCTCCGCAGGATACTCTGGAGGTAGGCCCTCCAGAAACACACAAATATCTTCTAAAGACTTCAGCTGGGTACTCGGACAGCTTGGGACTCCAAAGCAGCTACAAACCTGAAGCCTACAACGCATGTGGTCTGTTTGCTACATCATGGCTCCTTGTTGTTAGCCATTGTTGTAATGCAGCCCTGTACCCCAAAGGGAATACGCAATGTAGGGCAAGCAGATATAAATATTGAAGTATAGGGAGTACAGGGCTTGCAGCAATGAGCCTAGGTGCGGTCACCTAAACGTAGCCGTCCTCCTTGCAGCACGCAGTGGAAAGTGTCCGCTGCAGCCTTGACAAGCCTTGGCCACATTGCGCAGGGTCAAGGAATTTTGAACATCAATGACAGCCGCAGAGTGGCAGAGGTCTGGAGGGTTGCACAAACCCTTTGCAGCTTGGACCCTGCAACGGCGAGCTTAGGAAGTGCGCACCAGGAGCCTTCTGTGGAGATATTTCTTTGTCGCAGTTCTTCTGCAATTCCTGCCCCTGCATTTCCATGGGAAACCAGGGTGACAGAAAAGTATGGGCCTTGGGCTTTAAGCATGTTCATGAAGCTGCTTCGTTTTGTGCTGCAATCTAGACATCTAGTGACCTAGTGGCCCTGCAGGATACGATGGCTCTCCTCATAAAGCCCAAGACGGGGCTGCTGCAAACCCCACGAAACCCCGCAAACCATGATGGGATTGATGGAAACAAAATATTCTGTTCATGAGCTGCTGCAGAAACACTCAGCAACGTACGAAGATGCATCATGCGAGGTGCGAGCCTGTAGATTCGTTCTGGCTCGGCTGTTGCAGCCGCACTTTGGAGCAGAGTGTCGAAGATGGAGATGGGATGAACCAAACTGTCGCCCCGCTGTGTGTGTGTAGACGTCCTTCTTGCTTGAACCCCAACTAAACGCAAACGATGGCCGACACCCTGCGACAGCAGAGCCTTTGCTCCGCAGTGAACTTCAGAGGGGAGTGGAGCTCCGCAATGGCTTCCAAGAAGCCGACAAGGAGATCCCAAGCGCTCTGAGAAGGGATCTCTTTGCAACTGGACCTTCCTGCTGAGACCATATTTAAATACCATAGAGCTGCACGAGAACCGCACCGTGCTTTGCTTGTGAAGGCTCATGATGGCAAAAGCGCAGGGATGCCTCAACTAGCCTGTCTAGGTGATAGGCAGAGCTGGCTTCAAACGAATGAAGTTCGAGCGCAAGTGAGAACTTCAGCCTGGGCCTTTGTGCCATGAACAAACCGGCTTAAGAATTATGGAGGCTCTTTGCGGCTTAGGGTTTAGGGTTGAGGGATCATTCTGATAAGAAGGCTTTGCAAGCACACAGGCGCCAAATCCACATCGGGACAGCGGCTAAGCGTGACGTGCCCTGGCACAAGGCAGTGGTCGCCACGAGGTACCCTGCACCATCAAAACTTCAAAAGGGGCCAAGGGGGCGATGGCCCAACGTCATGTCTCTGTCCTTTCCTTCGAAGATTTGCACGTAAATTTCCGCAGCTCCTCCGTTGAGGAGCCAGGTTCTTCGAGAACAGCTGCGACGATTTTTTTGGTTGTGTCATATATAACTCCAGATCTACATCCATATACACATGGCGGCGAAAGTCATTTAATGGGGCATGTATATTTCATTTAAAGAATCCCCCAGCAAGGCCCGATGTGTGAGTGTAGCGAGAACCGGGGTATGTCCAAAAGCAACATACCTGGTTGAAAAATACCTGTGTTTTTGTTGTCATTTTCGCTTTCTTCCTGCGAGACGTTTTGTTCTTCTTGCATACTGGCCGTGAGGCCTACAAAAATCACACACACATACCCTTTACCACAAAACCCTCAAAAACAAAAAGGGCGAGCCACACGGGCATATAAAAGCGATTCGAAAACCGGAGTTCACAAATGGAAGCACATTCAAGCAACACATGGCCCACGTGGAAGTTCCGAAAAGGGCGGGTGGGGTATTTATAAATACTTAGCGAGGATTTATACACAAGCGTCAAATCATTGGACATACAAATGCTCTAAATGATCACAAACATTCGTATTTGGCAAGTAGGTCGTGCGGTTTCAAACCCCTTGGCATGCTCATAACTTGGATAATCAGGCTTATAAATCAGGTTGTATGTGACACAACCAAAAAAATCATCGGGTAAACGTCGAGCCAATGCCGAACACTTGACCCCCAAACTCCGACTGCAGCTCAGACGATCGGACTGAGGATTTGCATGATCAGCCAAGTCATGCCAAGCAAGGCCAAACAGATCACTGTGAGTATGCAGCTTAGGCCGTAGCACTTGATACGAGCCTCCCGCTTCGGCCCAAGAAAGATCTTCATGAACTCAACCGGGTGGATGGCAGCAGAGGCCCAGTCTATTCGGTCCTGGGGTGTTGCGTATCGACCTTCCGGAGGTAGCTCCTGGCTTGCTGCGTCTTCCAGCGTGACCATCTGGAGCTCCATGTGCAGTGTCGCAGGCTTTGGGGGCGGCTTGGGTCTGGGAGCTCGGCGGCAGCACCAGAAGCCTCTTCCTTGATCCATTTGGTGTTTCTGGGGGTGCCTGTCGAAAACCACGTCGTAGGCCACAGACGTCCTTTCACCTTGTGCTGCATTCGCGGCAAGAATCTCGAGGGGCACGTTCTTGGATGCGTAGATCTCCTCAGGGCCGGCGATTGTGTCCTGGTCCATCAAAGTCACCGTGAGCCCGCAATACTGAACTGGAGTTGTCACCTCGAAAATCAAGAGTTGGCAGAACGATGCTGTGCTTCTGGCCCACTTGTGTGCCTCTGTTGGCTTGGACTCGCGAACCCGATCCTGGCCCACAGACTTCGCAACGAAGTCCAGCTTCACAAAGGCATCGTTCCTCTGTCCTTTATCTCGGAAAAGTGAGATGCCGGTGACGGACTCCAGTTTCACCCGCAGTTGAAATGTCAGGTGCTTGTGCTCCTTGAAGACAACATCCGGTACCACTTCTTCTTGCGAAGAGACATCCATCCACAGCCTAAGGGCCCCAGTGCGAAGACCTTCTGGACCACGTAGAGGCCATGTCTCGATGGCGCTGTGTCCTCTCATGCCCAGGCGACGCTGGAAGGCCTGGGCGTCCTCCTTGCTGTTCGGGTCAAAAAGCCTTGTGCTTTGCCTCTTGCTGTATGGCCGAAAGTTGGGCAGCGTGGGTTCGAGCCAGGCTCGCTCAGAATCCTCTCCCTCTTCGAAGACGACCTCAATGTCCGATTCTGGGGAGACGTTCTCTCGGAGCCACTGCTCATTGGATGCTTGGCGCAGCTTCTTGCTCAGCTGTGCCACATGCCGATCTTCGATGTCCAGCACGTTCTCTCCGACAAGCGTGTCCCCGAAGATGCCGCTCGAATAGAGACGGAAGATGAACTCACAGCTGCTGGGCAGCATCATTTCGAAGGAGAGGTTTGCGTAGAAGTCGCAGCCAGGGTTGTCTTGATGCACCAAGCTGGCATGCTTCTTCACGAAGCTCTCCTCGTTGCCACGAATGCCCACTTCCAAATATGGATCCTGGAGTGCTTCGGTCACGCCGCGGACAGTCAAGAGGCAAATGTCCACGACATAGAACTTCTTGACCCAAAGCCGTTCTATGGGGATCGTCCCGACCTGAGCCTGCACTGGCTCCCCGACCTCGTCGATATCCACATGCCCCTTCACAAGGCCAACTTTCTTGTCATCCAGCACAAGCTCTTTCTTGAGGTTCATGCACTTGTCCAGAAAGAAGTGCTTGACAAAATGGTAGTCTGCACCGAGAGGACCTTGCTGCAGCGGGAGCGTGGCAATCTCTGGGAAGGTGTCCTCAAGAGCTGACCGGAACCAGCTGTCGGTTCGAGGTCTGTCGTATTTGGCGGTCCCCTTCAGCTTCATCAGCCGACAGCAGAAGGCATGCTTCAAGACGGGTATGGGCTTCCAGTAACCATCCGGACCCTCTAGGGCTGAGCCAGAGGCAGCGTCCTCATCGCCTTCTTCCAGGGTGGCCGAGTCGTATACCACTGTCTTGAGTTGCTCACTCTTCACGCCATGGAGGCCTGCCAAAGTCTTGCAAGGGAACCACGCAGTCTCCAGTTCGAAGCGCAAGTCGAAGCAGGGCACCCGCACAGGAACCAGCGTATCGGAAGAATCCAGCTTCACCACGAAGAGAAGTTTTCCAGGCTCGCTCCAAGAGGAGAGGAGCTCTGGGGCAGCCCACACTACCTGGCCGTCTCTGTCGAAGCGGATGACAAGGACGTTGGTCGTGTAATTCTCCTTCGCCTCCGACTCCTGATCAAACTTTGCCTGCTCAAAGATCTCCTCGATTGCCTTCAAGGATCGCCGGGCCTCCGCAGCAGTGAGGGTCACCTGCTCGCCATGCGGCAACGCCAGCATGCAGCTTCCGTCCTTCTTCATGTGGGTGCTTGGTTTGTGGCCAGGCGGAAGGGACACCAGCTTGATGTCACTCCGGATCACGGTTACGGCTCCTGTTAGCTCCAGCTTGAAGATGACCTTTTCCTTCTCCGTGTCGGTTATGGAGACCTCCAACTTTCTGGTACACAAGTGTGCCGGAAGTCCAAGTCGCAATCGGGCCAAGAACTTCGAGTCCCGGTCCTGGCGAACTCGGATTCGATGCCCCACAGGCCGAAGAAACGAGTGCAGATTGTCGCTGTAATCGTGGTGTGTGAAGTGCCCCGGGTTCAGTGCTTCGGGCATGTGCTGGTGGGACAGGAGCCGGTATCCTTGCTTTCTGCAATGCTGCTTCAGCTCGCGGGTCCTCATCCCGGAAAAGTTCACGGGCTTCAGGTTGCGAAGCAGCCTCTTCGGCCCAAGGGGCACGTGGTTGCGACGCTCGGCATGTAGCACGGGTGTGGCGCGCCAGTCGAAGGGCTCATCCAAGGACCGGGCATCCAGCATCCAGTCACCCTGATTGAAGTACTGGCTGGTGTGTTTGCTATCCTTGTCCTCGATGGTGAAGAGATGTTGTGTCGTCAGGCTTCGGCCCACGACAAACTCCTTGTTCCACGTGAGAAGGCCCGATGTCTCCGCAAAGACGTCTATGTAGCAGTGGTACACTGCCTCGCCGTAGTTCCCTTGCTCCACAAGCCGGCTTAGGCCCTTTAGGTCCTGGGGTAAGGCGGCAAACTGGCTCACGCACTTCTCGGTCCAGCTTGAGGGGTCATACTCGATTGTCCAATCTGGAAACCAACCCTGCACCTCGTCATGCTGGGCACCGGAAGCCAATCTCCGTCTGCGTTCCATCATGCTCTCCATCTTTGTGCCGTATGTCCAGCCTGTCGGCTCTCGCCGCAAGACCTCCACCATGTCGCCCTTCTTGACTGCCATTCGGGGGAAAGTCGTCTGAGCCTGACTCGGCTCCCAAGGCTCAAGGACCTTGCAAGCTCTCAAGCTCTGCTCCAGCGGCCTGGCAATTTCGATCTGGTGGCGCCCATCGAGGCCCTCGTACGTGATGGGCAAACTCACGGATGCAGAGCCCTCATCCGTGCCCTGAGCTGTCAGCATGAGAACGACGTCCGGCAGCAAGACGAAGGGCTTCTCATAGATCACGCGAAGCCCTCGAGGCCCCGGGGGGCATGCAGCTGCTGGGCTGGTCAATGCCCCCCTGCGAGGCTGAAGGTACGGGATCACCGGGCCTTCGAAGGGCACAGAGATTGACCAGCCCACGGGCTCATTCTTCTCGATGGTGAAGTCAGCGGCGTTCTCAAAGTTCTCGAAAGACTCGCCTTCGCTTTCGACCCTCACCGGAATGAAGTCGCCCACCTTCGATGCGAAAGCGTGGACCAGAGCTGGGTCGTAATTGCCAGTGAAGTTATCTGTCACCGGCAGAAGCGTTGGCGTTGTATAGCCGGAGCAGAATGATGGCATGGACAGCTCCAAGCCATGCACGTCGGCATGCTGGAGTGCTCGCATGCCGAGCAAATCCAACTTGATCTTGTAGTTCTTGACTTCCTGGGTGTAGATTCTTTGGACTGCTTCTTGGCTAGCCGGGCCCACAGACTGCACGTCTCTAGACAAAGAGAAGGCAGCAGCTAGGAGGACACGTGGCCTTCTCGCCCAGGTGGGGTTCAGGGAGCCGGGCTCGAAGACCTTCCGGACATCCGACCGAAGCCCATACCATTTCGCGACATGCAGGTGATTTAGGTCCTGTTTCTCCCCAGGCTTGGCCTCAAGGATTTGGGCATCAGTGATCACGGCCTGTCCCATGACCTCATAGGAAGAAAACAGAATCAGACCGCCGCTGCGAACGTCGTCCTTGTCCAGCATGCGAAGTACGATTGGGGGCAGCTGCTGCGCCTCCAGCTGTCCATCGGCATCCACGGCGATTTGCAGAGGCCCAAGAACCACTCGCTGTAAAAAGGTTGGATTCAGGGTCTTGCGTGTCTCAGCGGACTCGCCTTCCACAGATCTTGCTACGAGGTTTTCTACCTGCAGCTCGAAGATGGGATCCGCCAGCCCGTCCGGGTCTGCCGTGGGCAAGGATCGTGCGGCCAAGACGTCCACGTGGCAGTAGACAGGCGCGAACTTGCCGGTGAGGGCAGGGAGGGTGGAGGCGAGCTGGGCTGGCTTAGCTGGGAGCGGTGCGGCAGGATCAGCTGGGATCTCCTCCAGGTACTCTTCAACTTCCTCCGGTTGGGCACAGCAGCCCCAGCCGGAGGCTGGAGCCTTCTTCGAAGAAAGCGGAGCCTCCAACTGCTCCAACGTACTTGTTCCTGAGAAGAAGCCTGCGAACTCCTGCCAGTCCTCTCCGACACTGACCACAGACCGGTCGCAGGAAAGACGCACCCAGTGGACCTCATGGAACGTCTTGGGGTCTTTGAGGATGGGTAGCTGGCCAAAGACTTCTGGAGGCCATCCTTCTTGTCCCTCCCGCACCACATAGACGTAGGCTGTGCCGGCATCTGCAGTCATATCCATGTCAACGAACTTCTCTGAGCCCTCTGAGCCCTCGGAGCCCTCATCTTGGAAGCTCGCCAGCCCTTCTTCATCTACTTCAGCCGGGAAGCACAGCACATCCTCAGAGCCATGCGCATAGCAGCCGGGCACCCGGATCAGCACCTTGACGCGTGTGTTCTTGTAGCGCAGCAGGTACATGCCTCGAAGAAGCCGTGCCCTCAGCCGCACATGCTTCCGCGTCGCCACCATGCTCCCAATCATGCCCCGGATGTGCCCAGAAAATCGCGAAAAGCTGATGTAGAGCGAGCCCTGGTAAGTGCTGGGTGTACGTCTCTTGTGGGCCATCTCGTCTGCCTCCTCCTCCAGTGTGGCATGCCTGGCAGCTCCGTACATGTGCCTCCACAGTGGCAGGCGCTCCGCAGAAGTCTCGAGCAAGACCACCTTGCCCAGCAACTGCGTCTGTGAATGGTCACTGTACACCTCCAAGGTGGTGCGCGAGGAGGTGGTGGAAGTGCGAATTTCAAACCCTCCACTGAAGTAGCCCATGTTGGGATAAGCCTCACTCCATTGGAACTCGTGCGTCTTCCTGGATTCTCGATCAGAGCGCACTTTCAGGAAGGGACTGGAGGCGTTCAGTCCAGTGGCCCCAACATGCACATAGAAGGTGTCCACGGTCAAGCCCGCAGAGAACTTGCCCCTTTTCGCTGTGAGCATCGACTTGTGCTCCACCGGTAAGGGTGGCGGTTTGGAGGGCATGTCAGCTTCGTTGATATCCAATAGTATTTCCACCTCCCCGGATGTCTTGGTCCCTTTGATTTCGTGCAAGATGGCCCGGAAGTTGAGCTTCAAGCCATTTTCTTCAATGCTGTCCAGAAGGAGCTTCAAGGACTCGTGCCACCTCCCAAGACACCTCTCGTGACCGTCTGATGACAGAAACGCTTCCAACTGCAGCTTATACTCGTCCAGCCCAAGGCCATTTTCGTAAAGCTCCCAATCCAAGGCGGCACTCTCCTCAAAGAAGAACTCACCGGTCCGGTCCACCTTCTGGCCCAGCTTGCCAGGCATGTTGTTCAGGCCCCGTGTCTGCTTGGCGGTGATGACGCTCGGAGCGGCATCGGAATCCTTGGATAGTTTCACGAGGGCAACCTTGATGGAAACTCTACTGGGCATGGGTGTGTGGAAGCTCATCGTTCGTGGCTCGGCATGGATGTGGTAGACCCGCCGGTTCAAGTCCCGGAGATTCAGGTCTGCGACATATTCGAGGTCCGTCTTGCGAGCTTCTGGATCTCCAAGCTGATAAGCTATCACCAGCACTGGGCCCTCATCCGCCTCCGCGCTGCAGGTAAAAATGCCGGTGCTGCCACCATGGAGCCGGACCTCTTCACGTTGGAAAGGCTTGACGCTGCAGGTAAAGGCGCAGGAGCCCACCACGTTGGCAAAGAATCCGCTGCCAGACATTACCCGCACCTTCACAGTCGCGACTTTTGATGCGAGGACCTCCTGCTCGACAAGGAAGTTCCACACTGGGAATGAGCAGGGGGGAGCCGGCTCGCTGACCAGAACTTTCTCATCATTCACCACAACTTCCAAAGACAGTGGCTCCCTGACCATTCTCTTGCCGTGGTGGAGGCAGACGCGCAGGAGGTTCATTTGCACCCGGGCCTCCTCCTCCTGAAAACTTCCGAAAGTAGGGGGATTAGGGGTCCTGATTACAAGGGGATCCATTTGGGGGGGGCGCTGTTTTGGGGTTTTCTGTTTTCGAAAAGTCCCCCTCCTCATTCTCTTCAGCATCCAGGACCACCTCGCTACTCAAGCATTCCTTGGGGAGGCTGCAGTCAAAGGATGGGCCGGCCACCGCCATGCGCGCCATTTGGGCCTGGGCCTGCAACATGCCGCCGGACATGGCGAAATGTGAGGGCCTCTGCTTTGTGCCTTCTCAGTTATAGCTGAGCCGTAGCCATTTGGGCTTTTGTGTCTTATAGCACTTTAGAGCAGGTATCGCCTTGAATGTGCGAATGTGCCGGGCTCATGGGTTTCAATCTGTACTGCAATCTGTGCCTTTGCTTGGAGATCTTTTCTCCTTGGGCCTCGTGGGTTTCGACGCTCACACTCGGCACACCGGCAGGCATGGCAAATCGTGATTCAAGATGCACACTACCTTTCGCAAGGCCAAGCGTCACTCGCCCTTGGACGGGGTGTAGCGGCTTCTGCCTGCAGAGCTTGTGAGGCTATACTATACAGTTCTTGGTTAGCGCGCACGCTTTTCTCGATGTCCCCGCCGGCTTGGCTTCAGCTCAGAAATCCAAACTCCCAAAGTCCAAGCCTTTTATGCCACTATATTTACTATGGCGAAGCTCAAACCCAGAGCCTTGTGGACGTTCCCCGATGTGAGACAAAGCGAGGCCCTGTATGCCCTGAAACGAACATGCCTAAGGCCAACAACCCCACAAAGTCCTCTGCCTTCTTCGGTTCAGGAATTGAAGCCCCCAAGGCCTTCACAAGCTTCACCCTTCACCCCTAAACAACCTTGAAGACAAGGCTCACTTACAGTAGGGTTCGTCCAACTGATTCTGCTTGCAGCGCGAATGAGCTTGGCATTGGACATCAGCACCTTGGGGGTGGCTTTGGGCAGTGCCTCCCAACCTGAAATCTATCAACGCACCTTTTCAGGGGCAGCTCCCAATTGATTGTTCAGTTTTTCACTGGCTCTGGGCTTGAAAGCTGGTGAATTCTCAGATTGAGCCCAGGGGCAGGGGTCGTATGGCTGAGTGCCTGCCTCCGGATGTGACCAGTCGTACGTGCGTCGCTTCTCCTCGTCGCCTAGAATGGCCTCGGAAGGAGAGGGATTTGCCTCCAGAACCTACGCAATAGGTCTAAGTCCAGCCTTCTGGCAGCGAGCAGGGATAAAACGAAAAGATACGAAAAGTGAAGCCTGTAATTAAAGCCTAAACTCCCGGTACAGTAAACTTGCATGAAAAACAGCAAGAATGTAGCCAAAGCATCATAAGCTTTTTCGAGGCTTTGGAACTTCGCCTGGCAGCGTGCATAGGCTTCAGGATTCAGGTCTTAATTGTGCATAGATTCTTGCTCAACATCGGCCACATCATCTAAGTTCAAGGGGATTCTCAGGTTCGCTTCTGATCAATCCTGGCGTATACATACATACATACATCTTATATATATATATATATATATGAAAAGTCACATGCGCGTGAGGTGATATTTGCGATTGTTGCGAGCTCAAAAACGGACTACGCGCGGGACGCTACGGGTGCTCGCTCCAGGCCTCTACGCGACCCTCCTTCAGGAGACAGGCCCCACAACGCGAGCCTCATGAGCATCAGCTGCGACCCTCCTGGAGGAGACGGGCCCCCAAAGCGGGCATCATGAGCATCAGCTGCGACCCTCCTTCAGGAGACGGGCCCCAAAGCGCGCATCACGAGCATCAGCTGCGACGCTCCTTGAGGAGACGGGGCCCCACAACGCGAGCCTCATGAGCATCAGTTGCGACCCTCCTTGAGGAGACGGCATGAGCATCAGCTGCGACCCTCCTTCAGGAGACGGGCCCCACAACGCGAGCATCATGAGCATCAGCTGCGACCCTCCTTGAGGAGACGGGCCATCATGAGCATCAGCTGCGACCCTCCTTCAGGAGACGGGCCCCACAACGCGAGCATGGAGACGGGCCCACAAAGCGGGCATCATGAGCATCAGCTGCGACCCTCCTTCAGGAGACGGGCCCACAAAGCGGACATCATGAGCATCAGCTGCGACCCTCCTTCAGGAGACGGGCCCCAAAGCGCGCATCATGAGCATCAGCTGCGACCCTCCTTCAGGAGACGGGCCCCACAACGCGAGCATCATGAGCATCAGCTGCGACTCTCCTTGAGGAGACGGGCCCACAAAGCGGGCATCATGAGCATCAGCTGCGACCCTCCTTCAGGAGACGGGCCCCAAAGCGCGCATCACGAGCATCAGCTGCGACGCTCCTTCAGGAGACGGGACCCCACAACGCGAGCATCTTGAGCATCAGCTGCGACCCTCCTTGAGGAGACGGGCCCACAAAGCGGGCATCATGAGCATCAGCTGCGACCCTCCTTCAGGAGACGGGCCCCAAAGCGGGCATCATGAGCATCAGCTCTGACCCTCCTTCAGGAGACACGCCCCCAAAGCAAGCATCATGAGCATCAGCTGCGACCCTCCTTCAGGAGACAGGCCCCCAAAGCAAGCATCTTGAGCATCAGCTGCGACCCTCCTTCAGGAGACGGGCCCCCAAAGCGAGCATCACGAGCATCAGCTGCGACGCTCCCTGAGGAGACGGGGCCCCACAACGCGAGCATCATGAGCATCAGCTGCGACCCTCCTTGAGGAGACGGGCCCCAAAGCGCGCATCATGAGCATCAGCTGCGACCCTCCTCCAGGAGACGGGCCCCACAACGCGAGCATCATGAGCATCAGCTGCGACCCTCCTTCAGGAGACGGGCCCACAAAGCGGGCATCATGAGCATCAGCTGCGACCCTCCTTCAGGAGACGGGCCTCAAAGCGCGCCTCATGAGCATCAGCTGCGACGCTCCTTCAGGAGACGGGCCCCACAACGCGAGCATCATGAGCATCAGCTGCGACCCTCCTTGAGGAGACGGGCCCACAAAGCGGGCATCATGAGCATCAGCTGCGACCCTCCAGGAGACGGGCCCCAAAGCGGGCATCATGAGCATCAGCTGCGACCCTCCTTCAGGAGACGGGCCCCACAACGCGAGCATCATGCTTGAGGAGACGGGCCCACAAAGCGGGCATCACGAGCTAGCTGCGACCCTCCTTCAGGAGACGGGCCCCAAAGCGCGCATCACGAGCATCAGCTGCGACGCTCCTTCAGGAGACGGGGCCCCACAACGCGAGCATCATGAGCATCAGCTGACCCTCCTTGAGGAGACGTCCCACAAAGCGGGCATCATGAGCATCAGCTGCGACCCTTTTTCAGGAGACGGGCCCCAAAGCGCGCATCATGAGCATCAGCTGCGACGCTCCTTCAGGAGACGGGCCCACAAAGCGAGCATCACGAGCAATAGCTGCGACCGTCTTTCAGGAGACGGGCCCCAAAGCGCGCATCATGAGCATCAGCTGCGACCCTCCTTCAGCAGACAGGCCCCCAAAGCGAGCATCATGAGCATCAGCTGCTACCCTCCTTCAGGAGACAGGCCCCCAAAGCGAGCATCATGAGCATCAGCTGCGACCCTCCTTCAGGAGACAGGCCCCCAAAGCGAGCATCATGAGCATCAGCTGCGACCCTCCTTCAGGAGACAGGCCCCCAAAGCGAGCATCATGAGCATCAGCTGCTACCCTCCTTCAGGAGACAGGCCCCAAAGCGAGCATCTTGAGCATCAGCTGCGACCCTCCTTCAGGAGACGGGCCCCCAAAGCGAGCATCACGAGCAATAGCTGCGACCGTCTTTCAGGAGATGGGCCCCAAAGCGCGCATCATGAGCACTGCTGCGACCCTCCTTCAGGACGGGCCCACAAGGCGATCATCATGAGCATCAGCTCCGACCCTCCTGCAGGAGACAGGCCCTCAAAGCGAGCATCATGAGCATCAGCTGCGATCCTCCTTCAGGAGATGGGCCCACAAAGCGACGGCCCCCAAAGCGAGCATCATGAGCATCAGCTGCGGCCCTCCTTCAAGAAACGGGCCCACAAAGCGAGCATCATGAGCATCAGGCGTGGCCCTCCTTCGAAAAACAGTCGGCCCCCAAAGCGAGCATCACGAGCAGCAGCTGCAACCGTCTTTCAGGAGACGGGCCCAAAAGTGTGCATCATGAGCATCAGCTGCGGCCCTCGTTCAGGAGACGGTCTGCGACCGTCCTGCAGGAGACGGGCCCCCAAAGCACAAAGCGAGCATCATGAGAATCAACTGCGACCTCCTTCAGGGGCCCGCAAAGCAGCGAGCATCATGAGCATCAGCTGCAACCCTCTTCAGGAGACGGCCCGGCAAAGCGAGCCATCATGAGCATCAGCGACCCTCCTTCAGGAGACCTTCAGGAGATGGGCCCTCACAGCGAGCATCATGAGCATCAGCTGCGACCTTCCTTTTTAGGAGACGGGCCCCCACAGCGAGCATCATGAGGATAAGCTGCGACCCTCCTTCAGGAGACGGGCCCCCAAAGCCAGCATCATGAGCATCAGCTGTGACCCTCCTTCAGGAGACGAACCCCGAAAGTGAGCATCTTGAGCATCTGCTGCGACCCTCGTTCAGGAGACAGGCCCCCAAAGCGAGCATCATGAGCATCAGCTGCGATCTCCCTTCAGAAGACGGCCCCGCCAAGCGCGGACATCATGAGCATCAGCTGCGACCCTCCTTGAGGAGACGGATGTCTTGGGGATATTCCCACGTTTGCGATAATTTAGGATCGCATGAGTCCCCCGTCAAATGTTGAGCTATCGAGCTTGAGGTTCCTTGGGGAGTTCCCTATGTTTGCGATACTTGATGATCGCAGAAATTCCCTTCTGAGAATTTGAGCTATCGAGTTTTTGCGTTCTTTTGCTTTTGGATTGTTTTGAGGTCGGCCGCCCGCATGAATAAAAGCAAGTTTCCGATATGCTTGCGAAACTCGATGATCGCAGAAGTTTCCTTCTGAAATATTTGCGCTATCGAGTTTGCTTTTCTTGCCTTGGGGATGCCTTCATACTGATGATCACAGAAAGTCCCTTTTGACAAATTTTAACTACAAGTGTCGAGTTTTTGCGTTCATTCCTTTTGGACTGCTGTAAGGTCGGCTAGCTTGGCTTGAATGAAGTCTTGGGGAGTGCCCTATGCTTGCAATACTTGATGATCACACAAATTTTCTTGGAAGCAAAGGCCCAGACCGTATTGCAGCTGAGGAGTTTTCGGTGACGGCGGAGCCTGCATTGCAGCTGATGATTTTGCCGGGTGCGGCGCGAAGCAATGGCCCACATTCCCAGCTGAAGATTTTTTTGGGCGACGGCGAAAAGTGAGGGCTCAGGATACTTTCCTTGACGCCGGAGGCAAAGGTCCAGATTCCGTACTGCAGCGTGGGACTTTTGCGGTGACGGCTGCGAATTTGGCGATGACGGCGGAGTCCGTACTACAGCTGGGCCATGCTCGCTCTCGCTTTTCCAGCAAGGAGGGGCAAGCTAAGAAATCCATCGGATCAACGTTGCTCAGCAGGGAAATCCATAGGATCAACGTTGCTCAGCAGGGAAATCCATCGGATCAAAATAGCTCAGCCCGCACTGCAACCGAGGATTTTTTTGGCTGACGGCGAAAAGCTAAAGCCCAGATTCTGCACTACAGCTGAGGACTTCTCGGGTTGGCGGCGAAAAGCAAAGGCCCAAAGACCGTACTGCAGCTGAGGATGTTTTTGGGTGGCTCCCACAATCCGTACTGCAGATGAGTTCTTGTGAGTTGACGGCGAAAAGAAAAGGCCCAGAGTCCGTACTGCAGCCTGCTCGTGAGTGACGGCCGTCCAGAGATGTCCAGAGTCCTTAAACCCTAAACCCTTGCAAGCACTCGGGCATGTCATTATGTTTCTCGCCTTGAGCAAAGTGAGCATCAGAAACACTTTCTACTTAGGGGAATTGGGTGTCCTAACTGTCCTAACTCAATGCCGACTAGTTAACATGATAAGAGACCTCAAGCGCGTTTTTGCCACCCGGTGCCGCATGCCGGGGGTGGCCAAGGGCCTGACCAGGCCGGGCCCACCCGTTTTTGACAAAACAACTTTGTACGACTTACGGCATCGAGTTGAGGACAAATCCTATAGCTAGTTACAGAAGAGCCCCCGCTGCCCAGGCCGAACTAGATGAATGAAGGACTCTGGATGAAGTTACGAGGTGGCAAAACGCAAGTGCAACATGATGGCCTGGGCTAGGGGGAACCCCAGGGCCAGGTGTGAGCCCCTATTGGGACCCGACACCCTTCCACGGGCCCCGCTTCAAAACGACATATAAAACTTAACCAGGAGGGAAAATCACACAAGGGCAATTTCTAGAATAATCAAAATCATCGTGGGCAAAAAGGCCAAGGAAGGCATCACAGGGCTCTATATGTGCCCTGCGGAGGGGCCGAAAAAGGCCCGTTTTTTGATGCAAGCAACATGAGCATCGGCATCATCGGCATCGTCACTCCCCCTCCCTCCCCCTCCCTCCGTGTTAGATGTAGCCTGTGCATGACTGACCTCACCAGGCCAATATTCGCATGGGCGGAAAACTGAAACTTGGAACGTCTCCGCACAGGGTCCAGCGTACCGGGCCAAGTTGAAAAGCGCTCACCAGCCGAGGCCACCCACATGAAGGGACGCAAAGGGGGTCAAGTGGGACAAGCAGCCCAGGGACCCGGCCGGAGCATCCGGCTAGGTCGGAATTCTTGGAAAGAAACAGCAAGCAACCCTGTTTGAGGAAAAACATGCGCGATCGAGTTTTTGCGTTCCTTGCCTTTGGACTGCACCCGAAAATTCCATTGGACTGTCCGGGAAATCATGTCTCCGAAACTCCCAGCCACGGCCTTGCAAGCTCCAAACTAGTCAAGCCTTCAACGAGCGAGTGGAGCGAGGCCTGACACCCCTATCAAAATATTCAAAATCCTGAGCTCTATAAGCCCCAAAACACCACATCCTCAAAGCTGCTTTAAAGGGGATGCCTGTGCAGCGCCTTCGTTGCCGAAGTTGCGGTCCTCACGAGTGGGCTCAGATTCCCCAGTTTCTAGAAGTGCATTGAGGCCAGGGAGTGGAGTTCTGTTTTACCATCTCCCCAGCAAAGGTTGGCCTGGAGCCCTCCGCATCCATCCCTCCTTCTTCTGGACAAGTGATGCAACTTCGGGCGAGTAACCAAAGATGTCCACTGCCCGGACAAATTTAGGATGGATGGGGGTCTAGCGGTGTTAAGCGGAGGCTATTTTTCTTTTTGGATGTCCGGATGGTACTTCTTGGCCAGCTGGTGGTAGGACTTCTTGATGTCCTTCAGCTCCGCGCCCCTACTGACCTTCGGCGGCAGGACCTAGAAACCCCAAAACTTTAAACTGCAAAGGAGAGCTGCAGTCCAAGACCCTCTTGGTGCTAAACTGAACAGCGGTTGGGAACAACTGTGGCTTGCAACCTCACAGCATCCCAAACCCTCAATCCCCAGAACCCCAGAAAAGTCCGAGAGCATCCACACGCACCCTCAGGGACCAGATGTAGGACTCATCTTGAAGCTGCGAGGCTCTGAAGCTCCTAAAGGTCCTACGGGGTGTCGCAGGAAGTTGAACGGTTTTTGCATGATGGTCTGGCGGGAACTGTGGAAGGTTACTCTCTGAAGTCCTTCAGCGGTGCGAACCTTTTATGTTCCTGAAAGCGTTCATGCACTGGCCACCCACGCTTCAAGTCTCTAAGCAGCTCTGAACGGACTCCGGCCTTGGAACCGCGTCAAGCCTTCCGCCCGAACCAAGACTGAACACCAAACCCCATTTAAAGCTTTTGTAAGGCCTGTTCGTCATACACCTTCAAGGAACGCTTTCTTGAAGCTCTTGTGGTGCGCATTTCCGCAACTGAGGCTGGGTCACTCAAGAGCTGGTAGTAGTCAGGGAGGGTCTGCGATCGCCGCGACGAAGAGGCAGTGCCCAAGGACTCCTGACGTGAATTTTACCAAGGCGTCTAAACGTATGTCAAACTGCATAATTACTCGGAGCTGCTGCAGATGTCGCGTCGACGCCCGCTTCCAGTTGCAAGCGTCTCTCCGCAGTCTCCAACCGGTCCGCCTTTTTGTGCTTTTCGGTGTTGGGGTATTGATGGTTTGGAGGGTCCAGGAACCAGGGCCCGTGGTAGTGGGGGGGGGGGGGGATTGCAGTGAAGCTGTGGGCAGTAGGGATGGCGGTTCGAATGCGCAAGACGGCACAACATCTGCCGGAGAGTGGAAGTTGCGATTGTCTTTCTCTTGTCTTGTTTTGACTTCTCCCTCACTCTCTCAGGGCTTCAGGGTTTGTGCTAAAGTTCCTATCGCCAACATGAACTGCTGTGGGAGCACTGCAGGAGGGAATAAGCTCTTGTCGACACCTTTCCCCAAGAAAGCGGAATGCCATCCCACGCCCTCAACCCTTAAGAGAATGCCAAACCACCCCGGCAGTGGACCACTTGCAAGCAAAAAACAAACCTCCGCGGGGGGGCTATCAATCGGAGCGGCTGATGCAAGCAGCGCTGATAGGCCGATCAGCGCGAGACGCCTGAAGTCGC